TTTCTGATGCGTAATTTACGCAGATACGCAGCCTATCTGTAGCTCTGGGTTATTCAAATATATGCGAGCTGTGTCAACTGCGTTGACCACGTTTCCGACAACCAGTGTTGACTGGATGTAACTTGAGTCACTACTGTTAATCAAGTATAACTTAATTGGGACAGAACGAGAAATAAATGTCAGTATCTAAAATAAAACGCATAAAATGCAACATTGGATATAATTGAAAATGGCTGCCAGGAGAAAGCGAAACACCACAGCAATGTTTGCTATAACACACAGCCGTGAGTGAGTGAGTGAGTGGGTTGGGTTTAACGCCGCTTTACAGTATTCCAGTTATATCGCAGCGTGTCAGCTTAATGTGGAGGAAAGCCCTAAGGGGTGCAGGTCTTAGACGTTTACCACTTTGGTGAAACCCACGGGTATGATGCTGACAAACCAAGGGACGCAACTCTTCACAGCGACTCGCGGTGCCTCAGACTGGGCCATCACAGAATATGATTAAATCATCAAATTAATTTAATTAGTTCAATGGGGATGACACTTGGAGACATTAAATATATGCTAGCAATGGACAAGCTTGGGGGGCGGTCGGGTAGCCTAGTGGTTAAAGCGGTCGCTCGTCACGCCGAAGATCCCGGTTCGATTCCCGACATGGGTACAATGTGTGAAGCCCATTTCTGGTGTCCCCCGCCGTGATATTGCTGGAATATTGCTAAAAGCGGCGTAAAGCCATACTCACTCACTCCTCAAAGTTAACTTGGGTTATACCGTCGTCGACGCAGGATCACCATGCAGTGTCGTCGGTTTTTTTTAAAAAATCTAACGCGAGCATTGTAATGGCGCCTTGAGTTTTGAGCAAGTGTTCTTATACAAAATGCCACAATTGTGAAATTCTAGAGCATATCCACTCACGAATAACTGCTGATACAAAACGTTGCAGCAAAGCAAGAACAGAAACGTCAAAATGCATCATTAGAGAATATCAACAACCCAACCCGTCCCTAATCGCGTGTAAATCGATCGTGTTCACTTTTGACGTGCACGAGATTCCAGGGGCCGCGTGCATGCCGTGTCAATAACCGTTTTTACTACTTTTGATAATCATCGCGAGAGCATTGTGTCGACGTACGTTTGAAGGGCGGGGTTAATACTATATTAACTCCGAGTTTACAATAGCGTTTTGCTTTTTGTTAAATAATCGACATATAATATATAAGGTTGCTATTTGAGTATTATTGTCAAAGCGCCGGTAAATGTAATTAAAGATACGATCTTCACGTTTTCATAGATTGAGAGATGAAAAGATGAATTGTTCTACAAAATAAGGTAATAGTCTTAGAACATAGAACTGAAACAATATCAGTATATGTGAAAATGGTTTTAGGCTAATTTAGCCTCTTGGGCACGTGAAGTTACAGTTAATAAAAATATATCTGGTTTTGTGGACAAGGAAGGAGTTTTGTAAGTGAGTTTGGTTTCCACACAGCGTTTTAACAATATTTAAGTTATTCCACACTGTCAGCTTAATGTAGGAGGAACGTACGGCGTTGTTGTTTAACGCTGCACTCAGCAATAGTCCATCTACATGATGCATGACAGTACTAAGGTCATGTGAAATGGGGTTTAACGTCGCTTCCAAGATTATTGCACTTATATAGCGACGTGCATGCACGGACGTGTGTGGCTGCTTGTACTAGACCGGACTGATGCCGATTTAAAATGCTAGTACACTCGGATACCATGCCGCAGTTTAACATGAATACCCCACTCAGATACAGCATACTCCGAGCCGACCAGTCCTCGTTTAGCCGAGCCCCAGACAGGTTAACAAGTACCATGTCTTTTAACGTCTTTTGGTATGACGCAGCCGGAATCGAACCCACGACCTTCCGCTCTCCGTGCGGTCGCTCTACCACTAGACCACGGAGGCGGTCGACAGTACCTAGTGATGCAGGTCGTAGATGTTTATCACTTTGAAATCTGATGAACCCCACAAACACGGGTAAGGTGACAAACTAAGGATGGCAGAACGAGCACCATCCTTATTTCAAAACAAAATTGTGTTTGCTGGAAGTTTCAATCCATTTCAATAAGCAGAGGATCCTGTCATTTCGTCAGAGTAATCGAGTACGACGTCATACATTTTTATAGGTTGAAATGAATTCCAATGGTGCCGTAAATCTACTTGTATTTATGATTGTAAAACATCATTTGATGTGTTGGGCGCAAAAAGACCTTATTTCTGGGCCAAGTCGCCATTAAGTTTCACCATCACCCGAGCCCCATAATTTTTATTGACATGGCCCAATGATTAGAAGGAATTTCACACGTGACAGCTTTGACCATTAACACATTCAGTGGTTTTGACATGTGTTCTTTTAACGTGTTTTTCCTACCCGTTATACATTTCCATTTACCATGGCAACGGCTGATGTTTTTTGGTATGCGATTGAAGTTTCGATTTCAAACAAATCAATAATTCATACTACATAATTGGAATCTATTTTCGTCCAGTAAACACCTTCAGAATTTATATATATTTAAAAAAATACTTGGTTATAACAGTTGATTTAGAATCTGTAAAAAAACATTCAAATAATTTACGTTTTCAATCTACCACGTTTACATTCCTCAAACAAAATACAAGCTCAGTGTCGCGCATCATTCAGAAAACGTAAAATGGTAAATGGTGAGACAGCTTAATTTGGAGAAAGGTATTTTACAGATGCTTCTGTTACTGAAAGACTGCATGGTGGAAGGGAGATAACCCACTTGTTAAAAAATGCGCCCAAAAGAGAAACGGTTTCTGTGAATGACCAGTCTGCAATCAGATGATATTAGTTTTTGTTTTCTTAAGTGGATTCATAATGTTTTGTTTTTCTTCTTGTTACTCATTTAGTAATTCAGTGTCATAAACAAAGTACCGTAAGTCAGCAAACAATGTACAGAAGAACAAAAACAGATACAAAGAGCATTTTCATTTTTTTAATATCAGTTGTAGTAGAATATAATTATTTAAAGCATTCAAAATCCATACAAATCAGAGCTGTTAACCTTAAAAATGATAACTGATAATCACCTGTATAAGTTGCCTCTGTACACCTCATTACCATGGGTACCAAGCCTTCCCTTACAAAAGTAAGTACTGTAAATATAATTATCAGCCTGGGACCCATTCCACAAAGCAATCGTAACTCCCATACCTTAACGCAGACTTATGGCAGTTGTAACACTAAGGTGATCGTAACTCCCATACTATAACACAGATTTATGATAGTTGTAGCACTAAGGTGATCGTAACTCCCATACCTTAACACAGACTTATGACAGCTGTAGCACTAAGGTGATCGTAACTCCCATACCTTAACACAGATTTATGATAGTTGTAGCACTAAGGTGATCGTAACTCCCATACCTTAACACAGACTTATGACAGCTGTAGCACTAAGGTGATCCTAACTCCCATACTATAACACCGATTTATGATAGTTGTAGCACTAAGGTGATCGTAACTCCCATACCTTAACGCAGACTTATGACAGCTGTAGCACTAAGGTGGTCATAGCTCCCATACCTTAATGCAGACTTATGACAGCTGTAGCACTAAGGTGATCGGAACTCCCATACTATAACACAGATTTATGATAGTTGTAGCACTAAGGTGATCGTAACTCCAATACCTTAACACAGACTTATGACAGCTGTAGCACTAAGGTGATCGTAACTCCCATACTATAACACAGATTTATGATAGTTGTAGCACTAAGGTGATCGTAACTCCCATACCGTAACGCAGACTTATGACAGCTGTAGCACTAAGGTGGTCATAGCTTCCATACCTTAATGCAGACTTATGACAGCTGTAGCACTAAGGTGATCGGAACTCCCATACTATAACACAGATTTATGATAGTTGTAGCACTAAGGTGATCGTAACTCCCATACCTTAACACAGACTTATGACAGCTGTAGCACTAAGGTGATCGTAACTCCCATACTATAACACAGATTTATGACAGCTGTAGCACAAAGGTGATCTTAACTCCCATACTTTAACATAGTCTTATGACAGCTGTAGCACAAAGGTGATCGTAACTCCCATACTTTAACACAGACTTATGACAGTTGTAGCACTAAGGTGATCATAACTCCCATATGTTAACATGGACACATGACAGTCGTAGTACTACGATCACTTTGTGGAAGGGATCCCTGCTCATTAAATAGAGTCAGCTTCATATTTTTTCACCACTACTGAGATCCACTTACCCAAAAAGGAAATACTGTTATCTCACCTCCATGTCAGAATGATGGGATCAGATTGGTTCACATGATATTCATATAACACTACAGAGCGGGAGAATGAACCCGTATACCCTACTACAAGGCAAAAAAGCTGCGCATTGCTAATGAGTAAATGAAAAACATGTTACAAAGCAAAAGTTAACCTCAGTTCAGTCGAACTGCTGTTTTCTATCAATTTTCAATTTGTTTTAATTCTTTTACAATGGCACATAGAAACATGTTGGTTAGATGAATTCATTGTAGCAGTATTAGGCTTGTGGTGTAATCCTAACGCGGGATGCATAAAACTGCAGTGGCATTGTCTGCACATTCCAGGGATTTATCAAGGATTAGAAACCTCGTATCCCTGGCCTTCTACACTCCTGACAGACCCTCTATCCACTAGACCACAGAGGCAGTCTTGTTTCTTAGGAACAGAATAAGTAATTACATGAAACATGTTTTTCTTTCAGTAAAAGAAACTCAACTGTTTGCTTTACCAAACATGTATTCAATATGTACAGTTTTTACATTCAAGTTCTCAAGTATCTTGTTGACAAATCTCCAACATGACATATAATCACAAAAGATGGAAGTGAAAATTTCAATTCTGAAAACAAGCATGAAATACTAATATCCCCCACCAACATGACATGTCCGGTTGTGTGCCAGGCAACAAATATTGTATGGTTTTCAAGATCTGCTCCAGAAACGAGCATTTTCAAAAATATAAATCAAAGATGTCGCCATGGAAATTCGAAAACTATTTTTTTTTTTAAATCCCAAACTATCAAAAGGCACCAGTTTACCACTAGACCTACCTATGTGTCAAGTTTGGTTCTGCTCCTGAAAGGAAATGTGATGGATGGCCGGAAGGACAGACAGACAACACCCATTCCCATATCGCCCTGCCACTTCGTGGTGGGGGATAATAAACATACAAATTTCATTCGTTAATCAGCCCATTAGGTATGTTTTTGATGCCTTCAAAAGTGGTAATTCTGTGAATGTCAATCACTGGATTGTCTGGTCCAGACTCGATTTTTTACAGACCACCGTCATATAGCTGGAATATTGCTGAGTGCGGTGTTAAACAAAAAAACAAAAAACAAAACATATTACAAACAAAACTGACTGGCAGTTTTAACATCAGCATCCATCTTAGTACATACAGCACAAACACATCAAGTCACCACCATTGTATATATGGATAGTATAACTCATATTTCCACAGTGATGAGGTCAAGATGTAATAAGTATGCTCTCAGTGACATGTGTTACTAGTCGTACCATTCCCTGGCCAACACTGCCTCTCTAAAGCTGATTGTGTGTTCCATTCATACACAAACATGGAGTATTTTCACTGAGTGCAAGTTTTGGACATGCAGGTCGAGAGAAGGAAAAACTGTGTTCATTAAAGATAGACTATGTACATCAGAGACCATATCATTCATATGCATATCATTGACCTATGCTGTCACTAAAGCTGATTGTGTGTTCCATTCATACAGATCATGGAATATTTTCACTGAGTGCAAGTTTTGGACATGCAGGTCGAAAGAAGGAAAAACTGTGTTCATTAAAGATAGACTATGTCCTGCTGTATATTTCCTGACATGACACATACTTTTTACACTTCTCATTCCACTCCTTCAATTTTCTGTCAAACTTGTCCCGTTCATCAAATATCCTCTTCTCTGTGTAGTGGTTAATAATTCTATACAGTTCCACTCTCCCATCAGAGAAAACCTGAGCTAACTCTTGAGAGTGATCTCCCCTGTCAAGCAAACTCTTCTCCAATAAGATGGTCCACATTTGGTCAAGACTTTCCCAGATAAAACTATTCTGGGGCATCTGTGTTGCAGCACTCTCTTTGTAGGTCAAAGCCTCGACGAAGGCCTCCATAGCCTTTGCTGGGTGGCCTCCCCTTTTGTAGGCCTTGCCAAGGCTGAGCAAACTCTCGACATGGGTGACCGATCCACAGGCCACAGCTTGCCTCATGGCCACTGTTTTCTTAAAGGATTCCACTGCATTGTTGTGATCACCCATAGCCAGATAGAGTTTGCCATAGGTCTCCAAAGTCAGACCTTCTTCAAACCTATTGGAAGAAAAGCAAAGAAGAAATCATTTAACTCGTGAAATTCTCCTGGCCGTGCATCCCCAAATTCTGGTTACTAATCATTTCAAACCAGCCTGAAACTGGGTGGGCAAAAGTGACTTATCAACTGCAATGAAACTCTCAATGCAATGAGAACAAGTTGGAAATTCAGCCTCGATTCAATATTGTTTGAAATTACCTAACCACCAGCTTTTGAGAATTCATCGTTAGCACAGTTCACACATCTCACAGTGATAGCCCATTCGCATAGGTCTTCATACTATCGCTACCACCAGTCACAGCTCCCAACAGTGCTAGGCCCCTACAACCATGCACGGTGCTGATCACACAACAGATCGATAATAATATTTACAATAAACGATAACCATCCCGTTTTATGACATTCTCAGACACACACAAATATACAAGTCAGTACATTTTGTGTTTGAAAGAAGACACTGATGGCAGCTGTAATAGCCACATCCACACTGATGGCAGCTGTAATAGCCACATCCACACTGAAGACAGCTGTATTAGCCACATCCACACTGAAGACAGTTGTAATAGCCACATCCACACTGATGGCAGCTGTAATAGCCACATTCACACTGATGGCAGCTGTAATAGCCACATCCACACTGATGGCAGCTGTATTAGCCACATCCACACTGAAGACAGTTGTAATAGCCACATCCACACTGATGGCAGCTGTAATAGCCACATCCACACTGATGGCAGCTGTATTAGCCACATCCACACTGAAGACAGTTGTAATAGCCACATCCACACTGATGGCAGCTGTAATAGCCACATCCACACTGATGGCAGCTGTAATAGCCACATCCACACTGAAGACAGTTGTAATAGCCACATCCACACTGATTGCAGCTGTAATAGCCACATCCACACTGATGGCAGCTGTAATAGCCAAATCCACACTGATGGCAGCTGTAATAGCCACATCTACACTGAAGACAGTTGTAATAGCCACATCCACACTGAAGACAGTTGTAATAGCCACATCCACACTGATGGCAGCTGTAATAGCCACATCAACACTGAAGACAGTTGTAATAGCCACATCCACACTGAAGACAGTTGTAATAGCCACATCCATACTGATGGCAGTTGTAATAGCCACATCCACACTGATGGCAGCTGTAATAGCCACATCCACACTGAAGACAGTTGTAATAGCCACATCCACACTGATTGCAGCTGTAATAGCCACATCCACACTGATGGCAGCTGTAATAGCCACATCCACACTGAAGACAGTTGTAATAGCCACATCCACACTGAAGACAGTTGTAATAGCCACATCCACACTGATGGCAGCTGTCATACTGGTCATCGCATCCCATCTGCGTCAGTCACTGGATTGTCTGGTCCTGACACGATTATTTACAGAGTGACGTCATATAGGTAGAATATTGCTGAGTGCGGCGTTTAATAACAAAGAAACAAAGAACCAGGGGACAGCAAAGGTGTCCTGTTCTGGTATGGAGTACGAGCTTAGTTGACTCTTCCTTTAAGTGGACATTTACAGCGCTGACTACAAAAACAGATATCTTCCTAGACAAAGCCAAAAGCTTAAAAGACCAGCATGAGATACTCACCTCCCTAGCAATGAACAAATGTATAATGTGCTGCAATATGACAGGAACTTTAGCATGTTCAGCCATCTCAGTGGAATGTTGTTACGGTGAGTAGATCACTGGGGGCAGTTGTTACACCTGGATATACACTGTTTTCCATTTTTTTAAATGGAATTAGAAAAAATATAAATGATAACAAATCCCCCAAAATAAGCAGCCAAGGACTTGATTGAATATTTCATTGATTGGAAATTTGTTGTAATGAGAATCCCCCCAAAATTTGAAATATTTCCTAAATAGTAAATGGCACCAGTTCATTGTAAGCCTGATATCTGCAAGAACTATTAAATGATCTTTCCAGAAACAAAACATGATGGACAGATGGACGGACAGCATGGATTCCCATATCCCCCTCCCACATGGCGGTGGATAAAAACGTTCCTGCAGCCTGTCCTAAGGACCCGAACAATGAGAAGAAACATTGAAATGTTTGTTGCCTTACTTGTATATCTTCGAATGCTTCTCTAGAAGTTGCGATGCTTCCTGCAATAGCTGTCCAGCAGCCTCGAAGTTCTTGCTCTTGATCTCGACATTGGCCACGTTGTTGAGGGAGATGATGATAGCGCTGGGGGTGGCGTTAGTTGCCCTCTTCACCTCCAGTCCCTTCTTGTAGTAGTGGTTGGACTTCTCTATCTCCCCCTTCTGGAGGTACAGGATGCCCATGTTGTTGTAGACGCTGCCGATGTGGGGGTGGTTCTCACCGTGGAGGTGAATCCTTCGTTTCAAGGACTCACGGTGGTATTTCTCTCCCTCTTCGTAGTTTCCTGTAAAATACTGTATGTTTGTTGGTTTGTTATACCTCTGACTTAAGGGCAGGGGTATATAGTTATACCAAGGAATTCTGTCCGTCCTTCAGAGGATTTTGACATTTGGATTTTGACATGTTTTGAACTTAGAATTTCTTTTTACTTCAACATTGGTAAGATCTATAACCTGAAAACTACTTCATGGATTCTTCTCCAATTGGGGGTACAGTTTCTATACCAATAGGAGAGTTGCAGTGCAAAGTTTGATTTTGATAAGTGGACTTTCTGAGAAAATACTGATTTTCTTTCATGTTTTGAACATGGCATTTGTTAATACCATGACCTACGATGATGCACTAGTGCATCTTCCATTACCATGTTTAATAATAATAATAATAATAATAATAATAGGATATTTATATTGCACATATTTCCTTACCACTTAGGGTCATGCTCAAAGCGCTATTATTACCCGGGTCACTGGATCAGTGTTCACTCAAGAATAATTCTCAGCTCCCTGGGGAGTATAAAACCCAAGGTGCCTGTTAGGAGCTAGAAGGTTAACACCCACGTTGTCATCTCATCCTACCTGGTACCCATTCTCTGCTGGGTGACCAGAGGCACATTTTGAATAAAGTCACTTGCCCGAGGAGACGCCACATGTGCAACATGTGCTTCACAGTGGTGCCAGACCGAAGCCTCAGAAACTCTCAGGAGCCAAGCTGCCGAAACGCAGTCACCCGTCCAAGGACTCTCCGCAACCAACACTGCTTAACCTGATTTGTGATCCGTGCACTGTGGACAGGACCACGTACCACCACACGTTATACGTTATATCATTGTGCGTTCTAAGAGAAACCGGCTCAGTATATCTCCAATATCAAAATTGTTATTCAGGTCTATGGAGTCAAGATCAGGGTATTAATGAGCCATGCCCACTTTTTGTCTAGTTTCTTTGTTATTATACAAAGTTCATCAGCTTGGTTTTCCTGTATTTGGGGAATGAAAGGTGTATACGTTATCTCAGAAAGGGGGACAGGTAGGGTAATTATATAGAAAGCTAGCTGGAAATCTGCAATAGTGCACAGCACTTGTCCTGACCGATGGCAGTGTTGACAACGCCCAGCACAGACAGAGTAGTCAGGACCACAGGCTCATAGTACATCCCCTGCATGATCTGGTAGTTCTTAGCCTCTTGCAGGTGTCTGCAAATAGAGTGAAAACTGATAATGTTGCTGCACTTGCCACAAACCCTACACCACCCTCAGTCTCACCCCAAACTCTACACCTCACCTCAGTCTCACCCCAAACCATACACCTCACCTCAGTCTCACCCAAAGTTCCACACCTCGCCAGTCTCACCCCAAACTCTACTGCACCCTCAGTCTCACTCCAAACCCTACACCACCCTCAGTCTCACCCCAAACCCTACACCACACTAAGTCTCACCCCAAACCCTACACCTCACCTCAGTCTCACCCCAAACTCTACACCTCGCCAGTCTCACCCCAAACTCTACACCACCCTCAGTCTCACCCCAAACTCTACACCTCACCTCAGTCTCAACCCAAACTCTACACCACACTAAGTCTCACCACAAACTCTACACCTCACCTCAGTCTCACCCCAAACCCTACACCTCACAACAGTCTCACCCAAAACCCTACACAACACTAAGTCTGACCCCAAACTATACACCTCACCACAGTCTGACCCCAAACTCTACACCTCACCTCAGTCTCACCACAAACTCTACACCTCACCTCAGTCTCAACCCAAACTCTACACCTCACCTCAGTCTCACCCCAAACTCTACACCTCACCTCAGTCTTACCCCAAACTCTACACCTCACCTCAGTCTCAACCCAACTCTACACCTCACCTCAGTCTCACCCCAAACTCTACACCTCACCTCAGTCTTACCCCAAACTCTACACCTCACCTCAGTCTCAACCCAAACTCTACACCTCACCTCAGTCTCACCCCAAACTCTACACCTCACCTCAGTCTTACCCAAAACTCTACACCACCCTCAGTCTCACCACAAACTCTACACCTCACCTCAGTCTCACCACAAACTCTACACCTCACCTCAGTCTCACCCCAAACTCTACACCTCACCTCAGTCTTACACCAAACTCTACACCTCACCTCAGTCTCAACCCAAACTCTACACCTCACCTCAGTCTCACCCCAAACTCTACACCTCACCTCAGTCTCAACCCAAACTCTACACCTCACCTCAGTCTCACCCCAAACTCTACACCTCACCTCAGTCTTACCCCAAACTCTACACCTCACCTCAGTCTCACCCCAAACTCTACACCACCCTCAGTCTCACCCCAAACTCTACACCTCACCTCAGTCTCAACCCAAACTCTACACCACACTAAGTCTCACCACAAACTCTACACCTCACCTCAGTCTCACCCCAAACCCTACACCTCACAACAGTCTCACCCAAAACCCTACACAACACTAAGTCTGACCCCAAACTATACACCTCACCACAGTCTGACCCCAAACTCTACACCTCACCTCAGTCTCACCACAAACTCTACACCTCACCTCAGTCTCAACCCAAACTCTACACCTCACCTCAGTCTCACCCCAAACTCTACACCTCACCTCAGTCTTACCCCAAACTCTACACCTCACCTCAGTCTCAACCCAACTCTACACCTCACCTCAGTCTCACCCCAAACTCTACACCTCACCTCAGTCTTACCCCAAACTCTACACCTCACCTCAGTCTCAACCCAAACTCTACACCTCACCTCAGTCTCACCCCAAACTCTACACCTCACCTCAGTCTTACCCAAAACTCTACACCACCCTCAGTCTCACCACAAACTCTACACCTCACCTCAGTCTCACCACAAACTCTACACCTCACCTCAGTCTCACCCCAAACTCTACACCTCACCTCAGTCTTACACCAAACTCTACACCTCACCTCAGTCTCAACCCAAACTCTACACCTCACCTCAGTCTCACCCCAAACTCTACACCTCACCTCAGTCTCAACCCAAACTCTACACCTCACCTCAGTCTCACCCCAAACTCTACACCTCACCTCAGTCTTACCCCAAACTCTACACCTCACCTCAGTCTTACCCCAAACTCTACACCTCACCTCAGTCTCACCCCAAACTCTACACCTCACCTTAGGGCAGCTTCCCGCTTCCCTTGCATGTGAAGATTCCAGCCCATGTTCTGGTGCAACTGAGACGCCATCATGACAGCAGCGGGGTTGTTGACAGCATACACCAGCGCTCGACCGTACATCCTCTCTCCTGCAGGAAAATCTGCCTAAAACAGCAGAAAAATAGTTTATATTAAAAGAACAATTTCTGAAGAAGGGAGAATTTTTTAAAAACTGATCTGTATGCCAATGTATGCTGACAGATGTGCCTGTGTTACCCTGATTTGTGGAAGGAATTGAGAATTCAGTACCTGGAAATTTCATTTTGAACAACAACGTCAGCTAACAGCACATATAATCTTAAAACATGCAATGTTCCTTGCCACTGCAGCGTACAAAACTGGCACTAGTCCTATAGTTCTTGCCAAACTGCCCAATAGTTAAGGACCAGTAGACACTTGCCATTATTAGGGGTTTTGCTATATGTTATTATTATACAGACAAGTGGACATAAACTGTTAGTTTCTATCGCTGCACTGCAAAACTCTTTCCACATGAATAATACTGACATGTCATGAACTCAGGGAGACATGGCATCACTCTGGATAAAACGCATGATGTCTGCTGCCTGGTTAGCAGAATGCAGCGAGAAATCAAGTAAACAAAAGTTGTTCTGATAAATGGCATGGTGTATTTTCGAAATTGGCATAGAGGAAAAAATTGTACTTATCATGAAAAGTTTTCATATGCAGTGGAAAGTCAAGCAGGTTTCAAGATGATTTTGATTCATTTTAACAATATTTTTTGAATACCCGTTAATCCCATTGTAACACACACACACAACCTTGATTCGGAAATTTTTATTTGAAAAAAAGAAACCCGCACCAAACACATATTCCTTTTGTGTGTATATGCCATATGGTGCTCAGAAACAAGGTGCCCTTATTATTTACATTTCGAATCGGCTGTATAAGTTTGTTTTCTATGTCAGAATGCTTCGCTCACAACCGACAACTTTGAAGCCTCAAAGCTGATTGGCTGATGAGAAAGTTCACCTGACCTATGAAGTGGTTCTCAGTTCTTCATGAGGAGACGTTTTTGTATCCTATCGGAGTAAAAGATGAATGGGATCTGCACCTGACACTGACCTTGACATTAGTGAGGACACTGACCTTGACATTGGTGAGTACCCTGCCATATGCTCCGCTGACAATGGCATCATCTCTGGGTTTGTTATAGACCTCGCACAACTCCAGACACTTTGTGTAGAATTTGTAGCTCTCACCTGGAAGTTGACAGGAATGTATGGAATCAAGGTCAAGGATGTTTGGTTGCTGCAGTGTCATGTGACAGAGTACATTTTAAGCAAAGACAATCACCTCGCCAGAAAAGCCATGGCCAACAGGCACATGTGGACAAATCAATATTCTTCTGGCACTGTTAGTTTCTATATCAACATAAATTAAGCACCACAACAGAACTAAAAGGACTAGATTTATTTGGCCTAAGTAGGTAAAAGATCCAGACAGGGTACACTATTTGGCACATAATGTTACACAAAAAGAAAGTGGATACTTCCACGAATTATACACCAATACAACGAAACAAGCAAGTAGCCAAAAACTGTATGGCACAAGTGATATTTTATAAGATCTTAGGCGAGAACTGTAGGTCAGAACGAGAAATGAATATACAAACAGGCATTGTGGGTAGAAACTTGATTTGGAAAGGCCTAGCCATACCCCAGCTAAACCAAGCTATACCCCAGGTGTATGGAAAAACCTAGCAGGTTGAAAACTGTAAAACACCACGCATGGGCCCGGAAAAAACAAAGACTAAAGTATGAACGGTATGTGGCAAAACAACTGCTGTTGGGGATCCTAGGCTTAGCAAAATAAAAGAATTGGTTGTCAGGCAATGTTTTTTGAAAATATAGTGCGGGCAGATGGTGTCTTTTTCTTTTCTAGTTCAAACTAGTATATAACCAAATAAACAATTGTGTACAATCAACCTGAGAAAGAGCCTCCCTACCAAAATGAATTCCTTGATAAGTAAGATACTGGAATACTGTATTTGACAACTGTTGGACTTGGAATATTTAAGGAATGGAAATAAAAACGAAACATGCGGCAAACTTTATGATGATGCGGGCAGTGCCTGAGAACTAAGACTAATATATTTTTTTAAGCCTTAATTAATCATTTTAAAATCTACCAACAGAAATGTGAAAATTACCTTTCCAACAAATTACTACACAAAAGTAGACAATAAACCCTTGCATAATAGTATCAGATTACTGCATATAGTGATACTGACAATTACTGACAATTACTGATCAATCTGGGCCAGGCAAACTAGTGGTTGATAGCATGATCACTGATCCATACCGTCGACTGAAGATGACACACATGGTACTGGGGACCTCTACCGCCCTGGAATCCAGGATTGATGCTCTAGCATGTGGTACTGGGGACCTCTACCGCCCTGGAATCCAGGATTGATGCTCTAGCATGTAGTACTGGGGACCTCGGCCACCCTGGAATCCAGGATTGATGCTCTAGCATGTGGTACCGGGGACCTCGGCCACCCTGGAATCCAGGGTTGATGCTCTAGCATGTGGTACTGGGGACCTCTACCGCCCTGGAATCCAGGGTTGATGCTCTAGCATGTGGTACTGGGGACCTCTACCGCCCTGGAATCCAGAATTGATGCTCTAGCATGTAGTACTGGGGACCTCGGCCACCCTGGAATCCAGGATTGATGCTCTAGCATGTGGTACCGGGGACCTCTACCGCCCTGGAATCCAGGGTTGATGCTCTAGTATGTGGTACTGGGGACCTCTACAGCTATGGAATCCAGGGTTGATACTCTAGCATGTGGTACTGGGGACCTCTGCCACCCTGGAATCCAGGGTTGATGCTCTAGCATGTGGTACCGGGGACCTCGGCCACCCTGGAATCCAGGGTTGATGCTCTAGCATGTGGTACTGGGGACCTCTACCGCCCTGGAATCCAGGGTTGAAGCTCTAGCATGTGGTACCGGGGACCTCTACCGCCCTGGAATCCAGGGTTGATGATCTAGCATGTAGTACTGGGGACCTCGGCCACCCTGGAATCCAGGATTGATGCTCTAGCATGTGGTACTGGGGACCTCTACCGCCCTGGAATCCAGGGTTGATGCTCTAGTATGTGGTACTGGGGACCTCTACAGCTATGGAATCCAGGGTTGATACTCTAGCATGTGGTACTGGGGACCTCTGCCACCCTGGAATCCAGGGTTGATGCTCTAGCATGTGGTACTGGGGTCCTCTACCGCCCTGGAATCCAGGGTTGATGCTCTAGCATGTGGTACTGGGGACCTCTACCGCCCTGGAATCCAGGGTTGAAGCTCTAGCATGTGGTACCGGGGACCTCTACCGCCCTGGAATCCAGGGTTGATGATCTAGCATGTGGTACTGGGGACCTCTACAGCCCTGGAATCCAGGGTTGATGCTCTAGCATGTGGTACTGGGGACCTCTACCGCCCTGGAATCCAGGGTTGATGCTCTAGCATGTGGTACTGGGGACCTCTACTGCCCTGGAATCCAGAATTGATGCTCTAGCATGTGGTACTTGGGACCTCAGCCACCCTGGAATCCAGGGTTGATGCTCTAGCATGTGGTACCGGGGTCTCCTACTGCCCTGGAATCCAGGGTTGATGCTCTAGCATGTGGTACTGGGGACCTCTACCGCCCTTGAGCCCAGGGTTGATGCTCTAGCATGTGGTACTTGGGTCCTCTGCGACCCTGGAATCCAGGATTGATGCTCTAGCATGTGGTACTGGGGTCCTCTACCGCCCTGGAATCCAGGGTTCATGCTCTAGCATGTGGTACCTGGGTCTCCTACTGCCCTGGAATCCAGAGTTGATGCTCTAGCATGTGGTACTGGGGTCTCGTACTGCCCTGGAATCCAGGATTGATGCTCTAGCATGTGGTACTGGGGTCCTCTACCGCCCTGGAATCGAGGGTTGATGCTCTAGCATGTGGTACTGGGGTCTCGTACCGCCCTGGAATCCAGGGTTGATGCTCTAGCATGTGGTACAGGGGACCTCTACCGCCCTGGAATCCAAGATTGATGCTCTAGCATGTTGTACTGGGGTCCTCTACTGCCCTGGAATCCAGGGTTGATGCTCTAGCATATGGTACCGGGGTCTCCTATTGCCCTGGAATCCAGGATTGATGCTCTAGCATGTGGTACTGGGGTCCTCTACTGCCCTGGAATCGAGGGTTGATGCTCTAGCATCTGGTACCTGGGTCCTCTGCCACCCTGGAATCCAGGGTTGATTCATTCATTCAAGCATACACTGCAAGTCTGTTTGCTAAATTAAACTCACCTCCAAAGAAGTTTTCAATAACGTTTGACGAGGATGCCACCATCTCGATATAGATGGGGTAAGTCTCTTGGCTTGAATGCTTGACATCCACCATGAGTTTCTGAAGGTTGGGATGTTCTATAGCCAAATCTGCCACAGCTTCAGTGTAGTCCTTGGTCCCCAGCTTCAGCGATAGCTGATTCAGCACCTCGCTGAAGGTCTGGCAGTAGCGCTTCCGCACATCTGGAAGACAATCATGATTACAAATCATCTTCTGTTTCTATGTCAGTGGCATCAAATTCTTCTAAAGCTCAAAATTCTAACCCGGGTCTTCACTGGTCTGGTGAGATTCTCTATGCTGAATTATTCCTCCGACCACCTCACCTATGAGATTCTCTATGCTGAATCACTCCTCCAATGACCTCACCTTTGAGATTCTCTATGCTGAATCCCTCCTCCTCCGACCACCTCACCTGTGAGATTCTCTATGCTGAATTATTCCTCCGACCACCTCACCTATGAGATTCTCTATGCTGAATCCCTCCTCCTCCGACCACCTCACCTATGAGATTCTCTATGCTGAATCACTCCTCCAATGACCTCACCTTTGAGATTCTCTATGCTGAATCCCTCCTCCTCCGACCACCTCACCTGTGAGATTCTCTATGCTGAATTATTCCTCCGACCACCTCACCTATGAGATTCTCTATGCTGAATCCCTCCTCCTCCGACCACCTCACCTGTGAGATTCTTTATGCTGAATCACTCCTCCTACAACCTCACCTGTGAGATTCTCTATGCTGAATCCCTCCTCCTCCGACCACCTCACCTGTGAGATTCTTTATGCTGAATCACTCCTCCGACCACCTTACCTGTGAGATTCTTTATGCTGAATCACTCCTCCGACCACCTCACCTATGAGATTCTCTATGCTGAATCCCTCCTCCCCCGACCACCTTACCTGTGAGATTCTCTATGCTGAATCACTCCTCTGATCATCTCACCTGTGAGATTCTCTGTTACTCCTCCTCTAATCACCTCACCTGTGAGATTCTCTATGCTGAATCACTCCTCCGACCAGCTCACCTGTGAGATTCTCTATGCTGAATCACTCCTCCGACCACCTCACCTGTGAGATTCTCTATGCTGAATCCCTCCTCCTCCGACCACCTCACCTGTGAGATTCTTTATGCTGAATCACTCCTCCTACAACCTCACCTGTGAGATTCTCTATGCTGAATCCCTCCTCCTCCGACCACCTCACCTGTGAGATTCTTTATGCTGAATCACTCCTCCGACCACCTTACCTGTGAGATTCTCTATGCTGAATCACTGCTCCTCCGACCACCTTACCTGTGAGATTCTCTATGCTGAATCCCTCCTCCCCCGACCACCTTACCTGTGAGATTCTCTATGCTGAATCACTCCTCTGATCATCTCACCTGTGAGATTCTCTGTTACTCCTCCTCTAATCACCTCACCTGTGAGATTCTCTATGCTGAATCACTCCTCCGACCAGCTCACCTGTGAGATTCTCTATGCTGAATCACTCCTCCGACCACCTCACCTGTGAGATTCTCTATGCTGAATCACTCCTCCGACCACCTCACCTGTGAGATTCTCTATGCTGAATCCCTCCTCCTCCGACCACCTCACCTGTGAGATTCTTTATGCTGAATCACTCCTCCTACAACCTCACCTGTGAGATTCTCTATGCTGAATCCCTCCTCCTCCGACCACCTCACCTGTGAGATTCTTTATGCTGAATCACTCCTCCGACCACCTTACCTGTGAGATTCTTTATGCTGAATCACTCCTCCGACCACCTCACCTATGAGATTCTCTATGCTGAATCCCTCCTCCCCCGACCACCTTACCTGTGAGATTCTCTATGCTGAATCACTCCTCTGATCATCTCACCTGTGAGATTCTCTGTTACTCCTCCTCTAATCACCTCACCTGTGAGATTCTCTATGCTGAATCACTCCTCCGACCAGCTCACCTGTGAGATTCTCTATGCTGAATCACTCCTCCGACCACCTCACCTGTGAGATTCTCTATGCTGAATCACTCCTCCGACCACCTCACCTGTGAGATTCTCTATGCTGAATCCCTCCTCCTCCGACCACCTCACCTGTGAGATTCTTTATGCTGAATCACTCCTCCTACAACCTCAACTGTGAGATTCTCTATGCTGAATCCCTCCTCCTCCGACCACCTCACCTGTGAGATTCTTTATGCTGAATCACTCCTCCGACCACCTTACCTGTGAGATTCTCTATGCTGAATCACTGCTCCTCCGACCACCTTACCTGTGAGATTCTCTATGCTGAATCCCTCCTCCCCCGACCACCTTACCTGTGAGATTCTCTATGCTGAATCACTCCTCTGATCATCTCACCTGTGAGATTCTCTGTTACTCCTCCTCTAATCACCTCACCTGTGAGATTCTCTATGCTGAATCACTCCTCCGACCAGCTCACCTGTGAGATTCTCTATGCTGAATCACTCCTCCGACCACCTCACCTGTGAGATTCTCTATGCTGAATCACTCCTCCGACCACCTCACCTGTGAGATTCTCTATGCTGAATCCCTCCTCCTCCGACCACCTCACCTGTGAGATTCTTTATGCTGAATCACTCCTCCTACAACCTCACCTGTGAGATTCTCTATGCTGAATCCCTCCTCCTCCGACCACCTCACCTGTGAGATTCTTTATGCTGAATCACTCCTCCGACCACCTTACCTGTGAGATTCTCTATGCTGAATCACTGCTCCTCCGACCACCTTACCTGTGAGATTCTCTATGCTGAATCCCTCCTCCCCCGACCACCTTACCTGTGAGATTCTCTATGCTGAATCACTCCTCTGATCATCTCACCTGTGAGATTCTCTGTTACTCCTCCTCTAATCACCTCACCTGTGAGATTCTCTATGCTGAATCACTCCTCCGACCAGCTCACCTGTGAGATTCTCTATGCTGAATCACTCCTCCGACCACCTCACCTGTGAGATTCTCTATGCTGAATCACTCCTCCGACCACCTCACCTGTGAGATTCTCTATGCTGAAGTACACCTCCAGACAGTCCTTGAGAATACCGTGGATGTTGTACCTGCGTCGTGGTGCATCAAACTGTACCATGTGCCGGCGCATCAGTGGGGACAGTGTCATGTCTTTGGTGGACTGAGGGGATGTCTCATCTAAACATAACATGCCAACATATCATGATATTAACTCTCCTTCAGTTGGTGGTTATATGAATCACCACCTTTCTTAAGGAAGAGAATATACAGATGTCAACTTCTTTATTATGAGGAACACAACGTTTCTGAGTATATGCTTACTCCTTCATCAGGTGAATGAATGCCATGAAGCAGAGAGCATATATATGTACATGTAAGGACAACAAAATTAATAAGATAACAAAAGGTGGAAAATAACAAAGGGTACAAGCTAACAAAGGAAGCCAACAGATGATTGGCGCTGATTAGCAATAGGCAATGGTAGCCAACACTTAAGTTATCATAGCTAAGTAATTGGTAATGGACACTTGGCAAGCAGGGGTGGGGTGGGTGAGGGAGAAACCTGTCATCAGACACCCAAAGACACACCATCAGACACCCAGAGACGCACCATCAGACACCCCGGGATCAACAGACCATCAGACACCCAAAGACACACTATCAGACACCCAGAGACACACAATCAGACACCCAGAGACACACCATCAGACACCCTGGGATCAACAGACCATCAGACACCCAGAGACACACCATCAGACACCCTGGGATCAACAGACCATCAGACATCTAGAGACACACCATCAGAAACCCTGGGATCAACAGACCTTCAGACACCCAGCGACAAACCATCATCAACAGACCATCAGACACCCAGAGACACACCATCATCAACAGACCATCAGGCACCCAGAGACACACCATCAAACACCCCCTGATCAACAGACCATCATACACCCAGAGACACACCATCAGACACCCCCTGATCAACAGACCATCAGACACCCAGAAACACTCCAACAGACACCCTGGGATCAAGACCATCAGACATCCAGAGACACACCATCAGACACCAAGAGACACATCATCAGACACCCTGGGATCAACAGACCATCAGACACCCAGAGACACACCATCAGACACCCCCTGATCAACAGACCATCAGACACCCAGAGACACACCATCAGACACCCCCTGATCAACAGACCATCAGACACCAAGAGACACACCATCAGACACCCTGGGATCAAGACCATCAGACACCCAGAGACACACCATCAGACACCCTGGGATCAACAGACCATCAGACACCCAGAGACACACCATCAGACACCCAGGGATCAACAGACCATCAGACACCCAGAGACACACCATCAGACACCCTGGGATCAAGACCATCAGACATCCAGAGACACACCATCAGACACCAAGAGACACATCATCAGACACCCTGGGATCAACAGACCATCAGACACCCAGAGACACACCATCAGACACCCCCTGATCAACAGACCATTAGACACCCAGAGACACACCATCAGACACCCCCTGATCAACAGACCATCAGACACCCAGAAACACTCCATCAGACACCCTTGGATCAAGACCATCAGACATCCAGAGACACACCATCAGACACCAAGAGACACATCATCAGACACCCTGGGATCAACAGACCATCAGACACCCAGAGACACACCATCAGACACCCCCTGATCAACAGACCATCAGACACCAAGAGACACACCATCAGACACCCTGGGATCAAGACCATCAGACACCAAGAGACACACCATCAGACACCCTGGGATCAACAGACCATCAGACACCCAGAGACACACCATCAGACACCCCCTGATCAACAGACCATCAGACACCAAGAGACACACCATCAGACACCCTGGGATCAAGACCATCAGACACCCAGAGACACACCATCAGACACCCTGGGATCAACAGACCATCAGACACCCAGAGACACACCATCAGACACCCGGGGATCAACAGACCATCAGACACCCAGAGACACACCATCAGAATCCCCGTGATCAACAGACCATCAGACACCCAGAAACACACCATCAGACACCCTGGGATCAAGACCATCAGACATCCAGAGACACACCATCAGACACCAAGAGACACATCATCAGACACCCTGGGATCAACAGACCATCAGACAACCAGAGACACACCATCAGACACCCTGGGATCAAGACCATCAGACATCCAGAGACACACCATCAGACACCAAGAAACATACCATCAAACACCAAGAGACAGATTATCAGACACCCTGGGATCAACAGACCATCAGACACCCAGAGACACACCATCAGAAACCCCGGGATCAACAGACCATCAGACACCCTGGGATCAAGACCATCAGACATCCAGAGACACACCATCAGACACCAAGAAACATACCATCAGACACCCGGAGACACACCATCAGACACCCGGGATCAATAGCCCATCAGACACCCAGAGACACACCATCAGAAACCCAGAGACACACCATCAGACACCCAGAGACACACCATCAGAAACCCTGGGATCAACAGACCTTCAGACACCCAGAGACACACCTTCATCAACAGACCATCAGACACCCAGAGACACTCCATCAGACACCCTGTGATCAACAGACCATCAGACACCCAGAGACACACCATCAGACACCCCTGGATCGACCGACTATCAGACACCCAGAGATTCACCATCAGACACCCTGGGATCAACAGACCATCAGACACCCAGAGACACACCATCAGACACCCGGAGACACACCATCAGACACTTGGGATCAACAGCCCATCAGACACCCAGAGACACACCATCAGAAACCCAGAGACACACCATCAGACACCCAGAGACACACCATCAGAAACCCTGGGATCAACAGACCTTCAGACACCCAGAGACACACCATCATCAACAGACCATCAGACACCCAGAGACACTCCATCAGACACCCTGTGATCAACAGACCATCAGACACCCAGAGACACACCATCAGACGACCCCGGGATCGACCAACTATCAGACACCCAGAGACACACCATCAGACAACCTGGGATCAACAGACCATCAGACACCCACAGACACACCATCAGACACCCCGGGATCAACACACCATCAGACACCCTGGGATCAACAGACCATCAGACACCCGGGATCAACAGACCATCAGACACTCAGAGACACACCATCAGACACTCAGAGACAAACCATCAGACACCCTGGGATCAACAGACCTTCAGACACCCAGAGACAAACCATCAGACACCCCGGGATCAACAGACCATCAGACACCTAGAGACACACCATCAGAAACCCTGGGATCAACAGACCTTCAGACACCCAGAGACACACCATCAGACACCCCGGGATCAACAGACCTTCAGACACCCAGAGACACACCATCAGACACCCCGGGATCAACAGCCCATCAGACACCCAGAGACACACCATCAGAAACCCAGAGACACACCATCAGACACCCAGAGACACACCATCAGAAATCCTGGGATCAACAGACCTTCAGACACCCAGAGACACACCTTCATCAACAGACCATCAGACACCCAGAGACACTCCATCAGACACCCTGTGATCAAAAGACCATCAGACACCCAGAGACACACCATCAGACACCCCTGGATCGACCGACTATCAGACACCCAGAGACTCACCATCAGACACCCTGGGATCAACAGACCATCAGATACCCAGAGACACACCATCAGACACCCGGAGACACACCATCAGACACCTGGGATCAACAGCCCATCAGACACCCAGAGACACACCATCAGAAACCCAGAGACACACCATCAGACACCCAGAGACACACCATCAGAAACCCTGGGATCAACAGACCATCAGACACCCAGAGACACACCATCATCAACAGACCATCAGACACCCAGAGACACTCCATCAGACACCCTGTGATCAACAGACCATCAGACACCCAGAGACACACCATCAGACACCCCGGGATCGACCAACTATCAGACACCCAGAGACACACCATCAGACACCCTGGGATGAACAGACCATCAGACACCCACAGACACACCATCAGACACCCCGGGATCAACACACCATCAGACACCCCGGGATCAACAGACCATCAGACACCCGGGATCAACAGACCATCAGACACCCAGAGACACACCATCAGACACCCTGGGATCAACAGACCTTCAGACACCCAGAGACACACCATCAGACACCCCGGGATCAACAGACCATCAGAAACCTAGAGACACACCATCAGAAACCCTGGGATCAACAGACCTTCAGACACCCAGAGACAAACCATCATCAACAGACCATCAGACACCCAGAGACACACCATCAGACACCCCGGGATCAACAGACCATCAGACACCTAGAGACACACCATCAGAAACCCTGGGATCAACAGACCTTCAGACACCCAGAGACAAACCATCATCAACAGACCATCAGACACCCAGAGTCACACCATCAGACACCCCGGGATCAACAGACCATCAGACACCCAGAGACACACCATCAGACACCCTGGGATCAACAGACCATCAGACACCCAGAGACACACCATCAGACACCCCGGGATCAACAGACCATCAGATACCCTGGGATCAACAGACCATCAGACACCCAGAGACACACCATCAGAAACCCCGGGTTCAACAGACCATCAGACACCCAGAGACACACCATCAGACACCCAGAGACACACCATCAGACACCCCCTGCTCAACAGACCATCAGACACCCCGGCATCGACCAACCATCGACCGACCCTTACTTACCCAGCATACGTTGAGCATGTCCTGTAGTGAAGGACCCTGGGATATATCCCAGCACGGCCAGTCTTTGGCGGAACACCTCAGACAACCTTCTGATGAAGTTTCTGTACACTGGCCCTTTCAACAAACATAATTAATTAATTAAAAGTGCTGTATGCCTTGGAAATGAAGAGTGAGTGAGTGAGTTTGGTTTTACGCCGCCTTTAGCAATATTCCAGCAATATCACGGCGGGGGACACCAGAAATGGGTGGAAATGAAGAAGGTATGCCTCATTTGCTCTTTTGGAGATTCATTTAAAGCATTCTCTCCTCACGCTGAAGACCCGGGTTTGATTCCCAACATGGGTAAAATGTGTGGAGCCCATTTGGGCTGTCCCCCACCAGCTGGAATATTGCTGAAACGGCGTAAAACCATACATACTCATATTCACTATAGGGGCTGATAGTGTCTGAAAGTCTTCAGCCAATGTTTGCATAATTCTTTTTAAATATCACGATTCAAGTTATTATAATCACTAATGTGTTAGCTTCGTAAAGGTAAAGGTGACGGTTCGGTACAGATCCTTATACCGTTGTCAAGCTTACAGTATTAAAGAAGTTGTTATCCATAAATTGTGTCTACTTTGTCAAAGAGAAACAGGCTTTAATAATTTGGTTTACATTATTGACAAGTCTCACCAATCTGCTCCTCCTCTGCATAGCTGCAGTCTCTGCTCCAGGCATCGAGACGGACATGTGTGCCATCTGTTAGTGAGTAAGTGAGTTTTGTTATGTTCCAGCCATATCACCAATAGTTATCTGGGCCAGACAACCCGTGACAAGGCCTGTGCCACAGTCCATGCATGTAGGGGCACACTATGAGCCAAACAGCTCTTATGACAAGCATGGGATACTCACGACCTATAAAACTGTCAAGTATTATTGTAAAATGGTTAAATATTTAGATATTCAAATAACAGTATCTTGAAAATGCTATTGGCATCCTTGAGAGTTCCATCACCTGAGTCATCATCACAAGCCTCCAGCCGACTCTGAGTCAAGATGTCCACCATCTGCTCTGGACTCAAGAAACCATTGTCTATCTCCAGCTCAGAGCCTGAAATCAATTGTGTGTCAAAAATTAACATCTTTTCCCAGAAATTCACAAATTGATAGGAAAAAGATGCATATTCTTTTGTATATTCTCTTTTTCCTTTTTATATTTTACATGTTTAGTTCCCATCTTCACTGTTTAAGAATCATAAAAAATGCAGTCATGACATAGGTCTTGTTGCTATGCAAATTAAACATGACATACCAACAAACAGACAATTGCAGCCAAACCATTCAGACACAGGGCTAAAGACAGACAGACAGATAGACACACTGCAGCCCAGCTATTTAGACACAGGGCTAAAGACAGACAGACAGACACACTGCAGCCCAGCTATTCAGACACAGGGCTAAAGACAGACAGACAGACAGACACACAGCAGCCCAGCTATTCAGACAGATAGACAGATAATGAAGACAACAAGAAGGGCCAACAACCACTGACATACATACAAACACATGGACACACAAAAACAGACAGGCCATGATAGCAACAAGAAATACAAAGCAAACACACTGCAGACAGACAGACATGAAAGTAGGCTAAATTATCCATACATTTATCGTCAGGAATTAAAATAACTGGCCATTAACAGAAGCCTAAGATTAACCAACCTGTCATGAGAACCGCCAAGGGAAGACCCATGCATAGCTCCACGATCTTGTCGATCATTCCCTGGTCGTAATGTACACTTGGAGTGACAGAGTGAAGTAGAGCTACTCCATCGCCATGGGACAGAGGAGGCAGGTCCATCCAGCAGTACATGCTGGCATGGCGTGGGAAGGTCACTTTGGCAGTTGATGTGAAGACGATCTTCAAACTCATACACCTCTCCATCAGCATTCCACAAGTCAGCACAAAGTCAGCTTTCACTTCGCTTTCTATCACGTCTTCAGCATTGTCGAAGTTTACAACATAAAATACAGATGGTGTACTCTCCATCTTGCTTAGAATATTTCCCACCAACTTTTCGACTTCATCAATCTGGTCGTCATCAAAGAAACCAAAAGCGGTTCTGACTTGGAAAATGAAACGCTGTAAACTTCTAACAGCATTCAAATCTATGAGGATGTGATGAACCGAGTCTGAAAGTGGATGTTCAGATTTCATACGGTGGATGAATTCTTCAACTGTTCTGGATTTGCCAACAGACCTCATGCCAAACACTCCAATGATCCGGTACCTGCTCCACAGGCTCCAGAACTCTTGCAGGAAATCTTCCCTCCCCACAAACGGATGGAGAACTTCCACATCTTCTGTTCCCTCCATACTGATATATGAAATGCTGATCTATGGAATCATATGTTAGTATCCTATCAACTACTCATACATTTCCACATTGGCACCAAATAAGTTCTTGAATAACCCAAGCTCTTGGTCCACTAGGGTGATGAATATAATGCTGATGTATGGAATCATATGCTAGTTTCCTATCAACTACTCATACATTTCCACATTGGCACCAAATAAGTTCTTGAACAACCCAAGCTTAGTCCACTTGGGTGATGAATATAATGCTGATCTATAGAATCATATGCTAGTTTCCTATCAACTACTCATACATTTCCACATTGGCACCAAATAAGTTCTTGAACAACCCAAGCTCTTGGTCCACTAGGGTGATGAATATAATGCTGATCTTTAGAATCATATGCTAGTTTCCTACCAACTACTGACACATTTCCCTATCTGGAGTCATTAGTCCATGAATAACTCCAGCCCCGTGGGATAATAATATACCAGTGTCCTTGTAGAGGTTACCTGCAGGAACATCCAGATCTTTTGTTGAAAGACATGTACAGAACATCTGTCTTCCTCATTGCAGGAACATCAAAAACAGATCTATTGTTGAAGGACGTGTAGAGAACATCTGTCTTCCTCATTGCAGGAACATCCAGATCTTTTGTGGAAAGACGTACAGAATGTCCGTTTTCCTCATTGCAGGAACATCCAGATCTTTTGTGGAGAGACGTGTACAGAATGTCCGTTTTCCTCATTGCAGGAACATCCAGATCTTTTGTGGAAAGACGTGTACAGAATGTCCGTTTTCCTCATTGCAGGAACATCCAGATCTTTTGTTGAAGAACATGTACAGAATGTCCGTTTTCCTCATTGCAGGAACATCCAGATCTTTTGTTGAAGAACATGTACAGAATGTCTGTCTTCCTCATTGTAGGAACATCCAGATCTTTTGTTGAAGAACATGTACAGAATGTCTGTCTTCCTCATTGCAGGAACATCCCATCTCACCGTGCCTCCTATCTCCTAGATTTCACTTGTTATGGAATCCTGAATTCATCCCCGTCTGATCCTTGGTTTCAGGTCAGCACAATATCAGTGTTGGCTGACCTGCTCCATTCCCTTCCACTTTGGACATGCCGTGTTGTGACTGAAATAGGGATAAAATTAGCTATCAAACATAATGCAATTATCTTCCCACACTACTACCTGGGGGTACTTTGGCCCAGGGATCTGCACGTCTCTGTGGAGGGTTTCTAGCAGGCTTCCTTAGCCTCACATCGATCAATGTAATTGGGATACGTTGACATACATCAAACCTGCGAGCCTGACCACCCGATCCTGTTTGTCGCCTCTTACGACAAGCTGAAGACCAATTGCAACCCAGATCATCACAGGTCAGTAACACAATGCAAAATTGAGATCACTAACAAAATACACTGGGTATGTAAGAGAGTACGGAGGAAGTAGATTCTTTACAAACCCTCATGACAGTAAAAATCTTCCTTACAAGGTGAAGTAGTTGAACACTGAGGAAACACTAAACTTCTTCCTTCTGGAATATTGTTACATTTTATTTAGAAAGGGCTAATACATGTATGCAGTTGTTCAAATTCTGAATCAATTAAAGTAAATTGATTTAAAGTGCACCAGGTGTATGTTGACATGAAAACCTAGTTGCACCAGACAAAAACCACACATTTATCACAGCTAAAACAGGCCGGTCTGCTCCCAGCCACATTAATTAATTACTGTAAAATGTTATTAGAACATTTGCACATAATCGTGAAGCTCCTGCATATCAAGCCTAAGAAAGCAAGACAAATTACAAGTACCACAGGGATTAGTGATGTAGTATGGTCAGTAAATGTTAGAAGTGTTGAGTGTGTTCAAAGATAGATTTTGTGTGAACAAGTAAAGGTTGGTCAGAGAAATTTTTTTTTACATACACTTGGTGTATGTAGACATACCGTATTCGACGTAATAAGCGCCCCGCTCTAATAAGCGCCCACTGCGATATTTGTTAATATACTGGCTAGTGAACAATCCTAATCAGCATCCCTTCCGATTGATAAATGTACACAAGGCTATTTATTCGTGCATAATACGTTTGTTATATGCACCCTTAATTATGGGCAATTAAATTCTGGAAAAATATATCTGTCGTTTATAAACATTTCAGCATAAACCACGAAATTTACGCTCTTTGAACTCTGTGGTTTTTCACCAAAATATTATTCTGATAAGAGCCCCCTATTTCTAATTTTGAGAGCGCCCTGGGCGCTTATTATATGGAATACAGTAAATATTAGGTTGCATTTTTAAATAAAAGGTTGCACATGTGCATGTTTTATATACAGTAAACTATGGACCCGTGAAGATTCCGGGGTAGAATAGGTCTTCAGCAACCCATGCTTGCCCCAATTGCGTGGATCGATGCTCATGATATCAAACACTGGATTGTCTGGTCCAGACTTGATTATTTACAGACCGCCGTCATATAGCTGGAATATTGCTGAGTGCGGCGTTAAACAACAAACCAACCAACCAACCAGTAAACTATGGATATAACGAACTCAAAGGGAACTCTAATTCTAGTTCACTATGACCGTAGTTTGTAGTAAGTATGTATACGGTATATATACAGTAAATTGCCAGGACCAAAAAAGACAGATTGTTATATCTGTAAGTTCGTTATAAGCGTGTTCTTTATAAACGTAGTTTACTGTAGCTAAATCAAGCCCTGACATCACATTTGCAATAAAAAATCTAAAGGTATTTATCATTCAGTTAATAATCATAATCGAAGAAATAGAGAATCTCACCCGAGTGAGATTTTTTCCACTTTTATCAACTCGTGTTGATATATTTGATATCAAAAGACACGAGGGTGAGATTTTATTTATCATCCAACATAATTCTTACAACTTTTTCAATTTGTAGACAGTAATTAGCAGTGTCTTCAGTGTAAAAAGTACTGCAAACAGCTTCAGTAGTAGAGCCATTAGTGATGTCATTTGATTGTGACGTCATGGTAACCAGTGACGTCACAATGGTCTGCAAAGCATTGTGATGTAATTTCATTGCAGCGATATCTACAGTGTAGATATCGCTTGATCTCATCCAAGGATATCTCCTGTGGGAGCCAGTTTTGGATGATAAATAGAGAATCTCACCCGAGTGTCTTTTGATATCAAATATATCAACGAGTGTTGATATATTTGATATCAAAAGACACGAGGGTGAGATTTTATTTATCATCCAACATCATTCTTTCAACTTTTTCAATTTGTAGACAGTAATTAGCAGTGTCTTCAGTGTAAAAAGTACTGCAAACAGCTTCAGTAGCAGAGCCATTAGTGATGTCATTTGATTGTGACGTCATGGTAACCAGTGACGTCACAATGGTCTGCAAAGCATTGTGATGTAATTTCATTGCAGCGATATCTACAGTGTAGATATTGCAAAAGCGATATCTACAGTGTAGATATCGCTTGATCTCATCCAAGCGATATCTCCTGTGGGAGCCAGTTTTGGATGATAAAGATAGATCTACTGTTATTTGTATTTAATCAGGAACAAGGAAGTGTGCCTTGTTCCAACAATAAACAACTGGAAATGTTTATGTCAATTAAATTCACAAAAAATATTTGCTCACATAATACAGCCCGTCACAAGTCCTGAATCAGTGATGATGTAGATTAACATGTAAATAACTTGCATACACATTGCATCATCCTCTCAGAGAGTCTTCAGTTCCAAGAAGTACTTGTAAACTGAAAGTACAAATACTTGTATATGTTACAGGAAACAAGTATAATCAGTGATTAAATCTAATGACTGAAAATTTCAGTGATTATGTCTAATAACTGATTCACTCGGTGGTTATGTCTAATTACTGAAATTTCCAGTTATTAGACTTTATCACTGATTATACTTGTTTCCTGTAACATATATATCTATGACAATGTGATCCAGGAAGTAGAGTGCCTTGGCAACAACTTGAAACATGTAAACAGACACAATTTGAAACGTTAAGCTTAAAATGATTTGCAAATGTTGTAATGCTATCTAATAATACTCATCTGGTTGTCATACCAACATTTTCTCAACAGCCTTGTCAAACCGTACTTCTTTCAGCAAAAATATAATTGTATGGAGAGTTACTTCCCTTCGAACTGACTGGTGAGGCTGACTGTAAAAAGCTCTCGTAAAATGTTCTTGAAATAACAAGAGGTACTACTACTACTACTACTACTACTACTACTGCTGCTACTATTCAATTATCATATTTATTAAATACTAAAATGCTACTTACAATTAAATGACGTCCTCAGTTCAAATTAAATATTTTCATATACATCAACATGTTTATTGACGTAAATTATATCTACTTTGTCACACATCAACTTCTAAGTAATGCCTATAAAACAATTTATTGACGTAATACATCAATAGGATTGGGAAAAAGCTCAGGGAGCTACTTAAATTGATTCCGTGTGTCTACTTCGACAACAACTGCTGACATGTCCGTATTTGACGTAATCAGCGCCCCGCTCTAATAAGCGCCCACGGCTATATTTGCTAATAAATTGGCTCGTGAACTATCCGAATTAGCACCCTTTCCGATTGATCAATGTACACAACACTTTTTTATTCGTGTATAATACGCACTCGTGTGTTATATACACCCTTAATAATGGGCAATTATATTCTGGAAAATATATCTGTCCATGGGCGGATACAGGGGTGGTGGTTCACAATTAAGATAATTAGGATCTATTTATTGTCTTTGGTGGTATTTTTTACAGAAATAAAGATTTTTTTCGAAATAAAAAGGGGGGGGGGGGGGGGGGGGGGGCGCACCCCACCCCCACCCCCCTCTGTATCCGCCCATGCTGTCGTTTATGATACGCACAGACTTTTCTTTTGTATCATTTCAGGCTGTCAGCATAAACCACGAAATTTATTATCTTTCAACTCACCAAAATTATATTCTAATAATAGCCCCTTATTTCTAATTTTGAGAGCGCCCCGGGCGCTTATTACAGCGAATACGGTATGCATTATTTTACTTTGTTTGTTGTTTAACGCCGCACTTAGCAATATTCCAGCTATATGACGGCGGTCTGTAAATAATCGAGTTGACCGACCTTCTCCGTGCATTCTAGGACGAGAAGCGGCGGCACATGAGGAGAGACGGGGCACAGTAATGAAGCTGGCATCAGGTCATACAGTAGGTCCATCTCAGGTGACAAGAAACACCAGCTAAGCAAAGTATTACAGCACACGCGACAAATCCCAAACTCCAAATATAACACACCCTGACATTGAAAATTAACACAAAACACACAAGTTTCAGAGCACTCGGTTCAATCCGCATCGTCCGAATTGGTTTGCGATTATCCAAACACAAGCAACACATTCAATCAATCAATCTTTATTGTATGAAAGGCCATTGGCCCATATACACATACAGATAAACAATATCATTTACAGCTGTACAGCGCATTATATAATTATTGGATAACTAATATGAGGTATTGTAATAACAGTGGTAATAACCACAGTGGCAGTAGTAGTATAAAATACAAAAGGAATGGAATAGCATAGTACGACGTTCAATACAAAATAATCTATCAGTAATATACTCATCACGTCATGACAATTTGACAATTTAAATGTATATGCATTTCTAGTAGAAACAAACAGACAAAAATGAAATGTAGATACTCCTGATCTAGATGCGAAAGTTTCAAAACAACTATTTTTTTCTGGACATATCGGACATTCATAAATGGGTGATATTCCCAATTTGCTAGTGCTACGAGAGGGTTCACGCGTCGGAGTGTTCACCATAACTGCTCCATAAACGTCATTTTCAACAGCAGTAAGTATAAATTTCATCCTCATGCTCCCGTTCGACTAGAAATACCCCACTCAGAAACAAAATACTCCGAGCCGACCAGTCCTCGTTTAAGCCCCTTAATGCCGATCCCCGGACATGTTAACAACAAGTACCATCGTCTGCGCCCAACACATCAAACGTCTTTTGGTAAAATGCAGCCGGGAATCGAACCCACTACCTTCCGCTCTCCGTACGGTCGCTCTACCACTAGACCACGGAGGCGGTCGTCAGTACCTAGTGATGCAGGTCGTGGATGTTTATCACTTTGAAATCTGATGAAACCCACAAACACGGGTAAGGTGACAAACTAAGGATGGCAGAACGAGCACCATCCTTATTTCAAAACAAAACTGTGTTTGCTGGATGTTTCAATCCATTTCAATAAGCAGAGGATCCTGTCATTTCGTCATACATTATTATACGTTGAAATGAGGTGAGGTGAAATGGGGTTTAACGTCGCGTCCAAGATTATTGCACTTATATAGCGACGTGCATGCACGTGGGTGTGTGTGTGTGTGGGGTGTGTGTGTGTGTGTGTGTGTGTGTGTGTGTGTGTGTGTGTGTGCTTGCACTAGTCCGGACTGATGCCGATTTATAGTGCTAGCTCACTGAGATACCATGCCGCAGTTTAACATGAATACCCCACTCAGACACAGTATACTGACTCCGAGCCGACCAGTCCTTGTTTTAGCCCCTTAAAGCCGAGCGCCAGACAGGGTAACAACAAGTACCATCTTTTAACGTCTTTTGGAATGACGCGGCTGGGGAACGAACCCCGGACCTTCCGCTCTCCGGTCGGACGCTCTACCATAAGACCACGGTTACGTTGAAATGAATTCCAATGGTGCCGTAAATCTACTTGTATTTATGATCGTAAAACATCATTTGATGTGTTGGGCGCAAATAGATCTTATTTCTCGTCCAAGTCGCCATTAAAGGGGAAGTGTACACGCAAAAATCACTTTCTTTCTTTTTCTAAACAAAACGCAATTTTAGAATTAGTTAGTATCTGTGTTTGAAAATATACACTCATTTTTTTCACAGTGAAAGTAGGAAGCTCACAATAGTGTGAAAATGATATGCCGTTATGAGGCCTTCGTTTTTCGAGCTAAACAGGCCTGAGTTATCCCCCTTAGATTATGACGTAATTGGTGCCAATTCAACTGGGTCCCTGTCTATTCTCAACGCAAAAGATATCCAGTACCAGTTTGCGGTAAAACAACATGGCCTACGACACACTCCGGCGCAGTGGTGACTCAGCATAACACTATGCTGGCTGGCATCTGAGACGCTAGAATCACACACCTAGACCTACACCACGTGAAGCGGCTCTAACAAAGCATGATGACGTCATAATGTTTATCAATTGGCACCAATGACGTCATATTGCAAGGGGCATAAGCCATGGTGTTTTTGTTGTGGAAATAGAACACTTGGTAAATGTGAAAAATATAAATCGTATTAATGCGAAAAATATGTTAATTAATTGTGATATTTTTATATTTTTGTCTATGACACTTCTAGGTTAACACTTTTAATGTGGAAAAAGTACAAGAAAAATAGGTTAATTTCCGTGTGAACTTGCCCTTTAAGCTACACCATCACCCGAGCCCCATAGTTTGTATTGACATGGCCCAATGATTAGAATGAACACTCCAGAATTTCACATGTGACAGCTTTGACCATTAGCACATTCAGTGGTTTCGACATGTGTTCTTTTAACGTGTTTTTCCTACCCGTTATACATTTCCATTTACCATGGCAACGGCTGATGTTTTTTGGTACGCGATTGAAGTTTCGATTTCAAACAAATCAATAATTCATACTACATAATTGGAATCTATTTTCGTCCAGTAAACACCTTCAGAATTTATATATATTTCAAAAAATACTTGGTTACAACAGTTGATTTAGAATCTGTCAAAAAACATTCAAATAATTTACGTTTTCAATCTACCCCGTTTACATTCCTCAAACAAAATACATGCTCAGTGTCGCGCATTATACAGAAAACGTAAAATGGTAAATGGTAAAACAGCTTAATTTGGAGAAAGGTATTTTACAGATGCTTCTGTTACTGAAAGACTGCATTATGGAAGGGAGATAACCCACTTGTTAATAAATGCGCTCAAAAGAGAAACGGTAGGTTTAACGGTCATTTCTGTGAATGACCGACCAGTCTGCAACTAGATGAAGACAGATGATATTAGTTTTTGTTTTCTTAAGTGGATTCATGTTTTGTTTTTGTTAGGGTTTTAGTAACTAAGTATGCTTCTTGTTACTCATTTAGTAACTCAGTGTCATAAACAAAGTACCGTAAGTCAGCAAACAATGTACAGAAGAACAAAAACAGATACAAAGAGCATTTTCATTTTTTTAATATCAGTTGTAGTAGAATATAATTATTTAAAGCATTCAAAATACACACAAATCAGCGCTGTTGACCTTCAAAGTGATAACTGATAATCACCTGTATACGTTGCCTCTGGCCACTGTACACTCATTACCATGGGTACAAAGCCTTCCCCTACAGAAGTAAATACTGTAAATATAATTATCAGCCTGGGACCCATTCCACAAAGCAATCGTAACTCCCATACCTTAACGCAGACTTGTGACAGTTGTAACACTAAGGTGATCGTAACTCCCATACCTTAACGCAGACTTATGACAGCTGTAGCACTAAGATGATCGTGACTCCCCTACCTTAACACAGACTTATGACAGCGGTAGCACTAAGGTGATCGTAACTCGCATAGTTTAACGCAGACTTGTGACAGTTGTAGCACTAAGGTGATCGTAACTCCCATACTATAACACAGACTTATGACAGTTGTAGCACTAAGGTGATTGTAACTCCCCTACCTTAACACAGACTTATGGCAGTTGTAGCACTAAGTGATCGTGACTCCCATACCTTAATGCAGACTTATGACAGCTGTAGCACTAAGGTGATCGTAACTCCCATACCTTAACGCAGACTTATGACAGCTGTAGCACTGAGGTGATCGTAACTCCCATACCTAAACGCAGACTTATGACAGCTGTAGCACTGTGGTGATCGTAACTCCCATACCTTAATGCAGACTTATGACAGCTGTAGCACTAAGGTGATCGTAACTCCCATACCTTAACGCAGACTTATGACAGCTGTAGCACTAAGGTGATCGTGACTCCCATACTTTAACACATCCTTGTGACAGTAGTAGCACTAAGGTGATCGTAACTCCCATACCTTAACACAGACTTATGACAGCGGTAGCACTAAGGTGATCGTAACTCCCATACTTTACCGCAGACTTGTGACAGTTGTAGCACTAAGGTGATCGTAACTCCCATACTATAACACAGACTTATGACAGTTGTAGCACTAAGTGATCAAGACTCCCATACCTTAACAAAGACTTATGACAGCGGTAGCACTAAGGTGATCGTAACTCCCATACTTTACCGCAGACTTGTGACAGTTGTAGCACTAAGGTGATCGTAACTCCCATACTATAACACAGACTTATGACAGTTGTAGCACTAAGTGATCAAGACTCCCATACCTTAATGCAGACTTATGACAGCTGTGGCACTAAGGTGATTGTAACTCCCCTACCTTAACACAGACTTATGGCAGTTGTAGCACTAAGTGATCGTGACTCCCATACCTTAATGCAGACTTATGACAGCTGTAGCACTAAGGTGATCGTGACTCCCATACTTTAACGCAGACTTATGACAGCTGTAGCACTAAGGTGATCGTAACTCCCATACAATAACGCAGACTTATGACAGCTGTAGCACTAAGGTGATCGTAACTCCCATACCTTAATGCAGACTTATGACAGTTGTAGCACTAAGGTGATCGTAAATCCCCTACATTAACGCAGACTTATGACAGTTCTAGCACTAAGGTGATCGTAACTCCCATACCTTAATGCAGACTTATGTCAGTTGTAGCACTAAAGTGATCGTAACTCCCCTACATTAACGCAGACTTATGACAGCTGTAGCACTAAGGTGATCATAACTCCCATACAATAACACAGATTTATGATAGTTGTAATCGTAACTCCCCTACCTTAACGCAGACTTATGACAGTTGTAGCACTAGGGTGATCGTAACTCCCATACCTTAATGCAGACTTATGACAGCTGTAGCACAAAGATGATCGTAACTCCCATACCTTAACGCAGACTTATGACAGCTGTAGCACTAAGGTGATCGTAACTCAAGTATCTTGTTGAACAATCTCCAACATGACATATAATCACAAAAGATGGAAGTGAAAATTTCAAAAATACATTTTCAATTCTGAAAACAAGCATGAAATACTAATATCCCCCACCAACATGACATGTCCGGTTGTGTGCCAGGCAACAAATATTGTATGGTTTTCAAGATCTGCTCCAGAAATGAGCATTTTCAAAAATATAAATCAAAGATGTCACCATGGAAATTCAAAATCTATTTTTTTTTTTAAATCCCAAACTATCAAAAGGCACCAGTTTAGCACTAGACCTACCTATGTGTCAAGTTTGGTTCTGCTCCAGAAAGGAAATGTGATGGATGGCAGGAAGGACAGACAGACAACACCAATTCCTATATCGCCCTGCCACTTCGTGGTGGGGGATAATAAACATACAAATTTCATTCGTTAATCAGCATATTATGTATGTTTTGGATGCCTTCAAAAGTGGTAATTCTGTGAATGTCAATCATTGGATTGTCTGGTCCAGACTCGATGTTTTACAGACCAGCGTCATATAGCTGGAATATTGCTGAGTGCGGCGTTAAACAAAAAAACAAAAAACAAAACATATTACAAACAAAACTGACTGGCAGTTTTAACATCAGCATCCATCTTAGTACATACAGCATCAAACACATCAAGTCACCACCATTGTATATATGGATAGTATAACTCATTTTTCCACGGTGATGAGGTCAAGATGTAATAAGTATGCTCTCAGTGACATGTGTTACGAGTCGTAACATCCCCTGGCCGACACTGCCTCTCTAAAGCTGATTGTGTGTTCCATTCATACAGATCATGGAGTATTTTCACTGAGTGCAAGTTTTGGACATGCAGGTCGAAAGAAGGAAAAACAGTGTTCATCAAAGATAGACTATGTACATCAGAGACCATATCATTCATATGCATATCATTGACCTATGCTGTCACTAAAGCTGATTGTGTGTTCCATTCATACAGATCATGGAGTATTTTCACTGAGTGCAAGTTTTGGACATGCAGGTCGAAAGAAGGAAAAACAGTGTTCATCAAAGATAGACTATGTACATCAGAGACCATATCATTCATATGCATATCATTGACCTATGCTGTCACTAAAGCTGATTGTGTTCCATTCATACACAAACATGGAGTATTTTCACTGAGTGCAAGTTTTGGACATGCAGGTCAAGGGAAGGAAAAACTGTGTTCATCAAAGATAGACTATGTACATCAGAGACCATATCATTCATATGCATATCATTGACCTATGCTGTCACTAAAGCTGATTGTGTGTTCCATTCATACACAAACATGGAGTATTTTCACTGAGTGCAAGTTTTGGACATGCAGGTCAAGGGAAGGAAAAACTGTGTTCATCAAAGATAGACTATGTACATCAAAGACCATATTATTCATATGCATATCATTGACCTATGCTGTCACTAAAGCTGATTGTGTGTTCCATTCATACACAAACATGGAGTATTTTCACTGAGTGCAAGTTTTGGACATGCAGGTCAAGGGAAGGAAAAACAGTGTTCATCAAAGATAGACTATGTACATCAGAGACCATATCATTCATATGCATATCATTGACCTATGCTGTCACTAAAGCTGATTGTGTGTTCCATTCATACACAAACATGGAGTATTTTCACTGAGTGCAAGTTTTGGACATGCAGGTCAAGGGAAGGAAAAACTGTGTTCATCAAAGATAGACTATGTACATCAGAGACCATATCATTCATATGCATATCATTGACCTATGCTGTCACTAAAGCTGATTGTGTGTTCCATTCATACACAAACATGGAGTATTTTCACTGAGTGCAAGTTTTGGACATGCAGGTCAAGGGAAGGAAAAACTGTGTTCATCAAAGATAGACTATGTACATCAGAGACCATATCATTCATATGCATATCATTGACCTATGCTGTCACTAAAGCTGATTGTGTGTTCCATTCATACACAAACATGGAGTATTTTCACTGAGTGCAAGTTTTGGACATGCAGGTCGAGAGAAGGAAAAACAGTGTTCATTAAAGATAGACTATGTACATCAAAGACCATATCATTCATATGCATATCATTGACCTATGCTGTCACTAAAGCTGATTGTGTGTTCCATTCATACAGATCATGGAGTATTTTCACTGAGTGCAAGTTTTGGACATGCAGGTCAAGGGAAGGAAAAACTGTGTTCATTAAAGATAGACTATGTACATCAGAGACCATATCATTCATATGCATATCATTGACCTATGCTGTCACTAAAGCTGATTGTGTGTTCCATTCATACACAAACATGGAGTATTTTCACTGAGTGCAAGTTTTGGACATGCAGGTCAAGGGAAGGAAAAACTGTGTTCATCAAAGATAGACTATGTACATCAGAGACCATATCATTCATATGCATATCATTGACCTATGCTGTCACTAAAGCTGATTGTGTGTTCCATTCATACACAAACATGGAGTATTTTCACTGAGTGCAAGTTTTGGACATGCAGGTCAAGGGAAGGAAAAACAGTGTTCATTAAAGATAGACTATGTACATCAAAGACCATATTATTCATATGCATATCATTGACCTATGCTGTCACTAAAGCTGATTGTGTTCCATTCATACACAAACATGGAGTATTTTCACTGAGTGCAAGTTTTGGACATGCAGGTCAAGGGAAGGAAAAACTGTGTTCATCAAAGATAGACTATGTACATCAGAGACCATATCATTCATATGCATATCATTGACCTATGCTGTCACTAAAGCTGATTGTGTGTTCCATTCATACACAAACATGGAGTATTTTCACTGAGTGCAAGTTTTGGACATGCAGGTCGAGAGAAGGAAAAACTGTGTTCATCAAAGATAGACTATGTACATCAGAGACCATATCATTCATATGCATATCATTGACCTATGCTGTCACTAAAGCTGATTGTGTTCCATTCATACACAAACGGAGTATTTTCACTGAGTGCAAGTTTTGGACATGCAGGTCAAGGGAAGGAAAAACTGTGTTCATCAAAGATAGACTATGTCCTGCTGTACATTTCCTGAGATGACACATAATTTTTACACTTCTCATTCCAATCCTTCAATTTTCTGTCAAACTTGTCTCGTTCATCAAATATCCTCTTCTCTGTGTAGTGGTTAATAATTCTATACAGTTCCGCTCTCCCATCAGAGAAAACCTGAGCTAACTCTTGAGAGTGATCTCCCCTGTCAAGCGAACTCTTCTCCAATAAGATGGTCCACATTTGGTCAAGACATTCCCAGATAAAACTATTCTGGGGCATCTGTGTTGCAGCATTCTCTTTGTAGGTCAAAGCCTCAACAAAGACCTCCATAGCCTTTGCTGGGTGGCCTCCCCTTTTGTAGGCCTTGCCAAGGCTGAGCAAACTCTCGACATGGGTGACCGATCCACAGGCCACAGCTTGCCTCATGGCCACTGTTTTCTTTAAGGATTCCACTGCATTGTTGTGATCACCCATAGCCAGATAGAGTTTGCCATAGGTCTCCAAAGTCAGACCTTCTTCAAACCTATTGGAAGAAAAGCAAAGAAGAAATCATTTAACAGGTGAAATTCTCCTGGCCGTGCATCCCCAAATTCTGGTTACTAATCATTTAAAACCAGCCTGAAACTGGGCAAAAGTGACTGCAACTGCAATGAAACTCTCAATGCAATGAGAACAAGTTGGAAATTCAGCCTCGATTCAATATTGTTTGAAATTACCTAGCCACCAGCTTTTGAAAATTCATTGTTAGCACAGTTCACACATCTCACAGTGCTAGCCCATTCGCAGAGCTCTTCATACTATCGCTACCACTAGTCACAGCTCCCAACAGTGCTGGCCCATTTGCAGAGCTCTTCATACTATTGTTGTCACAGCTCCCCACAGTGCTAGCCCATTCGCAGAGCTCTTCATACTATCGCTACCACTAGTCACAGCTCCCCACAGTGCTAGCCAATTTCGCAGAGCTCTTCATACTATTGTTGTCACAGCTCCCCACAGTGCTAGCCCATTTGCAGAGCTCTTCATACTATTGTTGTACCAGCTCCCCACAGTGCTAGCCCATTCGCAGAGCTCTTCATACTATTGTTGTCAAAGGTCACAGCTCCCCACAGTGCTAGCCCATTCGCAAAGCTCTTCATACTATTGTTGTCATAGCTCCCCACAGTGCTAGCCCATTCGCAGAGCTCTTCATACTATCGCTACCACTAGTCACAGCTCCCCACAGTGCTAGCCAATTCGCAAAGCTCTTCATACTATTGTTGTCATAGCTCCCCACAGTGCTAGCCCATTCGCAAAGCTCTTCATACTATTGTTGTCACAGCTCCCCACAGTGCTAGCCCATTCACACAGCTCTTCATACTATTGTCAAAGGTCACAGCTCCCCACAGTGCTAGCCCAATTGCAGAGCTCTTCATACTATTGTTGTCAAAGGTCACAGCTCCCCACAGTGCTAGCCCATTCGCAAAGCTCTTCATACTATTGTTGTCACAGCTCCCCACAGTGCTAGCCCATTCGCAAAGCTCTTCATACTATTGTTGTCAAAGGTCACAGCTCCCACAGTGCTAGCCCATTCGCAAAGCTCTTCATACTATTGTTGTCATAGCTCCCCACAGTGCTAGCCCGTTCGCAGAGCTCTTCATACTATCGCTACCACTAGTCACAGCTCCCCACAGTGCTAGCCCATTCGCAATGCTCTTCATACTATTGTTGTCATAGCTCCCCACAGTGCTAGCCCATTTGCAAAGCTCTTCATACTATTGTTGTCAAAGGTCACAGCTCCCACAGTGCTAGCCCATTCGCAAAGCTCTTCATACTATTGTTGTCACAGCTCCCCACAGTGCTAGCCCATTCGCAGAGCTCTTCATACTATCGCTACCACTAGTCACAGCTCCCCACAGTGCTAGCCAATTCGCAAAGCTCTTCATACTATCGCTACCACCAGTCACAGCTCCCCACAGTGCTAGCCCATTCGAATAGCTCTTCATACCATTGCTGCCGCCAGTCACAGCTCCCCACAGTGATAGCCTATTCACAGCGCTCTCCATACTGTCGCTACCACCAGTCACAGCTCCCAACAGTGCTAGGCCCCTACAACCATGCACGGTGCTGATCACACAACAGATCGGCCATTTTATTGACAAATAAACGATAACCATCCCGTTTCTCAGACACACACAAATACACAAGTCAGTACATTTTGTGTTTGAGAGAAAACACTGAAGACAGTTGTACTAGCCACATCCACACTGATGGCAGTTGTAATAGCCACATCCACACTGATGGCAGCTGTAATAGCCACGTCCACACTGATGGCAGCTGTAATAGCCACATCCACACTGATGGCAGCTGTAATACTGGTCATCGCATCCCATCTGCGTCAGTCACTGGATTGTCTGGTCCTGACTCGATTATTTACAGAGTGCCGTCATATAGGTGGAATATTGCTGAGTGCGGCGTTTTATAACAAAGAACCTGGGGACAGCGAAGGTGTCCTGTTCTGGTATGGAGTACGAGCTTAGTTGACTCTTCCTTTAAGTGGACATTTACAGCGCTGACTACAAAAACAGATACCTACCTAGACAAAGCCAAAAGCTTAAAAGACAAGCATGAGATACTCACCTCCCTAGCAATGAACAAATGTATAATGTGCTGCAATATGACAGGAACTTTAGCATGTTCAGCCATCTCAGTGGAATGTTGTTACTGTGAGTAGATCACTGGGGGCAGTTGTTACACCTGGATATACACTGTTTTCCATTTTTTTAAATGGAATTAGAAAAAATATAAATGATAACAAATCCTCCAAAATAAGCAGCCGAGGACTTGATTGAATATTTCATTGATTGGAAATTTAATGAGAATCAAAAACAAAATTGAAACATTTCCTAAATAATAAATGGCACCAGTTCATTGTAAGCCTGATATCTGCAAGAACTATTAAATGATCTTTCCAGAAACAAAACATGATGGACAGATGGACGGACAGCATGGATTCCCATATCCCCCTCCCACATGGCGGTGGATAAAAACGTTCCTGCAGCCTGTTCTACGGACCTGCACAATGAGAAGAAACATTGAAATGTTTGTTGCCTTACTTGTATATCTTCGAATCCTTCTCTAGCAGTTGCGACGCTTCCTGCAGAAGCTGTCCAGCAGCCTCGAAGTTCTTGCTCTGGATCTCGACATTGGCCACGTTGTTGAGGGAGATGATGATAGAGCTGGGGGTGTCGTTAGTTGCCCTCTTCAAGTCCAGTCCCTTCTTGTAATAGTGGTTGGACTTCTCAATCTCCCCCTTATGGAAGTACAGGATGGCCATGTTGTTGTAGACGGAGCCGATGTGGGGGTGGTTCTCACCGTGGAGGTGAATCCTTCGTTTCAAGGACTCACGGTGGTATTTCTCTCCCTCTTCGTAGTTTCCTGTAAAATACTGTATGTTTGTTGGTTTGTTATACCTCTGACTAAGGGCGGGGGTATATAGTTATACCAAGGAATATGTCCTTCAGAGGACATTTTGGGGGAACAGTAGAAGAGGTGCAGTTCAAAGTTTGATTTTGACATGTAAATTTTGACATGTTTTGAACTTAGAACTTCTTTTTACTTCAACATTTGTAAGATCTATAACTTGAAAACTACTTCAATTATTCTTTTCCAACAGGGGGTACAGTTTCTACACCAATAGGAGAGTTGCAGAGCAAAGTTTAATTTTGATCAGTGGACTTTCTGAGAAAATACTGTTTTTCTTTCATGTTTTGAACTTAGCATTTGTTTTATACCCTGACCTACGATGATGCACCAGTGCATCTTTGAATCATGCCATTCCCATGTTTAATATTAATAATAAGAATAATAAGAATAAGAATATTATTTATATTGCGCATATTTCCTTACCACTCAGGGGCATGCTCAAAGCGCTATTATTACCCAGGTCACTGGATCAGTGTTCACTCAGAATAATTCTCAGCTCCTTGGGGAGCATACAACCCAAGGTGCCTGTTAGGAGCTAGAAGGTTAACACCCACATTGCCATCTCATCCTACTGGGTACCCATTCTCTGCTGGGTGAACAGAGGCACATTTTGAATAAAATCACTTGCCCAAGGAGACGCCACATGTGTTACATGTGCTTCACAGTGGTGCCGGACCGAAGCCCCAGAAACTCTCAGGAGCCAAGCTGCCGAAACGCTTAACATTGCTTAACCTGATTTGTGACCCGTGCACTGTGGACAGGACCACGTACCACCACATGTTATACGTTATATCATTGTGCGTTCTAAGAGAAACCGGCTCAGTATATCTCCAATATCAAAATTGTTATTCAGGTCTATGGAGTCGAGATCAGGGTATTAGTGAGCCATGCCCACTTTTTGTCTAGTTTCTTTGTTATTATACAAAGTTCATCAGCTTGGTTTTCCTGTATTTGGGGAATGAAAGGTGTATACATTATCTCAGAAAGGGGGACAGGTAGGGTAATTATATAGAAAGCTAGCTGGAAATCTGCAATAGTGCACAGCACTTGTCCTGACCGATGGCAGTGTTGACAACGCCAAGCACAGACAGGGTAGTGAGGGCCAAACGCTCATAGTACATCCCCTGCATGATCTGGTATTTCTGAGCCTCTTGCAGGTGTCTGCAAATTGAGTGAAAACTGATAATGTTGCTGTACTTGCTGCTGTTACATCACTCTCACTCTCGCCACAAACCCTACATCACCCTCAGTCTCACCCCAAACCCTACATCACCCTCAGTCTCACCCCAAACCCTACACCACCCTGTCTCACCCCAAACTCTACACCTCCCTCGGTCTCACCACAAACCCTACATCACTCTCTATCTCACCACAAACCCTACATCACTCTCGATCTCACCACAAACCCTACATCACCCTCAGTCTCACCACAAACCCTACATCACCTTCAGTCTCACCACGAACCCTATATCACCCTCAATCTCACCATAAACCCTACATCACCCTCGATCTCACCACAAACCCTACATCACTATCGATCTCACCACAAATCCTACATCACTCTCGATCTCACCACAAACCCTACATCCCTCTCTATCTCCCCACAAAACCTACATCACTCTCGATCTCACCACAAACCCTACATAGCCCTCAATCTCACCACCTCACCTCAGTCTCACAACAAACCCTACATCACTCTCGATCTCACCACAAACCCAACATCACCCTCAGTCTCACCACAAACCCTACATCACCCTCAATCTCACTACAAATCCTACATCACCCTCAGTCTCACCACACACCCAACATCACCCTCAGTCTCACCACAAACCCTACATCCCTCTCAATCTCCCCACAAACCCTACATCACTCTCGATCTCCCCACAAACCCTACATAGCCCTCAATCTCACCACAAACCCTACATCACTCTCGATCTCACCACAAACCCTACATCCTTCTTGATCTCACCATAAACCCTACACCATCCTCAGTTTCACCACAAAACCTACATCACTCTCGATCTCACCACAAACCCTACATCCTTCTCGATCTCACCACAAACCCTACATCACCCTCAGTCACACCACAAACCCTACATCACTCTCAATCTCACCACACACCCTACATTACTCTCGATCTCACAACAAACCCAACATTACTCTCAATCTCACCTCAAACCCTACATCACTCTCGATCTCACCACAAACCCTACATCACCCTCAGTCTCACCACCTCACCTCATTCTCACCAAAAACCCTACATCACTCTCAATCTCACCACAAACCCAACATCACCCTCAGTCTCACCACAAACCCTACATCACCCTCAATCTCACCACAAACCCAACATCACCTCAATCTCACCACAAACCCAACATCACTCTCGATCTCACCACAAACCCTACATCACCCTCAATCTCACCACAAACCCAACATCACCCTCAGTCTCACCACACACCCAACATCACCCTCAGTCTCACCACACACTCTATATCACCCTCAATCTCACCACAAACCCTACATCACTCTCGATCTCACCACGAACCCTACATCACCCTCAGTCTCACCACAAACTCTACATCACTCTCGATATCACCACAAACCCTACATCCTTCTTGATCTCACCACAAACCCTACATCACTCTCGATCTCACCACAAACCCTACATCACTCTCGATCTCACCACAAACCAAACATCACCCTCAGTCTCACAACACACCCAACATCACCCTCAGTCTCACCACACACTCTATATCACCCTCAATCTCACCACAAACCCTACATCACTCTCGATCTCACCACGAACCCTACATCACCCTCGGTCTCACCACAAACCCTACATCCTTCTTGATCTCACCATAAACCCTACATCATCCTCAGTCTCACCACAAACCCTACATCACTCTCGATCTCACCACAAACCCTCCATCCTTCTCGATCTCACCACAAACCCTACATCCTTCTCGATCTCACCACAAACCCTACATCACTCTCGATCTCACCACAAACCCTACATCACCCTCAATCTCACCACCTCACCTCAGTCTCACCACTAACTCTAAATGTCACCTCAATCTCACCACAAACCCGAAATCACCCTCAGTCTCACCTCAAACTCTACATCACCCTCGATCTCACCACAAACCCAACATCACCCTCAGTCTCACCACAAACCCTACATCACCCTCGATCTCACCACAAATCCTACATAGCCCTCAATCTCACCACCTCACCTCAGTCTCACCACAAACCCTTCATCACTCTCGATCTCACCACAAACCCTACATCACCCTCAGTCTCACCACAAACCCTACATCACTCTCGATCTCACCACAAATCCTACATCACTCTCGATCTCCCCACAAACCCTACATCCCTCTCGATCTCCCCACAAACCCTACATTACTCTCGATCTCCCCACAAACCCTACATAGCCCTCAATCTCACCACCTCACCTCAGTCTCACCACAAACCCTACATCACTCTTGATCTCACCACAAACCCTACATCATCCTCAGTCTCACCACAAACCCTACATCACTCTCAATCTCACCACAAACCCTACATCACTCTCGATCTCACCACGAACCCTACATCACCCTCGGTCTCACCACAAACCCTACATCCTTCTTGATCTCACCATAAACCCTACATCCACCTCAGTCTCACCACAAACCCTACATCACTCTCGATCTCACCACAAACCCTCCATCCTTCTCAATCTCACCACAAACCCTACATCCTTCTCGATCTCACCACAAACCCTACATCACCCTCAGTCACACCACAAACCCTACATCACTCTCAATCTCACCACACACCCTACATTACTCTCGATCTCACAACAAACCCAACATTACTCTCAATCTCCCCACAAACCCTACATAGCCCTCAATCTCACCACCTCACCTCAGTCTCACCACAAACCCTACATCACTCTTGATCTCACCACAAACCCTACATCATCCTCAGTCTCACCACAAACCCTACATCACTCTCAATCTCCCCACAAACCCAACATCACCCTCAGTCTCACCACAAACCCTACATCCATCTCGATCTCCCCACAAACCCTACATTACTCTCGATCTCCCCACAAACCCTACATAGCCCTCAATCTCACCACCTCACCTCAGTCTCACCACAAACCCTACATCACTCTTGATCTCACCACAAATCCTACATCACCCTCAGTCTCACCACAAACCCTACATCACCCTCAATCTCACCACAAACCCTACATCACTCTCGATCTCACCACGAACCCTACATCACCCTCAGTCTCACCACAAACCCTACATCACTCTCGATCTCACCACGAACCCTACATCACCCTCAGTCTCACCACAAACCCTACATCACTCTCGATCTCACCACAAACCCTACATCACTCTTGATCTCACCACGAACCCTACATCACCCTCAGTCTCACCACAAACCCTACATCACTCTCGATCTCACCACAAACCCTACATCCTTCTTGATCTCGCCACAAACCCTACATCATCCTCAGTCTCTTCACAAACCCTACATCACTCTCGATCTCACCACAAACCCTACATCACTCTCGATCTCACCACAAACCCTAAATCACCCTCAGTCTCACCACAAACCCTACATCACCCTCAGTCACACCACAAACCCTACATCACTCTCGATCTCACAACAAACCCTACATCATTCTCGATCTCCCCACAAACCCTACATCACTCTCGATCTCACCTCAAACCCTACATCACCCTCAATCTCACCACAAACCCTACATCACTCTCGATCTCACCTCAAACCCTACATCACTCTCGATCTCACCACAAACCCTACATCACCCTCAGTCTCACCACAAACCCTACATCACTCTCGATCTCACCACAAATCCTACATCACTCTCGATCTTCCCACAAACCCTACATCCCTCTCAATCTCCCCACAAACCCAACATCACCCTCAGTCTCACCACAAACCCTACATCCCTCTCGATCTCCCCACAAACCCTACATCACTCTCGATCTCCCCACAATCCCTACATAGCCCTCAATCTCACCACCGTACCTCAGTCTCACCACAAACCCTACATCACCCTCAGTCTCACCACAAACCCTACATCACTCTCGATCTCACCACAAACCCTACATCCTTCTTGATCTCCCAATAAACCCTACATCATCCTCAGTCTCACCACAAACCCTACATCACTCTCGATCTCACCACAAACCCTACATCACTCTCGATCTCACCACAAACCCTAAATCACCCTCAGTCTCACCACAAACCCTACATCACCCTCAGTCACACCACAAACCCTACATCACTCGATCTCACAACAAACCCTACATCACTCTCGATCTCCCCACAAACCCTACATCACTCTCGATCTCCCCACAAACCCTTCATCACTCTCGATCTCCCCACAAACCCTACATCACTCTCGATCTCACCTCAAACCCTACATCACCCTCAGTCTCACCACAAACTGTAAACGTCACCTCAATCTCACCCCAAACCCTACATCACCCTCAGTCTCACCTCAGTCTCACCACAAACCCTAGATAACCCTCAATCTCACCTCAATCTCACCACAAACCCTACATCACCCTCGATCTCACCTCAGTCTCACCACAAACTCTACACCTCACCTCAATCTTACCACAAACTCTATAACACCCTCAATCTCACCCCAAACCCTACATCACCCTCAATCTCACCACAAACCCTACATCACTCTCGATCTCACCACAAACCCTACACCACCCTCAGTCTCACCACAAACCCAACATCACCCTCAGTCTCACCACAAACCCTACATCGCCCTCAATCTCATCCCAAACCCTACATCACCCTCAATTTCACCACAAACCCTACATCACATCTTGATCTCACCACCTCACCTGTCTCACCACAAACTCTACACCTCACCTCAACCTCACCACAAACTCTACACCACCCTCAGTCTCACCCCAAACCCTACACCTCACCTCAGTCTCACCCCAAACTCTACACCTCACCTTAGGGCAGCTTCCCGCTTCCCTTGCATGTGAAGATTCCAGCCCATGTTCTCGTGCATCTGAGACGCCATCATGGCAGCAGCGGGGTTGTTGACAGCATACACCAGCGCTCGACAGTACATCCTCTCTCCTGCAGGAAAATCTGCCTAAAACAGCCGAAAAATATTTTATGTTAAAAGAACAATTTCTGAAGAAGGGAGAATTTTTTAAAATCTGATCTGTATGCCAATGTAAGCTGACAGATGTGCCTGTGTTACCCTGATTTGTGGAAGGAATTGAGAATTCAGTACCTGGAAGTTTCATTCTGAACAAACAGCGTCAGCTGACAGCACATATAATCTTTAAACAAGCAATGTTCATTGCCACTGCAGCGTACAAAACTGGCACTAGTCCTATAGTTCTTGCCAAACTGCCCAATAGTTAAGCACCAGTAGACATTTGCCATTATTAGCGGTTTTGCTATATGTTATTATTGTACAGACAAGTGGACATAAACTGTTAGTTTCTATCGCTGCACTGCAAAACTCTTTCCACATGAATTATACTGACATAGCATGAACTCAGGCAGGCATGGCATCACTCCGGAATGTTATGATAAAATGTGTGATGTCTGCTGCGTGGTTAGCAGAATGCAGCGAGAAATCAAGTAAATAAAAGTTGTCCTGATAAATGGCATGGTGTATTTTCGAAATTGGCATAGAGGAAAAAATTGTACTTATCATGAAAAGTTTTCATATGCAGTGGAAAGTCAAGCAGGTTTCAAGATGATTTTGATTCATTTTAACAATATTTTTTGACTACCTGTTAATCCCATTGCAACACAAACACACAGCCTTGATTCAGAAATTTTATTTGAACAAAAACAAGCGTATAGCTGACAGTCATCTATATCCCCTGCCCATTTTAACACGTTATGGTCCCAAACCAGGTAACTGACCCAACATTTCTCTTAGCCCATGTCAAAATAGCTGCAATGGAAATTCTAAAAAAAACATTTCTAAAACTCCTTAATATCAAATGGCACTAGTTCAGTATGCGCTTTATATATAGACATGCAATGTTTGGCAAGCAAATATTTAACAGTTTATTTGTTATACTCCTTAAGTAAACCAATCCTATAATAAAACTTAAATCCAACTTGTTGTCATGGAAACAAACAATAAAAATTTCTAAAAGTGCTATATATCAAAAGGCACCAGTTCAGTATGTGCCTGGTAGACATGCAAAGTTTTGTAAGAAAGTATTTAACGGTTTTTGAGTTACGCTCTGGAAACGAACACCACCCCTGTAGAACCTAAGTCCAACTTATTGCCATGGGATGGTGAAAATTAAAAATTTCTAAAATTCCTAAATAGCAAGAGGCACCAGTCCAGTATGTGTCTGGTAAACATGCAAAGTTTTTGTTGGAAAGTATTGAATGGGTTTTGAGTTACCGGGTATGCTCCAGAAACAAACTCTACCTTATAGAACCTAAGTCCAACTTGTTGCCATGGAAACGTAAAAAATATAAATATATAAAACTCCTAAATAGCAAAAGGTACCAGTTCAGTATGTGTCTGGTAAACATGCAAAGTTTTGTAAGAAATTATTTAACTGTTTTTGAGTTACGCTCTGGAAAACGAACAGCAGCCTTATAGAACTTAAGTCCAACTTGTTGCCATGGAAACGCAAAAATTAAAAATTTATAAAATTCCTAACTAGCAAAAGGCACCAGTTCAGCATGAGTCTGATAGACATGCAAAGTTTCGTAGAGAAATATTTAACAGTTTCTCAGTTATGTTCTGGAAACGATTTTGGGACGCACACACGCACACACACACATGCACGCACGCACACACGGACGGAACCCATTTCTATATCCCCCCGACAACTTCTTTGGGGTGGGGATAAAAACCCAGACTGAACACATATTCCTTTTGTGTGTAGATGCCATATGGTGCTCAGAAACAAGGTGCCCTTTTTATTTACATTTGGAATCGGCTGTATAAGTTTGTTTTCTACGTCAGAATGCTTCACTCAATACAGACAACTTAGAAGCCTCAAAGCTGATTGGCTGATGAGAAAGTTCACTTGACCTATGAAGTGGTTCTCAGTTCTTCATGAGGAGACGTTTTTGTATCCTATCGGAGTAAAAGATGAATGGGATCTGCACCTGACACTGACCTTGACATTGGTGAGTACCCTGCCATATGCTCCGCTGACAATGGCATCATCTCTGGGTTTGTCATAGACCTTGCACAACTCGAGACACTTTGTGTAGAATTTGTAGCTCTTACCTGGAAGTTGACAGGAATGTATGGAATCAAGGTCAAGGACGTCTGGTTGCTGCAGTGTCATGTGACAGAGTACATTTTAAGCAAAGACAATCACCTCGCCAGAAAAGCCATTGCCAACAGGCACATGTGGACAAATCAATATTCTTCTGGCACTGGCCTCTTCTGGCACTGTTTCTATATCAACATAAATTAAGCACCACAACAGAACTAAAATGACTAGATTTATTTGCCCTAAGTAGGTAAAAGATCCAGACAGGGTACACTATTTGGCACATAATGTTACACAAAAAGAAGGTGGATACTTCCACGAATTAAACACCAATACAACGAAAAAAGCAAGTAGCCAAAAACTGTATGGCACAAGTGATATTTTATAAGATATTAGGCGAGAACCGTCTATAAAGCGACCCCACGTATAAGACGACCCTGCTGTACAAGCCTTTAAAATCGATGCTAATTTATATACACCGTCTATAAAAATTTATATACCCCGTCTATAAAGCGAATCAGAATGAAGCATGTCACCAGTGTATACGCAATCCCTACATTTGTAACAAAAATGTGTTTGTCTTCTGCAGAAAAAAATTCAGTGATCAGGGAAACAAACAGATCAAAACAATTAAACTTGGTCAATACAAATTTGAAAGTTAAAAATCACTAGACATGATCCATATATCCATATAGAATTTTTTAGTTTGTAATAACCGTAGTTCGTTATAAGCATATATACAGCATATATACAACAAATGGCCGAGACTAAAAAATATGTTCGTTATATCGGTCAGTTTGTTATAAGCGTGATTGTTATAGATGTAGCTTACCGTACTGTATATAATAATCCGCCTTGTACCTGTTAGTGGGCATGGAGGCGTCTGGTAATGACCAGGCATAAAATGTAACATATATGATGGAATTGTACGCTTCCTTAACATGTGGAGAATTGAAGCTTACACCTGAAGGTGATAATCAAAAGTTGTGTAACCCACTTCAAGTTTACCAAGTCAAATGTTGAAAAGTGAGGCATGTACAAATTAGCTTAGTTACACAGATTGAACGTAAAGTGAAAATATTGAGATGCTATGTACGACTGTAAATTGCACCTAGGCTACAACCAACTGGGACATACATTCAGAATACTTAACAGTAAAGGCAGTGGGTGGGTGGGGAACGAAAAAAACAAAATACATGTACGAATTAGCGTTAAGCTAGACAATGACACAGAAAGGCGGGAATCAATTTAAACCATGCTTCTAGGGATCATTAGAGATTAGAAATATAGGTCTTGTCAGACCGAGAAATGAATATAGAAACAGGTATTGCGGGTAGAAACTTGATTTGGAAAGGCCTAGCAGACTGAAAATCTGTATAAACAAAGCTATACCCCAGGTGTATGGAAAAACCTAGCAGGTTGAAAACTGTAAAACACCACGCATGGGCCCGAAAAAACCAAAGACTATAGTACGAACGGTATGTGGCAAAACAACTGCTGTCAGGGATCCTAGGCTTAGCAAAATAAAAGAATTGGTTGTCAGGCAATGGTTTTAGAAAATATAGTGCGGGCAGATGGTGTCTTTTTCTTTTTTAGTTCAAACTAGTATATAACCAAATAAACAATTGTGTACAATCAACCTGAGAATGTGCCTCCCTACCAAAATGTATTCCTTGATGAGTAAGATACTGGAATACTGTATTTGACAACTGTTGGACTTGGAATATTTAAGGAATGGAAATAAAAACGAAACATGCGGCAAACTTTATGATGATGCGGGCAGTGCCTGAGAACAAAGACTAATATTTTTTTGAAGCCTTAATTAATCAATTTTAATCTACCAACAGAAATGTGAAAATTACCTTTCCAACAAATTACTACACAAAAGTAGACAATAAACCCTTGCATAATAGTATCAGATTACTGCATATAGTGATACTGACAATTACTGACAATTACTGATCAATCTGGGCCAAGCAAACTAGTGGTTGACAGCATGATCACTGATCAATACAGTCGGGTGAAGATGTACTGGGGTCCTCTACAGCCCTGGAATCCAGGGTTGATGCTCTAGCATGTGGTACTGGGGTCCTCTGCCACCCTGAAATCCAGGATTGATGCTCTAGCATGTGGTACTGGGGTCCTCTGCCACCCTGAAATCCAGGGTTGATGCTCTAGCATGTGGTACTGGGGTCCTCTGCCACCCTGAAATCCAGGATTGATGCTCTAGCATGTGGTACTGGGGTTTCTCTACCGCCCTGGAATCCAGGGTTGATGCTCTAGCATGTGGTACTGGGGTCCTCAGCCACCCTGAAATCCAGGATTGATGCTCTAGCATGTGGTACTGGGGTCCTCTACCACCCTGGAATCCAGGATTGATGCTCTAGCATGTGGTACTGGGGTCCTATGCCACCCTGAAATCCAGGGTTGATGCTCTAGCATGTGGTACTGGGGACCTCTACCACCCTGGAATCCAGGTTTGATGCTCTAGCATGTGGTACTGGGGTCCTCTACCGCCCTGAAATCCAGGGTTGATGCTCTAGCATGTGGTACTGGGGTCCTCTACCGCCCTGAAATCCAGGATTAAAGCTCTAGCATGTGGTACTGGGGTCCTCTGCCACCCTGAAATCCAGGGTTGATGCTCTAGCATGTGGTACTGGGGTCCTCTACAACCCTGGAATCCAGGATTGATGCTCTAGCATGTGGTACTGGGGTCCTCTGCCACCCTGAAATCCAGGGTTGATGCTCTAGCATGTGGTACTGGGGTCCTCTACAACCCTGAAATCCAGGATTGATGCTCTAGCATGTGGTACTGGGGTTTCTCTACCGCCCTGGAATCCAGGATTGGTGCTCTAGCATGTGGTACTGGGGTCCTCTACCACCCTGAAATCCAGGATTGATGCTCTAGCATGTGGTACTGGGGTCCTCTGCCACCCTAAAATCCAGGGTTGATGCTCTAGCATGTGGTACTGGGGTCCTCTACAGCCCTGGAATCCAGGATTGATGCTCTAGCATGTGGTACTGGGGTCCTCTACAGCCCTGGAATCCAGAATTGGTGCTCTAGCATGTGGTACTGGGGTCCTCTACAGCCCTGGAATCCAGGATTAAAGCTCTAGCATGTGGTACTGGGGACCTCTACAGCCCTGGAATCCAGGGTTGATGCTCTAGCATGTGGTACTGGGGACCTCTACAGCCCTGGAATCCAGGGTTGATGCTCTAGCATGTGGTACTGGGGTCCTCTACAGCCCTGGAATCCAGAATTGGTGCTCTAGCATGTGGTACTGGGGTCCTCTGCCACCCTGGAATCCAAGGGTTGATGCTCTAGCATGTGGTACTGGGGTCCTCTACCGCCCTGAAATCCAGGGTTGATGCTCTAGCATGTGGTACTGGGGTCCTCTACCGCCCTGAAATCCAGGATTAAAGCTCTAGCATGTGGTACTGGGGTCCTCTACAACCCTGAAATCCAGGATTAAAGCTCTAGCATGTGGTACTGGGGTCCTCTACCACCCTGAAATCCAGGATTAAAGCTCTAGCATGTGGTACTGGGGTCCTCTACCACCTTGAAATCCAGGGTTGATGCTCTAGCATGTGGTACTGGGGTCCTCTACAGCCCTGGAATCCAGAATTGGTGCTCTAGCATGTGGTACTGGGGTCCTCTACAGCCCTGAAATCCAGGGTTGATGCTCTAGCATGTGGTACTGGGGTCCTCTACCACCCTGAAATCCAGGGTTGATGCTCTAGCATGTGGTACTGGGGTCCTCTACCACCCTGAAATCCAGGATTAAAGCTCTAGCATGTGGTACTGGGGTCCTCTACCACCCTGAAATCCAGGGTTGATGCTCTAGCATGTGGTACTGGGGTCCTCTACAGCCCTGGAATCCAGGATTGATGCTCTAGCATGTGGTACTGGGGTCCTCTACAACCCTGAAATCCAGGATTGATGCTCTAGCATGTGGTACTGGGGTTTCTCTACCGCCCTGGAATCCAGGATTGGTGCTCTAGCATGTGGTACTGGGGTCCTCTACCACCCTGAAATCCAGGATTGATGCTCTAGCATGTGGTACTGGGGTCCTCTGCCACCCTAAAATCCAGGGTTGATGCTCTAGCATGTGGTACTGGGGTCCTCTACAGCCCTGGAATCCAGGATTGATGCTCTAGCATGTGGTACTGGGGTCCTCTACAGCCCTGGAATCCAGAATTGGTGCTCTAGCATGTGGTACTGGGGTCCTCTACAGCCCTGGAATCCAGGATTAAAGCTCTAGCATGTGGTACTGGGGACCTCTACAGCCCTGGAATCCAGGGTTGATGCTCTAGCATGTGGTACTGGGGACCTCTACAGCCCTGGAATCCAGGGTTGATGCTCTAGCATGTGGTACTGGGGTCCTCTACAGCCCTGGAATCCAGAATTGGTGCTCTAGCATGTGGTACTGGGGTCCTCTGCCACCCTGGAATCCAAGGGTTGATGCTCTAGCATGTGGTACTGGGGTCCTCTACCGCCCTGAAATCCAGGGTTGATGCTCTAGCATGTGGTACTGGGGTCCTCTACCGCCCTGAAATCCAGGATTAAAGCTCTAGCATGTGGTACTGGGGTCCTCTACAACCCTGAAATCCAGGATTAAAGCTCTAGCATGTGGTACTGGGGTCCTCTACCACCCTGAAATCCAGGATTAAAGCTCTAGCATGTGGTACTGGGGTCCTCTACCACCTTGAAATCCAGGGTTGATGCTCTAGCATGTGGTACTGGGGTCCTCTACAGCCCTGGAATCCAGAATTGGTGCTCTAGCATGTGGTACTGGGGTCCTCTACAGCCCTGAAATCCAGGGTTGATGCTCTAGCATGTGGTACTGGGGTCCTCTACCACCCTGAAATCCAGGGTTGATGCTCTAGCATGTGGTACTGGGGTCCTCTACCACCCTGAAATCCAGGATTAAAGCTCTAGCATGTGGTACTGGGGTCCTCTACCACCCTGAAATCCAGGGTTGATGCTCTAGCATGTGGTACTGGGGTCCTCTACAGCCCTGGAATCCAGGATTGATGCTCTAGCATGTGGTACTGGGGACCTCTAATGCCCTGGAATCGAGGGTTGATGCTCTAGCATCTGGTACCGGGGACCTCTACAGCCCTGAAATCCAGGGTTGATGCTCTAGCATGTGGTACCGGGGTCCTCTACAGCCCTGGAATCCAGGGTTGATAATCTAGCATCTGGTACTGGGGACCTCTACTGCCCTGGAATCCAGGGTTGATGCTCTAGCATGTGGTACTGGGGTCCTCTACAGCCCTGGAATCCAGGACTGATGCTCTAGCATCTGGTGCCGGGGACCTCTACAGCCCTGGAATCCAGGGTTGATGCTCTAGCATGTGGTGCTGGGGACCTCTACTGCCCTGGAATCCAGGGTTGAAGCTCTAGCATGTGGTACTGGGGTCCTCTACAGCCCTGGAATCCAGGGTTGATGCTCTAGCATGTGGTACTGGGGTCCTCTACAGCCCTGAAATCCAGGATTGATGCTCTAGCATGTGGTACTGGGGACCTCTACAGCCCTGAAATCCAGGGTTGAAGCTCTAGCATGTGGTACTGGGGACCTCTACAGCCCTGGAATCCAGGGTTGATGCTCTAGCATCTGGTACTGGGGACCTCTTCCGCCCTGGAATCCAGGATTGATGCTCTAGCATCTGGTACCGGGGTCCTCTACTGCCCTGGAATCCAGGGTTTAATGCTCTAGCATGTGGTGCCGGGGACCTCTACCGCCCTGGAATCCAGGGTTGATGCACTCATTCAAGCATACACTGCAAGTCTGTTGGCTAAATTAAACTCACCTCCAAAGAAGTTTTCAATAACGTTTGACGAGGATGCCACCATCTCGATATAGATGGGGTAAGTCTCTTGGCTTGAATGCTTGACATCCACCATGAGTTTCTGAAGGTTGGGATGTTCTATAGCCAATTCTGCCACAGCTTCAGTGTAGTCCTTGGTCCCCAGCTTCAGCGATAGCTGATTCAGCACCTCGCTGAAGGTCTGGCAGTAGCGCTTCCGCACATCTGGAAGACAATCATGATTACAAATCATCTTCTGTTTCTATGTCAGTGGCATCAAATTCTTCTAAAGCTCAAAATTCTAACCCGGATCTTCACTGGTCCAACCTGTGAGATTCTCTATGCTGAATCCCTACTCCTCCGACCACCTCACCTGTGAGATTCTCTATGCTGAATCACTCCTAAAACCACCTCACCTGTGAGATTCCCTATGCTGAATCACCCCTCCTCCGACCACCTCACCTGTGAGATTCTCTATGCTGAATCCCTCTTCTGATCACCTCACCTGTGAGATTCTCTATGCTGAATCACTCCTCCGACCACCTCACCTGTGAGATTCTCTATGCTGAATCACTCCTCTGATCTCCTCACCTGAGAGATTCTCTATGCTGAATCACTCCTCCGATCACCTCACCTGTGAGATTCTCTATGCTGAATCACCCCTCCTCCGACCACCTCACCTGTGAGATTCTCTATACTGAATCACTCCTCCGACCACCTCACCTGTGAGATTCTCTATGCTGAATCCCTCCTCCTCCGACCCCCTCACCTGTGAGATTCTCTATGCTGAATCACCCCTCCGACCACCTCACCTGTGAGATTCTCTATGCTGAATCACTCCTCCGATCACCTCAACTATGAAATTCTCTATGCTGAATTTCTCCTCCGATCTCCTCACCTGTGAGATTCTCTTTGCTGAATCACTCTTCCAATCACCTCACCTGTGAGATTCTCTATGCTGAATCACCCCTCCTCCGACCACCTCACCTGTGAGATTCTCTAAGCTGAATCCCTCCTCCGATCACCTCACCTGTGAGATTCTCTATGCTGAATCACTCCTCCGACCACCTCACCTGTGAGATTCTTTGCTGAATCACTCCTCCGATCACCTCACCTGTGAGATTCTCTATGCTGAATCACCCCTCCTCTGACCACCTCACCTGTGAGATTCTCTATGCTGAATCACCCCTCCTCTGACAACCTTACCTGTGAGATTCTCTATGCTGAATCACCCCTCCTCCGACCACCTCACCTGTGAGATTCTCTAAGCTGAATCCCTCCTCCGATCACCTCACCTGTGAGATTCTCTATACTGAATCACTCCTCCGACCACCTCACCTGTGAGATTCTCTATGCTGAATCCTTCCTCCTCCGACCCCCTCACCTGTGAGATTCTCTATCCTGAATCACCCCTCCGACAACCTCACCTGTGAGATTCTCTATGCTGAATCACCCCTCCTCTGACAACCTTACCTGTGAGATTCTCTATACTGAATCACTCCTCCGACCACCTCACCTGTGAGATTCTCTATGCTGAATCCCTCCTCCTCCAACCATCTCACCTGTGAGATTCTCTATGCTGAATCACTCCTCCGATCACCTCACCTGTGAGATTCTCTTTGCTGAATCACTCCTCCAACCCCCTCACCTGTGAGATTCTCTATACTGAATCACTCCTCCGACCACCTCACCTGTGACATTCTCTATGCTGAATCACTCCTCCGATCACCTCACCTGTGAGATTCTCTATGCTGAATCACTCCTCCAACCCCCTGACTTGTGAGATTCTCTATACTGAATCACTCCTCCGATCACCTCACCTGTGATATTCTCTATGCTGAATCACTCCTCCAACCTCCTCGCCTGTGAGATTCTCTATGCTTAATCACTCTTCCGATCACCTCACCTATGAGATTCTCTATGCTGAATCACCCCTCCTCCCACCACCTCACCTGTGAGATTCTCTATGCTGAATCACTCCTCCTCCAACCACCTCACCTGTGAGATTCTCTATGCTGAATCACCCCTCCTCCGACCACCTCACCTGTGAGATTCTCTATGCTGAATCACTCCTCCGATCACCTCACCTGTGAGATTCTCTATGCTGAATCACTCCTCCTCCAACCACCTCACCTGTGAGATTCTCTATGCTGAATCACCCCTCCTCCGACCACCTCACCTGTGAGATTCTCTATGCTGAATCACTCCTCCGATCACCTCACCTGTGAGATTCTCTATGCTGAATCACCCCTCCTCCGACCACCTCACCTGTGAGATTCTCTATACTGAATCACTCCTCCGACCACCTCACCTGTGAGATTCTCTATGCTGAATCCCTCCTCCTCCGACCCCCTCACCTGTGAGATTCTCTATGCTGAATCACCCCTCCGACCACCTCACCTGTGAGATTCTCTATGCTGAATCACTCCTCCGATCACCTCAACTATGAAATTCTCTTTGCTGAATTTCTCCTCCGATCTCCTCACCTGTGAGATTCTCTTTGCTGAATCACTCTTCCAATCACCTCACCTGTGAGATTCTCTATGCTGAATCACCCCTCCTCCCACCACCTCACCTGTGAGATTCTCTATGCTGAATCACTCCTCCTCCAACCACCTCACCTGTGAGATTCTCTATGCTGAATCACCCCTCCTCCGACCACCTCACCTGTGAGATTCTCTATGCTGAATCACTCCTCCGATCACCTCACCTGTGAGATTCTCTATGCTGAATCACTCCTCCAACCCCCTCACCTGTGAAATTCTCTATACTGAATCACTCCTCCGACCACCTCACCTGTGAGATTCTCTATGCTGAATCACTCCTCCGATCACCTCAACTGTGAGATTCTCTATGCTGAATCACTCCTCCAACCCCCTCACTTGTGAGATTCTCTATACTGAATCACTCCTCCGATCACCTCACCTGTGAGATTCTCTATGCTGAATGACTCCTCCGATCACCTCACCTGTGAGATTATCTATGCTGAATCACTCCTCCTCCTACCACCTCACCTGTGAGATTCTCTATGCTGAATCCCTCCTCCTCCGACCACCTCACCTGTGAGATTCTCTATGCTGAATCACTCCTCCTCCTACCACCTCACCTGTGAGATTCTTTATGCTGAATCAATCCTCCTCCAACCACCTCACCTGTGAGATTCTCTATGCTGAATCACTCCTCCTCCTACCACCTCACCTGTGAGATTCTCTATGCTGAATCACTCCTCCTCCTACCACCTCACCTGTGAGATTCTCTATGCTGAATCACTCCTCCGATCACCTCACCTGTGAGATTCTCTATGCTGAATCACTCCTCCTCCTACCACCTCACCTGTGAGATTCTCTATGCTGAATCACTCCTCCTCCGATCACCTCACCTGTGAGATTCTCTATGCTGTATCACCCCTCCTCCCACCACCTCACCTGTGAGATTCTCTATGCTGAATCCCTCCTCTGATCACCTCACCTGTGAGATTCTCTATGCTGAATCACTCCTCCGATCACCTCACCTGTGAGATTCTCTATGCTGAATCACTCCTCCTCCGATCACCTCACCTGTGAGATTCTCTATGCTGAATCACTCCTCCTCCAACCACCTCACCTGTGAGATTCTCTATGCTGAATCACTCCTCTGATCACCTCACCTGTGAGATTCTCTATGCTGAATCACTCCTCCTCCAACCACATCACCTGTGAGATTCTCTATGCTGAATCACTCCTCCGATCACCTTACCTGTGAGATTCTCTATGCTGAATCACCCCTCCTCCCACCACCTCACCTGTGAAATTCTCTATGCTGAATCACCCCTCCTCCGACCACCTCACCTGTGAGATTCTCTATCCTAAATCACTCCTCCTCCGATCACCTCACCTGTGAGATTCTCTATGCTGAATCACTCCTCCGACCACCTCACTGTGAGATTCTCTATGTTGAATCACTCCTCCAACCCCCTCACCTGTGAGATTCTCTAAACTGAATCACTCCTCCGACCACCTCACTGTGAGATTCTCTATGCTGAATCCCTCCTCCAACCACCTTGCCTGTGAGATTCTCTATGCTGAATCCCTCCTCTGATCACCTCACCTGTGAGATTCTCTATGCTGATTCACTCTTCCGACCCCCTCACCTGTGAGATTCTCTATGCTTAATCACTCTTCCGATCACCTCACCTGTGAGATTCTCTATGCTGAATCACCCCTCCTGCCACCACCTCACCTATGAGATTCTCTATGCTGAATCACTCCTCCTCCGATCACCTCGCCTGTGAGATTCTCTATGCTGAATCCCTCCTCCTCCAACCACCTCGCCTGTGAGATTCTCTATGCTGAATCCCTCCTCTGATCACCTCACCTGTGAGATTCTCTATGCTGATTCACTCTTCCGATCACCTCACCTGTGAGATTCTCTATGCTGAATCACCCTTCCGATCACCTCACCAGTGAGATTCGCTATGCTGAATCACCCCTCCTCCCACCATCTCACCTATGAGATTCTCCATGCTGAATCACTCCTCCTCCGATCACCTCACCTGTGAGATTCTCTATGCTGAATCACTCCTCTGATCACCTCACCAGTGAGATTCTCTATGCTGAATCACTCCTCCTCCGATCACCTCACCTGTGAGATTCTCTATGCTGAATCACCCCTCCTCCAACCACCTCACCTGTGACATTCTCTATGCTGAATCACTCCTCCGATCACCTCACCTGTGAGATTCTCTATACTGAATCCCTCTTCCGATCACCTCGCCTGTGAGATTCTCTATGCTGAATCACTCCTCCGATCTCCTCACCTTTGAGATTCTCTATGCTGAATCCCTCCTCTGATCACCTCACCTGTGAGATTCTCTATGTTGAATCCCTCCTCCTCCGACCCCCTCACCTGTGAGATTCTCTATGCTGAATCACTCCTCATCTGACCACATCACCTGTGAGATTCTCTATGCTGAATCCCTCCTCCGACCACCTCAACTGTGAGATTCTCTATGCTGAATCACTCCTCCGATCACCTCACCTGTGAGATTCTCTATGCTATATCACTCCTCCTCTGACCACATCACCTGTGAGATTCTCTATGCTGAATCACCCCTCCTCCCACCACCTCACCTGTGAGATTCTCTATGCTGAATCCCTCCTCCAACCACCTTGCCTGTGAGATTCTCTATGCTGAATCCCTCCTCCGATCACCTCACCTGTGAGATTCTCTATGCTGAATCCCTCCTCTGATCACCTCACCTGTGAGATTCTCTATGCTGATTCACTCTTTCGACCCCCTCACCTGTGAGATTGTCTATGCTTAATCACTCTTCCGATCACCTCACCTGTGAGATTCTCTATGCTGAATCACCCCTCCTGCCACCACCTCACCTATGAGATTCTCTATGCTGAATCACTCCTCCTCCGATCACCTCACCTGTGAGATTCTCTATGCTGAATCACTCCTCCTCCAACCACCTCGCCTGTGAGATTCTCTATGCTGAATCCCTCCTCTGATCACCTCACCTGTGAGATTCTCTATGCTGATTCACTCCTCTGACCCCCTCACCTGTGAGATTCTCTATGCTGAATCACTCTTCCGATCACCTCACCTGTGAGATTCACTATGCTGAATCACCCCTCCTGCCACCACCTCACCTATGAGATTCTCTATGCTGAATCACTCCTCCTCCGATCACCTCACCTGTGAGATTCTCTATGCTGAATCACTCTTCCGATCACCTCACCTGTGAGATTCGCTATGCTGAATCACCCCTCCTCCCACCACCTCACCTGTGAGATTCTCTATGCTGAATCACTCCTCCTCCGATCACCTCACCTGTGAGATTCTCTATGCTGAATCCCTCCGATCACCTCACCTGTGAGTAATCACCCCTCCTCCCACCACCTCACCTGTGAGATTCTCTATGCTGAATCACCCCTCCTCCCACCACCTCACCTATGAGATTCTCTATGCTGAATCACTCCTCCTCCGATCACCTCACCTGTGACATTCTCTATGCTGAATCACTCCTCCGATCACCTCACCTGTGAGATTCTCTATACTGAATCCCTCTTCCGATCACCTCACCTGTGAGATTCTCTATGCTGAATCACTCCTCCGATCTCCTCACCTTTGAGATTCTCTATGCTGAATCCCTCCTCCGATCACCTCACCTGTGAGATTCTCTATGCTGAATCCCTCCTCCGACCACCTCACATGTGAGATTCTCTATGCTGAATCACTGCTCCGACCACCTCACCTGTGAGATTCTCTATGCTGAATGACTCCTCCGACCACCTCACCTGTGAGATTCTCTATGCTGAATCACTCCTCCGACCACCTCACCTGTGAGATTCTCTATGCTGAATTAGTCCTCCGACCACCTCACCTGTGACATTCTCTATGCTAAATCACTGCTCCGACCCCCTCACCTGTGAGATTCTCTATGCTGAAGTACACCTCCAAACAGTCCTTGAGGATACCGTGGATGTTGTACCTGCGTCGTGGTGCATCAAACTGTACCATGTGCCGGCGCATCAGTGGGGACAGAGTCATGTCTTTGGTGGACTGAGGGGATGCCTCATCTAAACATAACATGCCAACATATCATGATATTAACTCTCCTTCAGTTGCTGGTTTTATGAATGACCACCTTTCTTAAGGAAGAGAATATACAGATGTCAACTTCTTTATTATGAGGAACACAACGTTTCGGAGTATATGCTTACTCCTTCATCAGGTGATATGAATGCCATGAAGCAGAGAGCATATATATTTACATGTAAGGACAACAAAATTAATAAGATAACAAAAGGTGGAAAATAACAAAGGGTACAAGCTAACAAAGGAAGCCAACAGATGATTGGCGCTGATAGGTGATTAGAAATAGGCAATGGAAGCCAACACTTCAGTTATCATAGCTAAGTAATTGGTAATGGACACTTGGCAAATGGGGGTGGGTTGGGTGAGGGAGAAACCTGTCATCAGACACCCAGACACACACCATCAGACACAAAGTGAGTGAGTGAGTTGGGTTAAACGCCGCTTTTAACATTATTCCAGTTATATTGTGGCGTGTCCGCTGAATAATTATCACTTCGATGAAACCCTAGAGCATGGGTATGGTACTGACAAACCTAAAAACATAGTTGGGGCAAACCGGGATTCGAACTCACAATTATAGATTTCTGGTGTGCCGAAGGGAACCCAGTCAGACACCCAGAGACATACCATCAGACACCCAGAGACCTGCCATCAGACACCCAAAGACACACCATCAGACACCCTGGGATCAACAGACCATCAGGCACCCAGAGACACACCATCAGACACCCTGGGATCAACAGACCATCAGGCACCCAGAGACACACCATCAGACACCCTGGGATCAACAGACCATGAGGCACCCAGAGACATACCATCAGACACCCAGAGACACACCATCAGACACCCGGGACCGACTGACCATCAGACACCCAGAGACACACCATCAGACACCCTGGGATCAACAGACCATCAGACAGCCAGAGACACACCATCAGACACCCAGAGACAGACCATCAGGCACCCAGAGACACACCATCAGACACCCTGGGATCAACAGACCATCAGACAGCCAGAGACACACCATCAGACACCCAGAGACACACCATCAGACACCCTGGAATCAACCATCCATCAGTCAGCCAGAGACACACCATCAGACACCCAGACAACTGCAATCAGACACCCAGAGACACACCATCAGACACCCTGGGATCAACAGACCATCAGACACCCAGAGACACACCATCAGACACCCTGGGATCAACAGACCATCACACACCCTGGGATTAACAGACCATCAGGCACCCAGAGACACACCATCAGACACCCGGGACCGACTGACCATCAGACACCCAGAGACACACCATCAGACACCCGGGACCGACTGACCATCAGACACCCAGAGACACACCATCAGACACCCTGGGATCAACAGACCATCAGACAGCCAGAGACACACCATCAGACACCCAGAGACACACCATCAGACACCCAGAGACACACCATCAGACACCCTGGGATCAACAGACCATCAGACACCCAGAGACACACCATCAGACACCCTGGATCAACAGACCATCAGACACCCAGAGACACACCATCAGACACCCTGGGATCAACAGACCATCACACACCCTGGGATCAACAGACCATCAGGCACCCAGAGACACACCATCAGACACCCGGGACCGACTGACCATCAGACACCCAGAGACACACCATCAGATACCTGGGACCGACTGACCATCAGACACCCAGAGACACACCATCAGACACCCTGGGATCAACAGACCATCAGACAGCCAGAGACACACCATCAGACACCCAGAGACACACCATCAGACACCCAGAGACACACCACCAGACACCCTGGGATCAACAGACCATCAGACACCCAGAGACACACCATCAGACACCCTGAATCAACAGACCATCAGACACCCAGAGACACACCATCAGCAACCCTGGGATCAACAGACCATCAGACACCCAGAGACACACCATCAGACACCCTGGGATCAACAGACTATCAGACACCCAGAGACACACCATCAGACACCCTGGGATCAACAGACCATCAGACAGCCAGAGACACACCATCAGAGACCCCGGGATCAACGGCCATCAGGCACCCAGAGACACACCATCAGACACCCTTGGATCAACAGACCATCAGGCACCCAGAGACACACCATCAGACACCCCGGGATCAACAGACCATCAGACACCCAGAGACACACCATCAGACACCCCGGGATCAACAGACCATCAGCCTAGAGACACACCATCAGACACCAAGAGCCACTCCATCAGACACCCAGAGACACACCATCAGACACCCCGGGATCAACAGACCATCAGGCACCCAGAGACACACCATCAGACACCCCGGGATCAACAGACCATCAGACACCCAGAGACACACCATCAGACACCAAGAGCCACTCCATCAGACACCCAGAGACACACCATCATCAACAGACCATCAGACACCCAGAGACACACCATCAAACACCCTTGGATCAACAGACCATCAGACACCCAGAGACACACCATCATCAACAGACCATCAGACACCAAGAGACACACCATCAGACACCCTGGGATCAACAGACCATCAGACACCGAGAGACACACCATCAGACACCCTGGGATCAAGATACCATCAGACACCCAGAGACACACCATCATCAACAGACCATCAGACACCCAGAGACACACCATCAGACACCCCGGGATCAACAGACCATCAGACACCCAGAGACACACCATCAGACACCCTAGGATCAACAGACCATCAGACACCCAGAGACACACCATCAGCAACCCTGGGATCAACAAACCATCAGACACCCAGAGACACACCATCAGCAACCCTGGGATCAACAGACCATCAGACACCCAGAGACACACCATCAGACACCAAGAGACACACCATCAGACACCGAGAGACACACCATCATCAACAGACCATCAGACACCCAGAGACACACCATCAGACACCCTGGGATCAACAGACCATCAGACACCCAGAGACACACCATCATCAACAGACCATCAGACACCAAGAGACACACCATCAGACACCCTGGGATCAACAGACCATCAGACACCCAGAGACACACCATCAGACACCCCGGGATCAACAGACCATCAGACACCCCTGCCATCGACCGACCATCGACCGACCCTTACTTACCCAGCATACGTTGAGCATGTCCTGTAGTGAAGGACCCTGGGATATATCCCAGCACGGCCAGTCTTTGACGGAACACCTCAGACAACCTTCTGATGAAGTTTCTGTACACTGGCCCTTTCAACAAACATACAAAGATTTCCACAATGCAATAATTAAAAGTGCTGTATGCCTTGGAAATGAAGAAGGCATGCCCAGAGCTCCAGATAAGCTTTTGGTGTTGTGGGTATTTTACGCATGCATTTTAAAATCATTGGGTATCAGTAATTCTATCTGCGTATTCAAATTTCTGTTACCCACTAGTTTTTACACATGTGGGTATTTAAGTTAAATATTTAAAAACACTATTCATCTAGTCCCTGCAAACTGGTGTCGTGTGGGTTCGAGAGCTTTATAGGACTCATTATGGCAAATGATCAGGATGTAACTGTCATCGTGGAGTTTGGCAAGGTTGACGGAATGCCCGTTTATAATTTCAAAATAAGTTGCTGATTTGCTAATCGAATACGCAGGGTTACTTCACAATAATTTGATGATACTCACAAATTTTATTTTTGTAGCGTATCTGTAATGTTCGTTGCGTATTTGATACGCTTGGATTATATTTTACTGCGTATTTCTGCATTTCTGATGCGTATTTCACGCAGATACGCAGCTTATCTGGAGCTCTGCATGCCTCATTTGCCTTCATTTAAAGCATTCTCTCCTCACGCTGAAGACCCGGGTTTGATTCCCCACATAGGTAAAAAGTGTGAAGCCCATTTGGGCCGTCCCCCAACATGACAGGTGGAATATTGCTGAAACGGCATAAAACCCTACATACTCATACTCACTATAGGGGCTGATAGTGTCTGAAAGTCTTAAGCCCATGTTCGCATAATTTTTTTTTAAATATCATGATTCAAGTTATTATAATCACTAATGTGTTAGCTTCGTAAAGGTAACTTGTTTTTCCATGACATGCCCAATAAAAAGAGAAACAGAATTGTTTGATAGGCATTACTTGGAAGTTGATAAATGACAAAGTAGATACAATTTATGGATAGCAACTTCTTTCATACTGTAAAGGTGATGTTTTGGTATAGATCCTTATGCCATTGTCAAGCTTACAGTATTAAAGAAGTTGTTATCCATAAATTGTGTCTACTTTGTCAAAGAGAAACAGCTTTAATAATTTGGTTTACATTATTGACAAGTCTCACCGATCTGCTCCTCCTCTGCATAGCTGCAGTCTCTGCTCCAGGCATCGAGACGGACATGTGTGCCATCTGTTAGTGAGTAAGTGAGTTTTGTCATGTTCCAGCCATATCATGGGGGATCTGCAAAATAGTTATCTGGGCCAGACAACCCGTGACAAGACCTGTGCCACGGTCCATGCATGTAGGGGCACACTTGGAACCAAACAGCTCTTATGACAAGCATGGGATACTCACGACCTATAAAACTGTCAAGTATTATTGTAAAATGGTTAAATATTTAGATATTCAAATAACAGTATCTTGAAAATGCTATTGGCATCCTTGAGAGTTCCATCACCTGAGTCATCATCACAAGCCTCCAGCCGACTCTGAGTCAAGATGTCCACCATCTGCTCTGGACTCAGGAAACCATTGTCTATCTCCAGCTCAGAGCCTGAAATCAATTGTGTGTCAAAAATTAACATCTTTTCCCAAAAATTCACAAATTGATAGGAAAAAGATGCATATACTTTTGTATATTCTCTTTTTCCTTAATGTATTTTACATGTTTAGTTCCCATCTTCACTGTTTAAGAATCATAAAAAATGCAGTCATGAGACATAGGTCTTCTTGTTGCTATGCAAATTAAACATGACATACCAACAAACACAAATGCAGCCAAACCATTCAGACACAGGGCTAAAGACAGACAGACACACTGCAGTCCAGCTATTTAGACACAGAGCTTAAGACAGACAGACAGACACACTGCAGCCCAGCCATTCAGACACAGGGCTAAAGACAGACAGACAGACACACTGCAGCCCAGCCATTCAGACACAGGGCTAAAGACAGACAGACAGACAGACACACTGCAGCCCAGCTATTCAGACACAGGGCTAAAGACAGACAGACAGACAGACAGACAGACACACTGCAGTCCAGCTATTCAGACACAGGGCTAAAGACAGAAAGACAGACAGACACACTGCAGCCCAGCTATTCAGACACAGGGCTAAAGACAGACAGACAGAGACACATCAACCCAGCTATTCAGACAGAAGGCTAAAGACAGACAGACAGGCAGACAGACACACTGCAGCCCAGCCATTCAGACACAGGGCTAAAGACAGACAGACAGACATGGACACACAGCAGCCCAGCTATTCAGACACAGGGCTAAAGACAGACAGACAGACAGACGCACTGCAGCCCAGCTATTCAGACACAGGGCTAAAGACAGACAGACAGACAGACACACAGCAGCCAAGCCATTCAGACACAGGGCTAAAGACAGACAGACAGACCACTGCAGCCCAGCCATTCAGACACAGGGCTAAAGACAGACAGACAGACACACTGCAGCCCAGCCATTCAGACACAGGGCTAAAGACAGACAGACAGACCACTGCAGCCCAGCTATTCAGACACAGGGCTAAAGACAGACAGACAGACACACTGCAGCCCAGCCATTCAGACACAGGGCTAAAGACAGACAGACAGACAGACACACAGCAGCCCAGCTATTCAGACACAGGGCTAAAGACGGACAGACACACTGCAGCCCAGCTATTCAGACATGGCTAAGACAGACAGACAGACAGACACACAGCAGCCCAGCCATTCAGACAGATAAACAGAGAGACAGATATGAAGACAACAAGAAGGGCCAACAATCACTGACATACATACAAACACATGAACACACAAAAACACAGGCCATGATAACAACAAGAAATACAAAGCAAACAGACTGCAGACAGACAGACATGAAAGTAAGCTAAATTATCCATACATTTATCGTCAGGAATTGAAATAACTGGCCATTAACAGAAGCCTAAGATGAACCAACCTGTCATGAGAACCGCCAAGGGAAGACCCATGCATAGCCCCACGATCTTGTGGATCATTCCCTGGTCGTAATGTACACTTGGAGTGACAGAGTGAAGTAGAGCTACTCCATCGCCATGGGACAGAGGAGGCAGGTCCATCCAGCAGTACATGCTGGCGTGGCGTGGGAAGGTCACTTTGGCAGTTGATGTGAAGACGATCTTCAAACTCATACACCTCTCCATCAGCATTCCACAAGTCAGCACAAAGTCAGCTTTCACTTCGCTTTCTATCACGTCTTCAGCATTGTCGAAGTTTACAACATAAAATACAGATGGTGTACTCTCCATCTTGCTTAGAATATTTCCCACCAACTTTTCGACTTCATCAATCTGGTCGTCATCAAAGAAACCAAAAGCGGTTCTGACTTGGAAAATGAAACGCTGTAAACTTCTAACAGCGTTCAAATCTATGAGGATGTGATGAACCGAGTCTGAAAGTGGATGTTCAGATTTCATACGGTGGATGAATTCTTCAACTGTTCTGGATTTGCCAACAGACCTCATGCCAAACACTCCAATGATCCGGTACCTGCTCCACAGGCTCCAGAACTCTTGCAGGAAATCTTCCCTCCCCACAAACGGATGGAGAACTTCCACATCTTCTGTTCCCTCCATACTGATATATGAAATGCTGATCTATGGAATCATATGTTAGTATCCTATCAACTACTCATATATTTCCACATTGGCACCAAATAAGTTCTTGAACAACCCAAGCTTAGTCCACTTGGGTGATGAATATAATGCTGATCTATAGAATCATATGCTAGTTTCCTATCAACTACTCATACATTTCCACATTGGCACCAAATAAGTTCTTGAACAACCCAAGCTCTTGGTCCACTATGGTGATGAATATAATGCTGATCTTTAGAATCATATGCTAGTTTCCTACCAACTACTGACACATTTCCCTATCTGGAGTCATTAGTCCATGAATAACTCCAGCCCCGTGGGATAATATACCAGTGTCCTTGTAGAGGTTACCTGCAGGAACATCCAGATCTTTTGTGGAAAGACGTGTACAGAATGTCCGTTTTCCTCATTGCAGGAACATCCAGATCTTTTGTTGAAGGACGTGTACAGAACATCTGTCTTCTTCATTGCAGGAACATCCAGATCTCTTGTTGAAGGACGAGTACAGAACATCTGTCTTCTTCATTGCAGGAACATGCAGATCTTTTGTTGAAGGACGTGTACAGAACATCTGTCTTTTTCATTGCAGGAACATGCAGATCGTTTGTTGAAGGAGGGGTACAGAACATCTGTCTTCTTCATTGCAGGAACATCCAGATCTTTTGTTGAAGAACGTGTACAGAACATCTGTCTCCCTCATTGTAGGAACATCCCATCTCACCGTGCCTCCTATCTCATAGATTTCACTTGTTATGGAATCCTGAATTCATCCCCGTCTGATCCTTGGTTTCAGGTCAGCACAATATCAGTGTTGGCTGACCTGCTCCATTTCCCTTCCACTTTGGACATGCCGTGTTGTGACTGAAATAGGGATAAAATTAGCTATCAAACATAATGCAATTATCTTCCCACGCTATTACCTGGGGTTACTTTGGCCCAGGGATCTGCACGTCTCTGTGGAGTGTTTCTAGCAGGCTTCCTTAGCCTCGTTGCGGAGTGGACTTAGTCCTGTAAAGATGAATAATGCCCGTCTCAGCACCATGTCTGTAGGGTTCACCCGTGTGCCAACATCTGTGTCTCAGACACTATGATGTAGCTGACATACTGTTCAAAGCAGCATGGCCTTGTGGTCAGACTTGTTGCCCATCAATCCATTCTCGGCTGGAAATTTAGGACTTGCTGAAAGTGACTTATTGCATTGAAGGTATCGTCCTATCTTGTAATAACCTCTTGGGAGGATTTACTTTTTCTTTGTAAGAGGGGGGCACGGGTGGCCCAGTCGTCTAAGGCACCGCGATTCGCTGTGCAGAGTTGCGTCCGCTGGATACGCCAGAAACCTATAGTTGTGGGTTCAAATCCCAGTTCGCCCCAATTATGTTTCTAGGTTTGTCAGCACCGTACCCGTGCTCGTGGGTTTCACCAAAGTGGTAAACATCTGAGACCTGCATCACTTCGAGCTTTCCTCCCACATTAAGCTGACACGCCGCGATATAACTGGAATACTGTTAAAAGCGGCGTTAAATCCAACTCACTCACTCACTCTTCGTAAGATTTCATCCAGGTTTGGGTTGAAAATGTAAACACAGGGGAGTTGGAATATCCCTCTCCCTTGTGTTTACATTTTCAACCAAAACCTCTGAGGTGTGTTTTCTCCTGTACATAAACCCTCACTCACTATAGGTCAAGATTTGGGGTCAAGTATTATGGCCAAAGTAATATAAATAACACAATGCTTTTTGGTTGTTTCTTGTTTAATGTCACAATCAGCAATATTTCAGCTATATGACAGCAGTCTGTAAATAATTGACTCTGGACCAACAATCCAGTGATGGACATTTGCATCGATCAATGCAACTGGGATACGTTGACATACATCAAACCAGCAAGCCCGACCACCCGATCCCGTTTGTCGCCTCTTACGACAAGCTGAAGACCAATTGCAACCCAGATCATCACAGGTCAATAACACAATGCAAAATTGAGATGACTAACAAAATACACTGGGTATGTAAGAGAGTACGGAGGAAGTAGATTCTTTACAAACCCTCATGCCAGTGAAAATCTTCCTTACAAGGTAAAGTAGTTGAACACTGAGGAAACACTAAACTTCTTCCTTCTGGAATATTGTTACATTTTATTTAGAAAGAGCTAATACATGTATGCAGTTGTTCAAATTCTGAATCAAGTATTGTGTAAATATCCAGTGCTCGATTAAGGAACTTGATTTAAAGTGCACCAGGTGTATGTTGACATGAAAACCTAGATGCACCAGACAAAAACCACACATTTATCACAGCTAAAACAGGCCGGTCTGCTCCCAGCCACATTAATTAATTACTGTAAAATGTTATAAGAACATTTGCACATAATCGTGAAGCTCCTACACATCAAGCCTAAGAAAGCATGACAAATTACATGTACCACAGGGATTAGTGATGTAGTATGGTCAATAAACGTTAGAACTGTTGAGTGTGTTCAAAGATAGATTTTGTGTGAACAAGTAAGGGTTACTCAGAGAAAACTTGAATTTTTTTTAACATGCACTTGGTGCATGTAGACATAAATATTAGGTTGCATTTTTAAAAAATAGGTTGCACATGTGCATGTTGTATATACAGTAAACTATGGATATAACGAACTCATATAACGAACATAGTTCACTATGACCGCAGTTCATAATAAGTATGTATACGGTATATATACAGTAAACTATGGATATAACGAACTCAAAGGGAACTCTAATTCTAGTTAACTATGACCGTAGTTCGTAATAAGTATGTATACAGTATATATACAGTTAACTATGGATATAACGAACTCAAAAGGAGCTCTAATTCTAGTGCGCTATGACCGTAGTTTGTAATAAGTATGTATACAGTATATATACAGTTAACTATGGATATAACGAACTCAAAGGGAGCTCTAATTCTAGTGCGCTATGACCGTAGTTCATATTAAGTATGTATACAGTATATATACAGTAAACTATGGATATAACGAACTCAAAGGGAGCTCTAATTCTAGTGCGCTATGACCGCAGTTCGTAATAAGTATGTATACAGTATATATACAGTAAACTATGGATATAACGAACTCAAAGGGAGCTCTAATTCTAGTGCGCTATGACCGTAGTTTGTAATAAGTATGTATACAGTATATATACAGTTAACTATGGATATAACGAACTCAAAGGGAACTCTAATTCTAGTTCACTATGACCGTAGTTCGTAATAAGTATGTATACAGTATATATACAGTAAACTATGGATATAACAAACTGAAAGGGAGCTCTAATTCTAGTGCGCTATGACCGTAGTTCGTAATAAGTATGTCTACAGTATATATACAGTAAACTATGGATATAACGAACTCAAAGGGAGCTCTAATTCTAGTGCGCTATGACCGTAGTTTGTAGTAAGTATGCATACGGTATATATACAGTAAACTATGGATATAACGAACTCAAAGGGAACTCTAATTCTAGTTCACTATGACCGTAGTTCGTAATAAGTATGTATACAGTATATATACAGTTAACCATGGATATAACGAACTCAAAGGGAGCTCTAATTCTAGTGCGCTATGACTGTAGTTTGTAATAAGTATGTATACAGTATATATACAGTTAACTATGGATATAACGAACTCAAAGGGAACTCTAATTCTAGTTCACTATGACCGTAGTTCGTAATAAGTATGTATACAGTATATATACAGTTAACCATGGATATAACGAACTCAAAGGGAGCTCTAATTCTAGTGCGCTATGACCGTTGTTTGTAATAAGTATGTATACGGTATATATACAGTAAACTATGGATCTAACGAACTCAAAGGGAACTCTAATTCTAGTTCACTATGACCGTAGTTCGTAATAAGTATGTATACAGTATATATACAGTTAACCATGGATATAACGAACTCAAAGGGAGCTCTAATTCTAGTGCGCTATGACCGTAGTTTGTAATAAGTATGTATACAGTATATATACAGTTAACTATGGATATAACGAACTCAAAGGGGACTCTAATTCTAGTTCACTATGACCGTAGTTCGTAGTAAGTATGTATACAGTATATATACAGTTAACTATATATGGATATAACGAACTCAAAGGGAGCTCTAATTCTAGTTCACTATGACCGTAGTTCATATTAAGTATGTATACAGTATATATACAGTAAACTATGGATATAACGAACTCAAGGGGAGCTCTAATTCTAGTGCACTATGACCGCAGTTCGTAATAAGTATGTATACAGTATATATACAGTAAACTATGGATATAACGAACTAAAAGGGAGCTCTAACTCTCGTTCACTATGACCGTAGTTCGTAATAAGTATGTATACGGTATATATACAGTAAACTATGGATATAACAAACTCAAAGGGAGCTCTAATTCTAGTGCGCTATGACCGTAGTTCGTAATAAGTATGTATACAGTATATATACAGTAAACTATGGATATAACGAACTCAAAGGGAGCTCTAATTCTAGTGCGCTATGACTGTAGTTCGTAATAAGTATGTATACAGTATATATACAGTAAACTATGGATATAACGAACTCAAGGGGAACTCTAATTCTAGTTCACTATGACCGTAGTTCGTAATAAGTATGTATACGGTATATATACAGTAAATTGCCAGGACCAAAAAAGACAGATTGTTATATCTGTAAGTTCGTTATAAGCGTGTTCTTTATAAACGTAGTTTACTGTAGCTAAATCAAGCTCCCTATTTATCATTCAGTTAATCATCATAATCGAAGAAAGATAGATCTACTGTTATTTGTATTCAATCAGGAACAAGGAAGTGTGCCTTGTTCCAACAATAAACAACTGGAAATGTTTATGTCAATTAAATTCACACAAAATATTGGCTCACATAATACAGCCCATCACAAGTCCTGAATCAGTGATGATGTAGATTAACATGTAAATAACTTGCATACACATTGCATCATCCTCTCAGAGAGTCTTCAGTTCCAAGAAGTACTTCTAAACTGAAAGTACAAATACTTGTACTTGTATATCTATGTGATCCAGGAAGTAGATTGCCTTGGCAACACCTTGAAACCACTAAACAGCCACAATTTGCAACTTTAACCTTAAAATGATTTGCAAATGTTGTAATGCTATGTAATAATACTCATCTGGTTGTCATACCAACATTTACTCAGCAGCCTTGTCAAACAGTACTTCTTTTTTAAGCAAAAATATAATTGTATGGAGAGTTACTTCCCTTTGAACTGACTGGTGAGGCTGACTGTAAAAAGCTCTCGTAAAATGTTCTTGAAATAACAAGAGGTACTACTACTACTACTACTACTACTACTACTACTATTACTACTACTACTACTACTACTACTACTATTCAATTATCATATTTATTAATAACTAAAATGCTACTTACAAATGACGTCCTCAGTTCAAATTAAATATTTTCATTATTGCTTTTGTGTGAATAAAACTTTAAAATCATATGCCCATCGTTGGGATTCCGGTTTAGAAACGCCCCAGCACCCCATATGCTTGTCGTAAGAGGAGACTTAACGGCTCTGGAAGTTACGCTCGCTGATTGGTTGCGTGTACTCGTGTATATTTCATCAATATCAATCACTGGATTGTCTGGCTCAGATTTCATTGTACAGGCCGCTGTGACATAGCTAGGATATTGCCAAATGCGGCGTTAAACAACATACTTTGCGGTACAGATACACGAGAAAATAAAAGAGCTGATCGGGAAAGACGAAATGGAGGTTTGTTCAGTTTTGAGAGAAGGATGTAGTAATGTGTTCCCAAACCAGTATGTGTTTTTGTACCCAAATCCTGTTTCCTCTATTTTTGCACTAGTTTCAAAATACTAAAATATACAGTTACTTATATAATTCAAACATAATTGGCATAATACATCAACGTGTTTATTGGCGTAAATTGTATCTACTTTGTCATACGTCAACTTCTAAGTAATGCCTATCAAACAATTTATTGACGTAATACAATAGGATTGGGAAAAAGCTCAGGGAGCTACTTAAATTGATTCCGTGTGCCTACTTCGACAACAACTGCTGACATGTCCGTATTTAACGTAATCAGCGCCCCGCTCTAATAAGCGCCCACGGCGATATTTGCTAATATATTGGCTAGTGAACAATCCGAATTAGCACCCCTTCCGATTGATCAATGTAAACAAGACTTTTTTATTCGTGTATAATAAGCACTCGTGTGTTATATGCACCCTTAATAATGGGCAATTAAATTCTGGAAAATATATCTGCCGTGTATGATACGACTTTTCTTTTGTATCATTTCAGGCTGTCGGCATAAACCACGAAATTTACGATCTTTCAACTCACTAAAATTATATTCTAATAATAGCCCCTTATTTCTAATTTTGAGAGCGCCCCGGGCGCTTATTACATCGAATACGGTATGCATTATTTTCGTACTTATAAATAAACTGATATTGCGTTTCATATTCCTGTTACTGTTTATTGCAATATACATATGTACACTTAAATATAATCACAACCTGAAATCAGAGACCATAAAATCAATCTCATTAAAATCAGACCTCAGTTCTCGCTACCGCTAAACAAAGCTTTCTTCAGCGGTAGCGAGAACTAAGATCTGATTTTAATGAGATTGCCATAAAATAGATTAGGAGTTTTGGTACAAAATAGTTTGCGTACAAAATCAGATACATCCCTTTGAGGATAAATGAACATACATTCAGCCGTAGAAACTAACATTTTTAGTCCACTAGTCCTTATAATGATAACATATAGCAAAACCCTAAAACAAAGTGCAAATTTCTACTATATGGCTGTAGCAATTTGTACATATTAATCAAATGAACCCGTCATATGCACATTTATACATTCGAGTAGTTAATGTAAATCAACTAGTAAATCACACACTGCAAAGGGAAATAACTCTGCTGCACAAAGTGATGCGTAATTTGGGGAAAACCAAATGTCGCTCTCGTTTGCCAAGTCGTTGTACATATTAGAGCAGCCATTCGGTCGATGTTTGTGAATGTGATATTGATATAGGTTTGTGAAAGATACATTGTGTATGGTTACATAACCAACAGGTCTTGTGCTTGCAGCTCTGTTCGCCGATACATTCACTGAAGCAGACGACAATCAACAGGTAACAACAACAATCGTTAACAATCGCAGAATATGGAATGGGAATTTGAAATTTAAGTCTACGTACTGACTTACTGTGAAACAGTGAGTTAACCTTCTTACTTGCCTTATGTCTTGCTTGTCGTGGATGAATTTAGATTTTGTTGACCCAACCCAACTTTTTCCAAGAATGCTAACTTCACCATGACTCTTTATTACAGATCATGACTAATGGGCGTGTCACATGACATTCAAATCAACACAATAATTATAATTGTTAAAGTTAATTCTCTCTCAAAATGTGGTGAAGGAAATTTGCTTCAAGAATCATATTTCAGCTTACAGGAGTTAAGGACAGTGGTTGTACAGGTAGTATTGTTTTAAACAGAGCAGGTTTATTGACAAAACTCACACAAAGTGATATAGTGAATATACACTAGTCTATTTACATTTTCTATTTACATATACGTTTGTTGGGACAGTTAAAATAGGGGTAGACAAGTGTTGTATTGTTATAGGTTGATGTATCGGGTATCCGTGAAACCGGTGCGAGTAGGGCTGGCCAGGCAACATCACATGGGTCAGAGCGACCTCGAGTCCTTGTCAGGGAAAATGATACGAATCCTCGGACAGCTGGTTTCAGAGGACTTGTATATTTCAGTTGAGTTTAATTGTGTAGGGTGTACAACTGAACCATGTCCCCAGATGTTTGTACTCGTACAGAGAAACCCTTTTAATCCAGAAACCCCCTGGCCCACATTTGGACAATTATTGTTGGGAAGGTGACTGTAAGACTAAGGTATTTGCTAGAATGGAAATTGGTAATCCAGAAGACATCAGTGGAAATGACAGTGTCCAGATTAACAAGGTTGCACTGGTTACATGTGTATCAGCTGTTATACTGGTCTATGTGTTTATTACCCACGTGGTGAAAATACAAGTGGTAATTATTTTTTAGATACTAAATTCGTACATCACACGTGTGTCGTACAAGGTTGACCTTGTTTTATTCATTTTTATTGGATAACCGTGATCTCTCACACCGGAACTACTTTTTTCATTTATAAACAAATCATGAGACGTTATTCATTATTACAACGAGGCAGAACGAAAGGAATCTCATGAAACCGAGTGACATTTACACACACTTTACTATAGCAAACAGGATCGTCACATGCATCAAATTCGCTTTGCGTTTATATTTTAGTTACCGGTATGCATAGAGCAACTACAGACATTATAGAATCGAGCTATATCCATATGCAATGAGCGACTACGGATAGATCGAGGGTCCCCTGTGTGCGTGACACACCTGACATCTTTCGCAACTTTCAATTTGAATTAACTTAAAAGGTTAAGATTGGTGAAATGAAGTCAGTTTAAAGTACCTGGACAGATATGTAGACTTACGTTGGATGCTCCGGTTGTGCCATTAGTGTCCCCATTCAAAGCATATTTTGTGACATGGCTTCCGAAGGTGTTTGTTCATGAATGCACAATCAGATCACTCAAAGTAAACAGTTCCAATACAAATCCTTCAAAAACTCCGGGGAAGTGTGCTTAGGCACACGTTTACTTCTGTTTTGTGGCCCAAACATCCAAAATGTGAAAAAAACATTCCCTGATCATGCTAATGATCTCTAGCGTAAAACGCTGTGAGTAGATAACGGTTGTCTTTTCTTATTCCCATGGTGACCTTGCGCTTCGTTTGAAGCTGTCACTGACGTGTAATCAGACTTGAGTTTGTTGATTTTCACGTTTCAGTATAGTGTCGTACAGTTAACATAAACACCTTTGGCGAGCACTCTGATTTCCCTCTTCCAATATCTTACCAACAGGATGTAAATTCAGCTGACAGATCAAGGGAACCATTTTGACTGGTTAGAATTGCAAATTTGCCCTGATATTTTTAGGTTTGTTATTTCTATACCAATGTGTACAGGTATCATCACAGGGGTAACTTCTAAGACCTCCCGCATTCGGCTGACACAACATGATGTAACTGAAGCACTGTTCGAGGGCCCATGGCAGTGTTAGACCAAACCTTTTCACTCTAGCTTCCCATACAGCAATATAATCTAACATTTTAACCCACTCGTCCTTATAATGATAATATATAGCAAAGCCCTTAAAAAGGCAAATTTGTACTAGTCCTTATGGTATCTTAACATCTTTGGCAGTTTGGCAAGGACTACAGGACTAGTGCCATTTACTAACGCTGCCATACCTTCTTAGATGCCACAGTTTACTAGCAGAATTGTATCCCTAAGGCATGTGAAAAAAACCTGATTGTGGGTTTGCCTCCCATTTAGCCGTCCTCCAACATCAAGCTGACACGTTGTGATATAACTGAAATATTGTTCAAATTAAAGTCAAACTCGGATAAATTATTTTATAAAACAGCTAAGCTACAGCACCTAATATTTGTTGTTTTTTTTAAAGGTAAAATGGAGGACGAAGATCATGGTGCAGAATACAAGTTTATAGGCAGAGAAAAGCCGATTGAGGACCTTGTTGAACTCATTGTGACAAAGAAAAAACGTTTGATCTGTATAGATGGAGAGCCGGGCATTGGTGTGTCAAGATTTGCCGAGTTCAGCTTGGGAAGGGTTGCGCAACAGCAACACCACACATGCTTCCTCATTGACTGTCAGAAGATTCCAGGAAAGACTAAAGAAGATGTTGAGGCAAACTTTAAGACACATTTTGAAGAAGATGTGATCCAAAAGACTGCTGCAAAGTCAACAATCATTTTCGACAGCAGTGATCGACTGGAAATGATAAATGATCTGGTGAAACAGTTTTCAGTATTTCTTCAGCACAATCAGGAATCTCATGTGAATCTCTTGTTTGACAATGTTGACCGGAAGAGCAAGGACATTGTCCAGTCTTTTGTGATCAGTGCTCTCAAGTCATTCAAAACAAGAATCACAAATGTGACTTTTATTCTGACTTCTCGGATGAAGCTTAGTTTTGCACAATTAAGAATGGAGTCAGTGAAGTTAGGGCCTTTCACTGAAGAGGAAGTGAGAGAATATTTTCATAAAATCTTTGACATTTCATTCAGAGACGATGTGTTCAGGATTATTCATGGCTGGTGTGCTGGGAATGTTACTGTGCTGTCATTAGTAGGTAAGCTGATGTAGACGCTATTGGCCATATCTGTCTACCATAGTCCAAAACTCATTTTGTATGAGTGGTTCGTGTGAAGTAAATAGATGGAGAAAAAATGGCTCGGTATCTCAGTGGGTTAGCACTATAAAATCGACATCAGTCCGGACAAGTACAAGCAGCCACACTCACACACTCTCACGTGCATGCACATCAATATATAAGTGCAATAATTTTGGACGTGACGTTAAACCCTATTTCACCTCACCTTTCAAAGTGGATTGAAATCTGGAGCATGTGTGCAGTTAGTAGTGGGGCTTACAACATTGGTTCCGTTTTTCATGATATTATATTTTTTTACCTGTATTTGACAATGCCCTCTATTTCTCTGAAAATGCATTTCTCACACTGTAGATGTAGCAGGTTAGGGTGGTGCAAATCTCACCGTTAAGACCAACGCCTGCTGGGGGTCACTTGTGACCAAGAAGCCACAAGTTTATTTTCCATACCAATATTTACCCTGGAACTTAATTGAACAAATAATGAATAAATAGTTTTACACATTAAAACATTGCACTTATCACCGTTATTGATATCATAATTAAAATGCATTGACCACATTATTATATGATGTTTTCTATATTACTTCAACTGCATCAATGCACTTTTATATACAAGATGTATATTATACATACATGAAATATAAACAATGAATAACTAAATTACTATGCCTACCGAATGTATGGCACTCAGGTGATAGTAGGCCAAATCACTTGTCACTCAGATCCATCTATAAATAACATACACATGTCATTCTAACTTAAGTATAAATATCATAAAATAATATACATAGTAATCTACTGCCATATTAATTCAATCTAAACCTACTACAACATAATCTCAAATAGAATGTCATAGTGTAGTAGCGGTTATGGGGTGGATGTTGGTGGGGCACACACAATACGACGCTACTTGTCAGTTCACATGACAACCATCTTTATTCAGAGAGTAGATAATAATCATAGTAAACCCTGAAAGTAAACATCATAAGTATTTTTGTAGAAGAACATAATAATATTGCCTTCGTGGAGATTAAACACAATTACATGACTTCATCTGATCAGCTAGCACATTAGCACTAGCATGAATAAATCCTTAAATATAAATAGCAGTTTGTAAACTATTTCTGAATAACTATATAAAATTGCCATTTGTAAATACTTTGTGAATACATTACATTTACACAAAACATTAATTTAGAAGGATAACAATATACTAGTTATTAGTTTGAACCATATATATGATTATGTTCCCCACTTACCACTGTGTGGCAATGAGCTTAACTCAGTGGTTCGCAGCAACGTTCAAGGTTGTTTACGGTCACATCATTCTACAACAAGTTGAAATACAACCTTGACAATACTAATAATGGCCATATAAAATAAGATATAAAAACAACCGATCTCCTATACATACGTTCTTATTTCAAACCACGATCAGACAGTTATAGGTTTTAGAACATGTTTAAATAATAATTTAGTTTAGTAAAGTGTATACTAGTAATGCAGTATTTAAGAAGATAACATACTGTAAAGATGCAATATGATACATTTTAGATTGCAATTAAATAAATTCTACATACAACCAACTGTAATGATAGTGTAATTATACACTGATGCATTAATCTAACACCTCTTAAGAAATACAATATGTACAAGACCATATATACAGTATATGAAATACTACACATAAACTAACCTGGATAATGAAATCCTCAATACACAAATATCGAAACCATGAATGCACAATGTTCCACATCCACAATCAGCAAGGGGCTGATATTAAGGAAAACGATCCAATATAAATCCAAGTGACCTCCTCGAATAAATGTGTACAACTGCCAACAGGATATGCCGAACAGAAACTTTTAAAACTACATGCACAATAGATAGTAAGCTGACCAGAGACACTAAAGCAGACAGACAAAAGAAACTTGTGCAGTGTGCATACGCATGGGTCAGAACCTGGCCTGACCCAGTAAGGTGGCTATTGTTAAATGCAGGGTGCAGGGATAGGCTTATTGTATTGAGGGCTTGTATAACTCTAAAGGTTTGTTTGTAGGGTACTGTATGTAAAGTTTAAAGCTAAAATGAAACATCTAAAATATCTAACTTATATGTACAAATACTTAAAACATGACTTGGCCACATACTTCCCCTCCCCTAGAAATGACGTCCTCGTCATTTAGAAGTTCCATCCAGAATAGAAATAAAAGCCTGGGATAAACTCTCACTAATATGCTTTAAAACACCACTAGCTGCACGTTCCTGGATTGCTCTAGATCTTCTGTCCATAGTAGCCTCTGAACCTGGCACTCTGTGACTCATCAAGTACTCCCCTGATGTCATCCAGGAAGGCTTCTTTGAGTCTCTTCCTGAACGTCTAGGTGCAGATCCAGTTGGAGATATCGATGCAGTTGCAGCAGCAGATGTTTCGTCATCTATCCCTGAAGCGGTCTGAGCCCCAGGTTCCTCCTGTTCAGTTTTGTCCTCATCAAGGTCCTCTATTTCTTCTTCACAGGTCTCTTCTGTGTCCTGCTGTTCCTCTGACAACACTGACGAGTGACCGTCGCCACCAGAAGAAGATCCCTCTACCTCAAGAAGTTCTTGGTCGTCACCAGTCTTTGCTTGGGTAGATTCCTCATCCCTCTCTGCAGATTCTGCGTTCATCACTGTGGAGCCATGAACGTCTGCTGTATCTTGGGACGTCTGAACAGGCACTGTAAATGTTCCTATCTCCATGATATCTTCATCATTTCCAGTAGACATCTCTGATGTCGCGTCTTGAGTGTATGCTGGGGATAACACAGTTGATGTCCTTTGTCTAGGAGCTGGAGTTGGCCTCTGCTTGACCTTGGCATCCTCTGGCTGTGAAATGGCTCCAGTGGGCAAGAGATGGTTCCGGTGCAAGGTCCTCTTCCGTCCTTCACCAAATTCCTTCTGGACCACAAACACAGGAATATCTAAATTTGGCTGTTCCAGAACTACATGAACATTCTCTTCCCATCGGTCCGCTAGTTTATGTCGTCCATCGAAAGCCAAAGCTTTGACCAGCACCCTGTCTCCGACCTCTAGGGTTCCACCTCTAACCTTCAGGTCATATCCTGCCTTCTGTCGACCTTGAGCATCGTGTGTGGTCTTTGCTGCCTGCTCATAAGCACTCCAGAGTCGTTCCCTGAGGGCCTTGGTGTACTGAAACACTGATTTCTTCTCTCTGTTGAGCTCCAGTCCAAAAGCAAGGTCGATTGGTAATCTGGGTTCACGTCCAAACATAAGGAAGAAGGGTGTCTGGCCAGTGGTCTCGTGGCGGATGCAGTTATAAGCATGAACTAAAGGTCCCACATAATTCTTCCAGTCCCGTTTCTTGTCAGGCGATAGGGTGCCAAGCATGTCACAGAGGGTCCGATTAAATCTCTCACACATGCCGTTGCCCATAGGGTGGAATGGAGTGGTCCTTGACTTCTTGATGTTCAGTAAGTCACATAATTCCTTCACGAGCTTGCCCTCAAAGTTTGCTCCTTGGTCGGTGTGGAGACGCTGTGGCATTCCATAGTGTTGAACAAAGTGGGTGTAGAAAGCCTCTGCAGTTGTCTTGGCTGTCTGGTTCCGTGTTGGAATGGCCATGGCATACCTGGTAAAGTGGTCTGTAATTACCAACACATTCTCGTAGCCTTGTGATGATTCCAGTGATTCCATACACTAGAATCACACAAGTATATCCTACACTAAAATAATGTTTACATTATACATGCTGTACTAAAACAAATATAACATCCTACATAATGTTTAATATTTAGTATTAAAACTAACTTTTTGAGAGAAAGATGAAGTTGTGAAAATCTTTGTCACAATACGTGTAAAAATGTGTGTCTCATGTCGTGACTGTCCAGAGAAAGCTGTATACAGTAGACTGACTTATGCTTGTGTTAGTATAGAAGCCTACCCTCTAAAAGCAAGACAAAAGAATACTCTCGACACTCACAATAAACAAAAGAACTTACCAGCCCAAGTTCAGCTTGGAGCAATCAGGCTTGAAACTTGTACCATACATAATCTAATAAAATACACCAATTACACTGTCTAAAACCAATACCATATATATACAGATAAACTATAAAAATGACACTGCCACATAGACATCATGTCCTCAGAAACCACTGGACTAATGAAGTCTAATCCGATTATCATATAGCTACCACAACAGCTTTATGACCACTGCTCAAGCTCTCAAATGCTTTCAAAATGTGTTTTTGCCTCTGAAATTGCCAGACAGGGGACTGAACTTCGGCATGTATGTTTCTCCTTATGTCGACATCATATTTTGTTAAAACATTAGGATTTTTGTGTGTTTTTTGTGAAACAATTGTAAAGTTGTATGAAACATTATTCCCCTTAGAAATGTATGACACTCAGATTTGTGTTACTTAATTTTAAGTAAATTGAAGAGGGTGCCCCAAAACCAATATTTCAATTTTGAAATTTATTTGATTTATCTTTTTTTTCTTGTAAAGTGTGACAAATCAACAAATTATTTACCCTGAAGCTTATGACCATGCACTTATGTCATGCATTGTATGTGAAAATCTCAGTCTAATATATTTGTACAAGCTGAGTACACAGACATTTAAAACTGTTACATTCCTAGGTGAGCTACATTGCCATGATTTGGTTGGTTTGTTGTTAAACGCCGCACTCAGCAATATTCCAGCTATATGACGGCAGTCTGTAAATAATCGAGTCTGGACCAGACAATCCAGTGATTGAAATCATGAGCATCGTTCCACGCAATTGGGATTGATGACATGCATCAACCAAGTCAGCGAGCCTGACCATCCGATCCCGTTAGTCACCTTTTACGACAAGCATAGTCACCTTTTACGGCAAGCATGGGTTGCTGAAGACCTATTCTACCCCGGAATATTCACAGTTCACATTGCCATGACACAATGTTTTCTTATACCATTGACTTACTGTAAAAGGCGACTATGCTTATCGTATGAGGTGACAAACAGGATCAGGTGGCCTGGCTCGCTGACTTTGCATGGTAATTGTATCCCAATTGCATGGATCGATGCTCATGATGTCTATCACTGGATTGTTTGGTTCTGACTTGATTATTTACAGACCGTTGTCAAATAGCTGAAATATTGCTTAGTGCGGCGTAAAACAACAAGCAAACATCTTAAACCATTGAAAACCGGTGGGAAACCAGCTTATCCCATGGTATCCACTTGTATCAGTGATCCCCTCATGGTAACACCATCCAACTAAGATGGAGACACCATCAGCACGTTATACAGGTGTTGTTTAAGTGCCCTTGACTGTTTAGAACAGTTCCCTGGCAGCTTTTGTGGTCAGGGCTCAAGTCTTGCACTAAACATACCATTGGTGAGGGGGCTGGGACGATCCGACACGTTTCATAATACCTTGCTCATGATACGATATGTATCACGATACTTGCACATGCTCTTATCCCTTGTGCGTAAGCCATCTCTTTCATAGACTTGATAAATTTATGTGACATTGGAGGTTGTTGCTGCAATACGTAATATCTGTTTATCTGAAAAATATGTGTATCAGTAACGTATGTTACTTGTGGACGGCGATTCTGCATCAATAACCTGCATATCATGGGGATTTAAGTTTTATATAAATGTGTCCCCATAAGTTTTGAAAATGACCCCATGTATTGATGCTGAAGGGGTCCCTGTACCCACTTGTTCAGTTTTTTGGCAATAGGGCTGGGACGGGTAACTCTGGTACTCGGGTCGGGTGGGTACTGAGTAGGACCCGGGTACCCACAGGACTACCCGGACCTGTGCTTCGTCACGTGATATGACCATAATGATCTAGAACTCTATGGTTACACAAGTCACTAATGTTCGCATTTCCTTTTGACTATGCACCCATTCCTTCTGACTTATATGTGTTTCAATAAAGATAAAATTTTAAAACTTCTGTGTATGCATGCATGAGCAGATCGTTATATATGTGTATCTAAATACATTTTGCCAGGACTACAGTCAAACTATTCCCAATCGCACATTTTGTACCTATCTCTTGACACCTACAGCGGGTACCCGGGTAGTACATTTGGACTCATCCCAGCCCTACTAGGCAGAACTCTGGGTAAACCGTTGTGATGTCATGATACTAGCTAGTCGTGTGCTAACATGGCTAATGCTATTTAAACTTAGCATTAACTTCATTTTCCTTGAGGGATGTTCACTTAATATATTTTCCCCAATAATCAGTGCTGGACACACCCTCTGTGCTTCTTGTGCACATCCAGATAGTGACAGTCAGCCAGTGATGACCATATCATGATGTGTACACCACACACTTAAAGGTGATTATTTGGGGTTCCTTAACACAATGTGCAACTTACCCAAAGCATTTTATTTCATTTTGACATTGGGTAGAATGGGTATATTCATACTGCATAAGATATGTTACCTGGAGATATGAAGGGGTTAAATTTAACATTTGAAACCCCCGGCTGAGGTTTCAACTTCTGTTTAGTGTCGTCTCATCTACAGGAAGCATAACTCTAGTTTATTTTTCTCCTAGTGTCCAGGGGTAGATTTGACAACAAATTTGTATGTAGCCAGCAGGGCTTGCTCCTTTTAAGAGTTACAGGTCCTTCTCCAAACTAACTGGCCTGCAACTAAATGGTGGAGGCTGCGAAGTTGCCATCTGGCGGGGCTCTGAAAAAGTTACATCTCCTCCCCCCTAAAACACTTTTCCTGCACTCTGAGATTAAATCTTGGCTTCTTCTATTTGCCTCATTTTGTGGTGATGTATGAGCAAATAAACATTACAAAATGGCGTCCGGTTGTCATTCTACCGAGATGATTGACATATATCTTTCTTTGAGTTAACCATTCACCAAGACCTCATCATCCCTAAATATTTTCTCATCCAAATTACAGAGTAGTGTCCAATTTTAAAAATTAAAACATTTTTGACTAGCCAGATGGGACATCTACTTTACGTTTCAGGGAGACCTTTCTAATTTTAACTGACCACGGGCCAATGGACCAGCAGTTGGATTGAGTGTCATGGGGCAGAGTCTCCAGTTTCCCATGTTGTAAGATCCAACTGATGTGTCATGAAGCTGATGGTGGGGATCGTTGCTCATGAGGGCGAATGTGAGTTGTGGTCCATGATATTGCTGGAATATTGCTGACCGCCTATCAAATAGCATCATGAATGAGTCTTGAAGCTTGTATGTCTGCCATTTGTCTGGTCCAGACTTGCTTATTCAAAGGTCACTGTGATATTGCAGGAATATTCCAGACTGAAGTTTAACATGTGATAGACTCACAAGTAATTACAATAAAGTTCCTAATGTACTGGTACTTTTGATCTACACAGGTAGAGAGCTGACTGATCTGAAAGACATGTCCTTTGACCAAGAAGACTTCTCAACTGTCATTGTCCAAGGGTCATCGCAAGATGCTTTACGCCTCGTCAACAGTGATGGCTTGGCCGACCAGGAGAAATGGAGTAAGTAGCGTTAGTGACAAACTACTCTCATTGCTTTCATCTAAAAACACACCCATTGGAATTCTGGGTAAGAATGTGGGAAAGGCGACTTAATGGATTTGGTGATCAGCCTCTTTGACTTTTTTGATTGCTTGTCATCATATCCTAATTGTGATACTCATAATGTCGACCACTGGATTGTCAGGTCCAGATTCAATTATTTACAGAAAACTAGAAGATTACTGAGTGAGTCATTAAACAACCATTAACAACAATATGCATCTAATATGGTCATAATTGTTACAGTATCCAATTTGGAAATGTCATGTTTAAACAACCACTTAGGAAGCAGTTGAAAATTTGACGTTGGATAAATATCTTAATTTGTAAGTTTGGAGTTGGGGGTATCAGGTTTACAGGTTTTGTTATGTAACAAAGACATGTGAATAAAGAACTGTGATTATCCTGTCACATTTCTGAACCATTACGTTGCCTACGCCAGAGTAACACCTCACACACAGAGAAACCGACCCGTAATTGTCAAATAGATGATTAATAGCGTACACACTCATGATGACATAAACAGGCACACCGATTTCATTAAGGCGGATTGACAAAGATAACCCAAACTGAAGTGTAAGTATTTATTCTTCTAAGCAACAAACCAAGCTAAGCAGTGAGGTTTTAAGTCAACAGATTCAAGTTGGACACACACAGCCTGAGATAACATCTAAGAGGTGAATAGTCGGAAGTTAGCAAGGCTGATAGTAACCAGTCTTTATACAACTTACCCAATGTAAATGCACTGGAGGTATTAAATCTAAAACCGGTATACAATTGCCGCAACGCCAGTCTAGCTAGGTTTTACATACATCGGCTCAAACTGCTTATACGTACCAAGCTTCTGTCTTCACAGTTGGACAGCGACTCCAGCTTTTGATATTGTGTCGGGAGCATCGACGGTGGTACGAACAAAGTTCGGAATTTCTCTCAGAGTAAATACAACATAAGCCATATAATTATAAGTCACACGCAGATGTCTGCTGAAGGTCCTCTTTCAAACTGACATGAGAAATAATACCATCATGGTAGATGCAGTGTTTGCACTGTAAGAACAGTTAAATGTATATACAATAAAGGTCCATATGGTTATTTTGTTAACGCCTAAAAGGTACAGTAAACTAAGGTTATAACAAACTCAAAGCGACCACTAATTTTAGTTTCTTATATCAGCGTTCGAAATACATGCCTGCCTGACCGTCCGAGACGGGTTGATTTCAGCTCGGGCTGCCAGATTTTCAAATCCCCCTGCCCGGCGGTCGGGTTATATTTCATAGGTGAAAATATTCTAAATATTTCCCGATGATAAGCATTAATTCACATGTAAAGATGAATGATAAAATGTAACCAAAAAGAAACCCCGTTAGCTTTTAGACAACCTAACATTTAGCGATGCGCTTATGCTACAAGCAATCAGTTTTCATATTTTTAATTAAATTATCCTGAGAAACATATGATTATAGTGGGCAGGCAGGTTTTGGTCAGGGCTGGCAAGTATTTCAGCTAGCCAGTTTTGGGAGTTTCATACCCTGTAATTTATATCCGTAGTTCATTATAAGCATTTCGACTGTCAGGCATCTTGGATCAAGTCATGTGACCACATCATGTTACTCGATAAAAAACAAAAGTGTGCAATGTATAGGTTCTATGTTTATTCATCATACATAACCAAAATAAAACCATGTTTCAATGACATACAGATACAAGAGTCACTTGTCTTCATTCAGGAAATCTGTGGTTTTGCTTTGGACATTTGTTGAAAGACGGATTTGGTTGACGGATATACCCCTCTTCTTAAATCTCTTAAGCTAGCCGGTATTTGCACATAATACATAATTACTATTGTTAATTGAGGCTCTTATTTGTGGACGAATTGTCAGTACATTAGAGTAAATCATTTGCCTTCAAATGTTTATTGCTGCTTTGAACGTGAAGCGTGTTCGATATAAACATAGTTTACTGTACATAAGCCATAACAATACATGGGGCGATCCCTGAATCGGGACCTCGTCATCCATGCTAATCAACATATGTTATGCTGGAAATAAACAGCAACACTATAGATAAACAAGATTAAGTTCAAGAAAGGTAGTTCATAAACCTTTGTATGATGGTGATCCACAACTTATGTACAACTATTTTATAACATTTGTGCATTGGTAGGATTTCCTCTAATACACTGTTAGTGTGTGCACATGTGTGAAGACATACATCACAGTGGATAATATGCCTTTGTGGGATTTGAGTGTTACTACTGATTGACAAAATCTCTGTTCTGTTACTCATCGGAACAATGTAACAATTAAATGACAATTTCATCTTGGTTATTGTTATTAAATCAATCTGTAGGAGATGATTGTGACTAAAAGAGATTTTTTTCTTGTATTCAGGTGAGATTTTCGCAAAATTCTTTGAACAACTGTCTCAAAGAGCACAGGTCAATTTGCAGAAAGTTGCACAGTTTGACAGGGACTTCAAAGCAGAGGATTTGAACAAAAGTAAGCATTGCCATAAATATCTGTGAGTTAGTGGACAACAGGGCAAGGGAGGGACTGAGCGAGTTATTTACCTGATTGAGTTAGTGAATAAGTGAGTGAGAGCGAATAAAATAAGGAGTGGTAATTATACTTCCTCTTTGAATTGTTCATTACCTGTGAAGATGTGGGTAAGAATAGGTTTCAGTAACCCATGCTTGTCATAAAAGGTGACTATGCTTGTCGGAAGAGGCGACTAATGGGATCAGGGTGGTCAGGTTCGCTGACCTTGTACGTTAGTGCATGTCATCGTGTCCCAATTGCGTGGATAGATGCTCATAATATCAATCACAAGATTTTCTGGTCTAGATTATTTACAGACCGCCTCATACAGCTGGATGATTGCTGAGTGCGGCTTTAAACAACAAACAAACAAGCTTGATCTGTTTGCCAAGGGAGATAACTCCTCACATGGGATTTGCTCATTAGCCTAACCAAATCACTTGAAGCGTCATAAAATCTCTGTCATTGCCTCTGTATGGTCAGAATGGATAAGTGAGTTTGGTTCAGCGCCACTTGGAACAGTGTTTCAGTTATGGCACAGCATGTCAGCTTAGTGTGAGGGACTTGGAATTTTGACCCTGTGGTGAACCCCATGAGCACAGGTATGGGGCTGACAAACCTGGGAAAATAATCAGGGCAAATTTGGGATTCAAATCCACAAGGGGTTCTTGGGATCACATGTCTGCTTTGTAAAACAGTTCTGATTCATTTCTCATGCACCTCATTTCCAAATTGTTTTACAAAGCTGACATCTGATAGGCGAACATTAATCCTTTATTCAGATTGGGCGGTCAAAGTTCGCTGATGATCTGAGACCTGGTAATAATGACAATGATGTATTGATTTTGCTAAATGAAACGTTTGGAGCTCCCTGGGAATTTACTCAATGAATTGTAGCGTCATATTTGATGTTTATAGTACTGTATGTGGTCAACACATCCTCAGTGTTTGTTTCAGTGCGTCCAAATGAGTCGGTGGCCCTGACGAAACACCGGGTTCTTGTAGAGCTGATGAGGACAAATGCTATACGTCACAATCTGACTGACAAAACTTTCCAGTTTGATCAACTCAAAAGACAGTGGCTCGACACCCAGGAATCAGGTTGAGTAGAAAACACTTGTCATACTTTATGTCTGTCACCCCCTTGTATGATAATAATGAACTCAGACTACATGATCTTCAAGCTTATGTACCACCTCCGTGGCCTTATGTATAGAGCACCTTCCCAGAGACTGCCTCCATGGCCTTATGGATAGAGCACCTTCCCAGAGACTGCCTCCATGGCCTTATGTATAGAGCACCTTCCCAGAGACTGCCTCCATGGCCTTATGTAGAGAGCACCTTCCCAGAGACTGCCTCCATGGCCTTATGGATAGAGCACCTTCCCAGAGACTGCCTCCGTGGCCTTATGTATAGAGCACCTTCCAAGAGACTGCCTCCATGGCCTTATGTATAGAGCACCTTCCAAGAGACTGCCTCCATGGCCTTATGGATAGAGCGTCTTCCCGGAGACTGCCTCCTTGGCCTTATGTATAGAGCGCCTTCCCAGAGACTGCCTCCATGGCCTTATGGATAGAGCGTCTTCACGGAGACTGCCTCCATGGACTTATGGATAGAGCCTCTTCCAGGAGACTGCCTCTATGGTCTAGTGGATAGAGCATCTTCCCAGAGACTGCCTCCTTGGCCTTATGTATAAAGCGTCTTCCCAGAGACTGCTTCCTTGGCCTTATGTATAGAGCACCTTCCCAGAGACTGCCTCCTTGGCCTTATGTATAGAGCACCTTCCCAGAGACTGCCTCCATGGCCTTATGTATAGAGCACCTTCCCAGAGACTGCCGCCTTGGCCTTATGTATAGAGCACCTTCCCAGAGACTGCCTCCATGGCCTTATGGATAGAGCATCTTCCCGGAGACTGCCTCCTTGGCCTTATGTATAGAGCGTCTTCCCAGAGACTGCCTCCTTGGCCTTATGGATAGAGCATCTTCCCAGAGAATGACTCCATGGTCTAGTGGATAGAGCGTCTTCCCAGAGACTGACTCCATGGTCTAGGGGATAGAGCGTCTTTCCAGAGACTGCCTCCAGGGTCGAATGGATATAGCATCTTCCCGGAGATTGCCTCCATGGTCTAGTGGATAGAGCACCTTCCCAGAGACTGCCTCCATGGTCTAGTGGATAGAGCATCTTCCGGGAGACTGCCTCCATGGTCTAGTGGATAGAGCATCTTCCCAGGGACTGCCTCAATTAACTATTGGATAGAGCGTCTTCCCAGAGACTGACTCCATGGTCTAGTGGATAGAGCATCTTCCCGGAGACTGCCTCCATGGTCTAGTGGATAGAGCGTCTTCCCGGAGATTGCCTCCATGGTCTAGTGGATAAAGCACCTTTCCAGGGACTGCCTCCATGGTCTAGTGGATAGAGCATCTTCCCAGAGACTGCCTCCATGGTCTAGTGGATAGAGCACCTTCCCAGAGACTGCCTCCATGGTCTAGTGGATAGAGCATCTTCCCAGAGACTGCCTCCATGGTCTAGTGGATAGAGCATCTTCCCGGAGACTGCCTCCATGGTCTAGTGGATAGAGCATCTTCCCGGGGACTGCCTCAATTGACTATTGGATAGAGCATCTTCCCAGAGACTGACTCCATGGTCTAGTGGATAGAGCATCTTCCCAGGGACTGCCTCAATGGTCTAATGGATAGAGCATCTTCCCGGGGACTGCCTCAATTGACTAATGGATAGAGCGTCTTCCCAGAGACTGCCTCCAGGGTCGAATGGACATAGCATCTTCCCGGAGACTGCCTCCATGGTCTAGTGGATAGAGCATCTTCCCGGAGACTGCCTCCATGGTCTAGTGGATAGAGCGTCTTCCCGGAGACTGCCTCCATGGTCTAGTGGATAGAGCATCTTCCCAGGGACTGCCTCAATTGACTATTGGATAGAGCGTCTTCCCAGAGACTGACTCCATGGTCTAGTGGATAGAGCGTCTTCCCAGAGACTGCCTCCATGGTCTAGTGGATAGAGCATCTTCCCAGGGCTGCCTCAATTGACTATTAGATAGAGCGTCTTCCCAGAGACTGCCTCCATGGTCTAGTGGATAGAGCATCTTCCCAGTGACTGCCTCCCTGGTCTAGTGGATATAGCATCTTCCCGGAGACTGCCTCCATGGTCTAGTGGATAGAGCGTCTTCCCGGGGACTGCCTCAATGGTCTAGTGGATAGAGCATCTTCCCGGGGACTGCCTCCATGGTCTAGTGGATAGAGCATCTTCCCGGGGACTGCCTCAATTGACTATTGGATAGAGCATCTTCCCAGAGACTGACTCCATGGTCTAGTGGATAGAGCATCTTCCCAGGGACTGCCTCAATGGTCTAATGGATAGAGCATCTTCCCGGGGACTGCCTCAATTGACTAATGGATAGAGCGTCTTCCCAGAGACTGCCTCCAGGGTCGAATGGACATAGCATCTTCCCGGAGACTGCCTCCATGGTCTAGTGGATAGAGCATCTTCCCGGAGACTGCCTCCATGGTCTAGTGGATAGAGCGTCTTCCCGGAGACTGCCTCCATGGTCTAGTGGATAGAGCATCTTCCCAGGGACTGCCTCAATTGACTATTGGATAGAGCGTCTTCCCAGAGACTGACTCCATGGTCTAGTGGATAGAGCGTCTTCCCAGAGACTGCCTCCATGGTCTAGTGGATAGAGCATCTTCCCAGGGCTGCCTCAATTGACTATTAGATAGAGCGTCTTCCCAGAGACTGCCTCCATGGTCTAGTGGATAGAGCATCTTCCCAGTGACTGCCTCCCTGGTCTAGTGGATATAGCAACTTCCCGGAGACTGCCTCCATGGTCTAGTGGATAGAGCGTCTTCCCGGGGACTGCCTCAATGGTCTAGTGGATAGAGCATCTTCCCGGGGACTGCCTCAATTGACTATTGGATAGAGCGTCTTCCCGGAGACTGCCTCCATGGTCTAGTGGATAGAGCATCTTCCCAGAGACTGCCTCGATGGGCTTGTCGATAGAGCATCTTCCCGGAGAGCAGAAGATCAGTGATCCCTGGCTGCGTCATACCAAAAGACATTCTAGGATGGTACATTTTGTTACCCTGCCTGGCGCTCAGCATAAGGGGCTAAAACAAGACTTGTCAGCTCAGAGTCAGCATACTGTGTCCGAGGGGGGTGTCTATGTTAAACTGCAACATGGCATCTCAGTGGGCTAACACTATAAAACTGACATAAGTCTGCATTAGTAGAAACAGACCCACAGCTTATATTACACCTATATTCTTGATCGTGACGTTCACTGTCAACATGCAGCTGGGCCTTTAGAAAACTGTAATAATTTTTAAATGTTCAATAAAAATTGGTTTTGTAATAATATTTAGTTAGTGAATGGTCAGCACACAACGTTCATTTTCTTTACTCTGCACAGAATTTGTGTTTCACACAGCAACTTTTATTCTTTGATTTGCTTTCTTGTTTTTGCATGATATTGGGTATTGCCAGACCCCATGGAGTGAGTGAGTGAGTGAGTTGGGTTTAACGCCGCTTTTAACAGTATTCCAGTTATATCGCGGCGTGTCAGCTTAATGTGGGAGGAAAGCCCGAAGTGATGCAGGTCTCAGACGTTTACCTCTTCAGTGAAACCCACGAGCACGGGTATGGTGCTGACAAACCTAGAAACATAATTGGGGCGAACCGGGATTCGAACCCACAATCATAGGTTTCTGGCGTGCCCCCAGACCCCATGGAGTGAGAAGATATGTAATGACTGATCAAACTATGGATACCAATGGCAATACAGTTATAGCGAGTAAAAATACCAATAGTTCACACCAGTGCCATCATACAATTTCAATAGTTTCTTTCGACATAATGAAATAATAATTACTGTTGGTTATTTATCATCCAAAATAAACCTTGTTATAATGTATGGAGAACCTCTCCTTGTGTCTTTTGATATCAAGCATGTCAACATGATTCGATAACAGTTAAAACATTTCATTTTGTAATAAGCAACAGTGCTTTTGTGCTATTCTCGGGCCCATGGATCCATGATGGACGCCATTTTCATGTATATTGTCACAACTTAATGCAACAATATGATGTCAGATCCAGCAGTAGAAACTAACACTTTTAGTCTACTAGTCCTTATAATGATAACATATAGCAAAACCCTTAAAAATGGCAAATTTCTACTAATCCTTATGATACCTTAACTATTGGGCAGTTTGGCAAGGACTATAGGACTAGTGCAAATTTCTAACTCTGCAGATCATTGAATCTGAACATATGGCCAATCAAAAGATTTGCTAAATGCATTTTGCGTGAAAATTATTTTTTAACCATTATTGTTAATTTTCAGGACCCGATGAAGACCAGTGGCTGGATCCGTCTAATCCCAGCCATGAGGATGAGGTTCAAAACACCAAAACAGACCCCTTTTCTGAATCTATTGACGACAACACAAAGCAGCCTCTCAAAACAAGCGACCAGGCAGGTGGGAATGCCAAAACTGACCGCTTAACTGTGAAGGAACTTTTGAGGCAAAGGAATATGGAGCCTGAATGGAGCCTGCCCGGTGGCTCAAATGAATCGACAGATGAGCCCAAGAGTGAAACTCCTGACATTGCAGGACCTGGGCCCCTGGAGCCTACAGCAAGATCAGTTAGAGGTGACAATGTCACCTTCAACATTGTTGCAAGTGATGACAGACCTGCTGCATCTTCCACTCCACATCTGTGTCAGTCACAAGGATGTGTTAATCTACAGGATGATCGTTCTCCCAAAGAAAAACTGCCTGAGCGCTTCAAGGAAATATCAATAAAACCAAGTAACCTTGACAGTGGTACCAATGGTTTTGAAGGGCAGAGTGTAGATTTAAGGGAGTTCAATGGTCATGCCAATCAGACCAGTAGGCAACTGAGTAACCTTGACAATGGTCCTAATGATTTCAAAGGGAGGAGTGTAGATTTACAGCAGGTCAACGGTCATGCATATTCAACCAGAAGGCAGCACATGCTTTCTGAAAGTAGTGCTGAGAGTTTTGAAAACAATGAACTGCAACCTATAGCTACAACAGCCATACCTTTTACAAAATCAGCATCTATCCAAGAACAGGATGAACCTCAAAGCCCTAACGCAGTGATCAAAGAAAAAAGATCTGCTTCTGTGGATGGTGATATTCCAAAGTCATCCTCTCAGCATGGTGAACAGACACCACCATGTAGAATGACACAATCATCTTGGGCAAATGTACCTTCTCCGAATGACCGAATAGAATCTCAGACTCTTGTGAAATCAGCACCTTTGGCTGTCATGTCCAATCAGCCAAGAGAACCCTCCAAAGTTCAAGGATGTGACCATGAAGAGTTCATATCGACCTCAGCAGGGCCCTTTGCCATGACAAACAACTTAAAGGCAGAAGGTCATCGTAGAAATCTACAAAAACAGGATGCTGTAGATGACAGTCACTGTCAGGTTGGGAGGCATCTAGAACCTTTAGCTCAGAAGACAGGACCAGTGATGGGAAGAAGGGTAGGTGGGGAGCAACACTCAGAAGGGCATCCAGACCTTGCATCAGGGATGAGACACACCTCCTACTTTGCCTCAAAGACACCTGCAACTGTTCAGCCTCCACCTGACCCCCATTTTTATCGGGGAGTGAACAGAACTGATGAAGGGGCTCCTGCAACATTGCTGCCGCGGAGCATCAGCTCGAGAAGACCAGACACCTCAGGGGCTGAAGAGGCTTACCAGGACACCAGCTATCAAGACCAGCAGTTTGTCACACATGGTAACAAGCCTTTTGGTGCACAGAACATTCAGAATTCTAGTGTTGCTTATGTTCAACCAATACAGTGCACTTCAGGTGGACTGTCACAGGGTTACACACCTTCTGAGCAGTGGAACATCCAGTTTCCCGGCTTTGACCAGTCAGCCATTTCACCTGCACCACCAAACCAGTTGTTTCAACTATCCTCAGCTGATGGTCTGGAACAGGCTGTAGCATCTGAATACCTGCAGCAGGTGCCCCTTCACAGACCACCTTGTCCAGGGAGGGCTGTCACACTGAACTCACAGCATTATCCCGGGAATGGTCTACCACTGAATACTCAGTCTCACTCCATGAGGGGTGTGACATGGAACACACAGGCTCACTCTGGGAGAGGTGGACAAGGACACCATCATGTCCAGCAACAATCATCTACTCAACTCTTCAATTCTGAAGTGGTGCCACTGTCTTTACATGCCAATGAGGACAGTGCTTTCCCTCCTGATTCAGCACAGAGCCACCCAATTGCAAGCTTCCCAAACCACACCAGTATAATGACACCGTTCAGCACTCAGCAGAATCAGCATAGAGCTGCATCCTCAGAGTCTTCCAGCATACGCTTGCTACCGCGAGGACCTCAAGGTCCGCGAGAACCACAGTTCAGAGCTGTTGCTTCTCAACCACTACAACACCAAACTCAGAACACATTTCCCAGTATCTATATACATCCGAATGTTCAGCAGCAGCAACAACAGCAGCAGCAGCAACAACAGCAGCAGCAGCAATACTACTATCCGCAATACTACTACCTTCCCAGAGAAATGACCCAGCAACTATTGATGGGTGTCATGCAACCAGAGAGTGCAGCATTCATCAACCATCAGCATTAACTCCTGTGGGTAGTCTGGGTTAGAATTGGTCCCTAGGTACCTGGGTGGCCAGGCTTGTGACTTGATTTATTGGATGAAATGGCTCTGAAACTATTAAAGGTCTACCTAGCATTCCAGAACAAGGTGTTGTCAAAACTTTGCAAGTATTCCTTTTGTGGGCCTTTGCTTCTGGAAATATGACTTGATAGCTTATTGACTAGTTTTAATGTACAGGTATATATTTGTTTATTTATAGGGGTCTGGCAAAGATACACATGCTTTTTGTATAAGCATTTTTTCTACATCATTTGCATGTTTTAACAAAGATGTTCAGCTTGTTCTGTCGCTCAAGTTCAGATAGTTGTAATGGTTTGTTGGTTTGTTGTTTTACGCCACCCTCAACAATATTCCAGCTATATGACGGAGGTCTGTAAATAATCGAGTCTGGACCAGACAATCCAGTGATTGATATCATGAGCATAAATCCACGAAAATAATTACTCCAGACATGGTGTATTGTGCCAAATTTCACCATAGGTCAGAATCACTTTTCACTTTGCCATAGAAAACACGACTGCCATCAGAGGCAAAGACGTGTTTCTGTCTTCCCATGACTTCTGAAAGTAGGGCTCTGACAAATACTCAAAACACTGGTCGGGTCTCGCGGAACTCGAGTACCCGTCATGGGGACATAACTCATACCTGCACTTCTCCAACATACGTGTTGCAGACATGGAAAAGAAGCAATACAGTGTCGGAAAGTATTTCGACATAGATGGTGCGGAGAATATTTTAAAAAAACTGTTGATTTTGTTGCATATAACCAGGTAATCAGGTACTCGTTCTGGTTGGTATTTTTGGGTATGGGAACTTGAGTCCATGTTTTCTTCCCATCAGAGCCCTGTCTTAAAAGGATTTCCTTCTAATGTTTTGAGTTATGCATCATTCTCCCTGCAACGACTTGATGTGTTTATATTTTGTGTGTAGTTTTGTAGTTGTGTTTTTATTAAAACATGGTTGCTGGCATCATCAGAGTTTTAGAGGTGCTGCAACTGCTTCCTGTTGAGCTGATATCACATTTAATTTATTTGAAATCTAATTGTAAGTTTGAATATACAACAATAATTATTACAATATAACAATAACGACTCATGTATGTAGACGTATGATCTTGGCCAGAACAATGAGTGCAGACCTTTAACTGCTATTGGTTACATGTGACACATACATTGAATGATATTTTTTGTATTTATGTATCAAAATTTGTTGACCACTTTTGTTGTCTGGTTTATGTAATACTCAGAGCAGTGCTCACTATTATTGACTATTTATTGTGAAGATTGATTTTTATTGACACTATATTACTGGGTATTAATTAGTTATAATTGCCAACTTTTTTGCTGACTGCGTTTTTTAAGTGTATGACAATATATTATAGAGATTATTGATGACAATTGGCCATGCATCTGAAAACCTTAAGGTCGCTGGGGTACTATTTATCAAAGTTTCCTTGAATAGTAGACTATGTTGAGCTTTTTATTCCCTCCTCCAGCATATGATATAGTCGATGCCTTGTCTGTCTGTTCATCCGTAATCATTTCATTTCTGGAACGTAACTCGTAAACCGTTCAATATATTGCAACAAAAATTGGTAGATATTTCTAAAAGATCCTGAAGTGCTGCATTTTGCTATTTGAGGATTTTTAGAATATTTATTTTTCCTGTTACCATGGCAAAAAGTTTGAATTTGACTGTTCATAGTTATTTGTACCTGATGTAGAAACACAAAGTTCCAAATCCCAATTCCATAGTATTTTGTCTCCCATGTTTCAGCTCACCCAAGTAAATACCAAGACCATGATTAATATCAATAACCCTTTCAGTTTATCACACAAAGTTTTGTTGAGTTGCACTGTTGAGTTTGATCTGTATGCTGTACACTTCTGTCTCAGCAATAGTTGCTTACAGTTTTAGTCCACAGGGCCCTGTTCCACAAAGCGATCTTAGCGCTACGATTGTCGTAAGTCCGTGTTATAGAATGGGAGTTACGATCGACTTAGCGCTAAGATCAATATCAATGCAGTTCCCCCCACCCCATCCCCAGTGGAATGATACATATCCTTACCTTAATCAAACCTTACCTTGATCCAATCCAACAGCAAATAGCACCGCTTATTAGTGCTTAGTACAGCACTTCTGTAAAAACAATAAACAGTGTTTTCCTAAAACCAACACACAGTTTATTTGTTTATTCAGTTGACTGTCATTAAGGAAGTTCAAAGGCAATAAAATAATTGAACCAAAAACAGTTCACTGATTGGTATGCAGACGTGTCAACAAACTTGAAGGCGGATGACAAGACAAAGGCTGTAGATCTGAGGAGTGTCATGAAGCCAATTGGTCCATGTTGGGTCATGTTGGAATGACATCACACCTGATGATTGTGAAGTCATTTGAAAAATTGTGGGTTTTTAAGGACAGCGATGGCGATCAGTACATTTTAGTGATGAGGAACTCAAAAGGATTTCCAAATAATAAGTAATAAAGAAAAGTATTCCACTCACATGTGTGTAATACTGATTTTTTATGAAACTTGTGTAAAAATTTATCTCACGCTCAGGAAGTACAAGAATTCTGACACTCGTTTTGTAAATTCAGTATGTAACACATGCTCGTATAATAATCTCTATTCATGATACATTACTATTGGACAGTTTGGCAAAGACTATAGGACTTCTTAGGCTGCTGCATTGTTTTTCAGGAAGCTTAACATCACCAAGATGTATAGAGATTAATACAGAAGCGAGTGTGTCATATTGTTTTTATGAAAGGGTGTCAGAAAAACAATTTTTCCCTTGTTTGACTTACTCCCTGTAAATAGCCATGATATATCACTGGCATGTACAAACTGCTATTATTGTGAGAGTCAGTATTCAGATGTAACGATTGAAGCTTTTGAGGGCAGGGGTGTGGCTGAGAGACAGGGATGGGGGTGGGATGAGGGCAGAGGTGAGGCTGAGAGACAGAGATGGGGGTGGGATGAGGGCAGAGGTGTGGCTGAGAGACAGAGATAGGGTTCGGATGAGGGCAGGGGTGTGGCTCAGAGACGGGGATAGGGGTGGGATGAGGGCAGAGATGTGGCTGAGAGACAGAGATGGGGGTGGGGTGAGGGCAGGGGTGTGGCTAAGAGACGGGGGGGGGGGGGGATGAGGGCAGGGGTGAGGCTGAGAGACAGAGATGGGGGTGGGATGAGGGCAGAGGTGTGGCTGAGAGACAGAGATAGGGTTCGGATGAGGGCAGGGGTGTGGCTGAGAGACAGGGATGGGGGTGGGATGAGGGCAGGGGTGAGGCTGAGAGACAGGGATGGGGGTGGGATGAGGGCATGGGTGAGGCTGAGAGACAGGGATGGGGGGTGGGATGAGGGCAGGGGTGTGGCTGAGAGACAGAGATGGGGGTGGGGTGAGGGCAGGGGTGTGTCAGAGATGGGGATGGATGAGGGCAGGGGTGTGTCTGAGAGACAGGGATGGGGATGGGATGAGGGCAGGGGTGTGGGTGAGAGACAGGGATGGGGATGGGATGAGGGCAGGGGTGTGGCTGAGAGACAGGGATGGGGGTGGGATGAGGGCAGGGGTGAGGCTGAGAGACAGAGATGGGGGTGGGGTGAGGGCAGGGGTGAGGCTGAGAGACAGGGATGGGGGTGGGATGAGGGCAGGGGTGAGGCTGAGAGACAGATGGGGGTGGGATGAGGGCAACGGTGTGGGTGAGAGACAGAGATGGGGATGGGATGAGGGCAGGGGTGTTGCTGAGAGACAGGGATGGGGGTGGGATGAGGGCAGGGGTGTGGCTGAGAGACAGAGATGGGGGTGGGATGAGGGCAGGGGTGTGGCTGAGAGACAGAGATGGGGGTGGGATGAGGGCAGGGGTGTGGCTGAGAGACAGAGATGGGGGTGGGGTGAGGGCAGGGGTGTGGCTGAGAGACAGGGATGGGGGTGGGATGAGGGCAGGGGTGTGGCTGAGAGACAGGGATGGGGGTGGGATGAGGGCAACGGTGTGGGTGAGAGACAGGGATGGGGGTGGGATGAGGGCAGGGGTGAGGCTGAGAGACAGGGATGGGGGGTGGGATGAGGGCAGGGGTGTGGCTGAGAGACAGGGATGGGGGTGGGATGAGGGCAGGGGTGTGGGTGAGAGACAGGGATTGGGGTGGGGTAAGGCAGGGGTGTGTCAGAGATGGGGATGGGATGAGGGCAGGGGTGTGTCTGAGAGACAGGGATGGGGATGGGATGAGGGCAGGGGTGTGGCTGAGAGACAGGGATGGGGGTGGGATGAGGGCAGGGGTGTGTCTGAGAGACAGGGATGGGGATGGGATGAGGGCAGGGGTGTGGGTGAGAGACAGGGATGGGGGTGGGATGAGGGCAACGGTGTGGGTGAGAGACAGGGATGGGGATGGGATGAGGGCAGGGGTGTGGGTGAGAGACAGGGATGGGGGTGGGATGAGGGCAACGGTGTGGGTGAGAGACAGAGATGGGGGTGGGATGAGGGCAGGGGTGTGGCTGAGAGACAGGGATGGGGGTGGGATGAGGGCAGGGGTGTGTCTGAGAGACAGGGATGGGGGTGGGATGAGGGCAACGGTGTGGGTGAGAGACAGGGATGGGGATGGGATGAGGGCAGGGGTGTGGCTGAGAGACAGGGATGGGGGTGGGATGAGGGCAGGGGTGTGTCTGAGAGACAGGGATGGGGATGGGATGAGGGCAGGGGTGTGTCTGAGAGACAGGGATGGGGGTGGGATGAGGGCAGGGGTGTGGCTGAGAGACAGGGATGGGGGTGGGATGAGGGCAGGGGTGTGGCTGAGAGACAGCGATGGGGTTGGGATGAGGGCAGGGGTGTGGCTGAGCGACAGGGATGGGGGTGGGATGAGGGCAGGGGTGTGGCTGAGAGACAGGGATGGGGGTGGGATGAGGGCAACGGTGTGGGTGAGAGACAGGGATGGGGGTGGGGTAAGGGCAGGGGTGTGTCAGAGATGGGGATGGGATGAGGGCAGGGGTGTGTCTGAGAGACAGGGATGGGGATGGGATGAGGGCATGGGTGTGGCTGAGAGACAGGGATGGGGGTGGGATGAGGGCAGGGGTGTGGCTGAGAGACAGGGATGGGGGTGGGATGAGGGCAGGGGTGTTGCTTAGAGACAGGGATGGGGGTGGGATGAGGGCAGGGGTGTGGCTGAGCGACAGGGATGGGGGTGGGATGAGGGCAGGGGTGTGGCTGAGAGACAGGGATGGGGGTGGTGTGTCTGAGAGACAGGGATGGGGGTGGTGTGTCTGAGAGACAGGGATAGGGGTGGTGTGGCTGAGAGACAGGGATGGGCATGGGGTGGTGTGGAAGGGAGATGTTGACCTCATGTAGACAAACTGATTTTAGGTAGTGCTGAACCATAAGCAGACACAGACAAATGCGGAGTACCTGAGTACAGACAGATTAGAATCCCCCCAAAATGGTCTCAATCACCCTTCCATACAGGCACTTCAGTGGGCATTTTGAAGCCTATAATATCCCTTCTCAATTCCATTGTTTCGGTTAAACCATGTCAGTAGGTCATCTTTAAACGAAGGAATTCCTTAAGCTACTACGCAATCCCACCAACGCCATGTTTGCTACATAACTTTTCCCTTGTGCCTGTGGGTAATGAAGGCTTTTTCTTCCCTGCTCTGCATGTAGGTCTTGTGGTATTGGCAGGCGTGATCTTGTGTATCAAATACAAATACTGAAATATAAATATTGTCATGTTTTTGTATCTATCAGTTTTCTTATGCTGTTTAATGCTTCTTTTAAGCCATTTGTATTTTAGGCCATACATATATGTGTGTACTTTTGTATTCTTTAATATTATGGTTAATACCATTAATATCATCATGACGATTGAGCATCTTCCCATTCTCTAAACTGTAAAAGTCCAGTTTCGATCCTTTCCGAACTAGGCTAGAATTTCTGGGTTCGGTCGTAGTGTGCGACTAGCGGCTATTTAGGGTTATGTCCCTGCTATGTCCCTCCTGTTGACCAATCAGATTTCCCCTCTCAGCGCACTTGCATTTGCTTCAAACAAAATGGCAGCACTCAGTCAAGACGATCTATCTATATTGTAATAAAATGGGTCTTACCCGGTACTTCGCGAAGTGCATAAAATAATTTGGAAAATATCTGTTGACACCGAGTTGGTGATACTCATGCTTTATAAATCCCACAGTCGACTGAAATCTGCACAGCAGTTGACGAACCGGATGTCGATTTCGTTACACAATTTTGATTGGACTATGCATAGACTCATTAGTCCAGGCAAAATATAACTCCATAATTCCAACTTGGTTCAGCAAGGGTGGAAACTGGACTTTTACACTCAGTTAACTCCCTTGCCTCTGGAAGATGCAATTGAATTGTGTGGATAAAAACAAAACATATTATGTGTGATTTTCCATATTTTTTTTGGTACAAAATGCAATTTTCTTAAGACAGTATAATAAATTAGTTATTTAAATGTGTGTATATTTCGTCAGTCAGAACATTAAACAGGTTACATAGTCCTTATTAGGTGTTTGTTTTGTACTAGATCTTAACTAGATGGTTTATGGAGCCATTGACCCAAGTTTTTACAAATTGGGAAAAAACATTATGACTGTTTTTGTCAACTAAGTAACTCAGTAATGAAATACCAATCTCATAAAATTTTAAACTTCAGCAACACAAGGATCTGGGGACATCCAATTACAATTCACGACAGAACGACCTTTCGCGAACTTTGACCGACCAATGAAATGACTAAAAAGAAGTTAATATTAGCCAATCAGAAAGCAACTTTCTCTTTAAACTGGTTACTGCCATTCCAGAAAACACTTTGAAAAATATTGATTTGAAAATTGAACAGAAAAGAATTCTCGAATGTTTAATCGATGGTCCATATTGTTTTGCAGGATTTCCCATGAGCTATGGAAAGTCTTTTCCGCTTTAACGTTTATTAAGCACCTCGGTGGTCTAGTGGATTGAGTGTCTGCCTGGAGAGCAGAAGGTCTGTGGTTTGATCCCCGGCCATGTCATACCAAAAGAAGTTAAAAGATGATGTACACCAGCATTTGTCTGGACTAGTGCAAGCAGCCCTTTTGACGGAATCTGTCATAAAGCCTGTAACTGTAGTTTGAAATACCCAATGTTAACCTTTTTGAGGTTGCAAGATCAGAATAGACATTCCACCTATCTCTTTCCTGATCTGGTAAGCGACGCTCTTATTGGTGGGATAAAAAGTTGTTCTGACGTGACCCTTAATGGGATGTCCTCAGATCTTTGTTCAGCAATTGGGAGAACTTAGATCTGATTTTATTGAGATTGGGTTCGTTACAGTCTCACTGTTTCAGTTCTCTCCTCTTTGCCTTGATTGACCAGTCCTATGAACTTTGTTTTTGATCCTTATCTCCGTTGATTAGCTACTGACTTTGTGGGCGTGTCAATTTATGTGCATAAATTAAACAATCACCTGAGTCATGTCACGCCACATTATGTAATGGGATTTATCATTAACAATTTTTTTTTTATTGCAAATCCTTACCGTGGCCAGGATTAATTTGAGAGTTCTTTTTCTAAGCATATAGGAGAGATGGATAAACGTTTTAGGATTTTTGTGTATTTGGAATCACCATTGATTGTGCACTTTCGTGGAATTCTCGAAGTTCTTGGAAAGATTCTGATTCTTGACATTAGTGGTTTCCATAATCTTAATTTAGACTAAAAACGAAATCACGAAATTGTAATTGATGTTACCTGAATGAAAATTAATATTAGGACTCCAAGCCAATTGTTTTTATTTGTTTTTATAATTATTATGCTGATTTTTGTACCAGCAATAACAAAATGATCAGGGCCTGGTTATGGCAATCTTTTCCTATTTAAGTGGACAGTTAAGCACGTATACCACAAAAATCCCAAGTCCATTGGCCCACTGACTAAGGGCAGATAATTCAAAGCCCATTCAGTTTTGAAAACATTTATTGCCCTGTTGCCCCACAAGCTGTCAACTTGACATGTGTCTGCTGCTTTAGGTGTTTGACATTGTATGTTCTTTAACTTTGGTCATTGGCCACATGGTTCGGCAGCCATATTGAATTTTAGATTTTCAAGGAGCATTTTACTTTGTTTGGGTACGTCTTCAAAATCATACGTCTGAACCTACTGGTTGAAATGCTCCAAACTTTCTAGGTATTTTCTCCATACATCAAACCAAATTAGCTGTTTTTGAATATTCTGATCAAATTATAGGTAACTGTGTGGCCTGTAAATTTTAAAGGAACCATCCTAAGGTGTTTATGTGGCAGTAGGTACTTTACAGACCGCCGTCATACAGGTGGAATATTGCTGATTGCGGTGTCCAACAAACAGTGACAGGTGATTATGGTGACAGTTAGCCAAAGATTAAAACAAACAAATATTAAAACACTGGTATATATAACATACTTTGCATGACGTGGGCTTACGTACCCTCTCAGGGGGACAATAATTATCCCCCGCCCAACAAACGGGCTCCGTCTGTCACGTTTCATTTCCGGAGCATAACTCATAAACCGTTCAATATTTTTTCATCAAACTTTGCAGGTCTGTCAGGTACATGCTGAACTGGTGCCTTTTGTCATTTAGAAATTTTAGAAAATTTTATTTTTTTCGTTTCCATGGCAACAAGATGGACTTAGGTTCCAAACTCTTTCTTTTTTTACAATTTCCATGACAAGTTCCACCTCGGTTAAAAAAGGTTAGGGTTTGTTTAGATTTAATTATGTCACAAATTCTGCAACAGGGGCGGGGGATATAGCCACGTTAGTGGCAAACTCTTTTTCTGTATTGTATGACATTGGATATATGCTCCTGTACCGCCGCTGGTAGTTTAATTTGTGAAAAATAGGAGGACATTCAGCTGTCGGGGCTATGGGCCAGTGGGTGATTGACGGTTTGTGATTGATTGTTACCAGATGGCTCCAGCTGGGGTAGTAGACGACACACTTTCCAACTATGCTAAATATGAGTAGCCTGGTTATCCTCGAACTCTAACTGGGCTAGCAGAGGACTCACCAGTCTAAGATGTATTTAAAAAAACACAATTAAATCTCAACCTTATCTTATGCTAATTCAACAATTTATCATATACTCTCTAGTGAAAATCTGTTGCACCTGTCTCGTTCCTGGCAGGCAATATAATGAAGGAAAAGTGGCATTATATTGTGGCACGTTAGTGGCAAACTCTTGTTTAACGCTACTTCAACCCCCATCAAGGGTACAGTAACTAACAATCTCAGTTCATAATCATATACTACCAATTAATAAACTTTATAACTTTCCACATGAAAATTTATCGATTAATTCAATTTCTTTTAAAAATACATGAATTAAATGAGAGCTTATGTTAAAAAGATCCTTGAGTGATGAAACTGTGAAATATTGATCCCTTGTGATGGAAAAACCAATACAGTCAAGCAGGACATGCTTGACTATGATTCTTTCATCACAAGGGATACAGAATGGAGGATCCTTACCTTTCAATATTAGGCCGTGGGCTAGGTATGACCCACGAGCACCCCCCCCCCATCCAAACCCCACTAATTTTTTTTGAAAGCCCATAAACATACTAAACATGATTTTGAATGTTAACAAGAAAAAAGTTGGGACGAACTTGTTGTTACAGCCTTTCAAAGTATGGTACCCCATATCGCGTTTTCGTCCGGTTTTGCCGTATATCACTTGGGGGTATGATTACGTTTTGGGTTGTCATCTCACTAGTGATCCACTGATCTTAAAGTGTGATATACCACTGGAATCCATATATAAATACCTCTCCAATGAGGTATCAATAGTTGGTATTGAGTGAATATGGACCAACCCATGGCAAATCGAACGTCATATATCCCGACAAAACCAAATTTTTCTCGCAGAAACCTTTAATCCGGTATATATTCTAGGTACGTGTGCCTGATTCCACTATAATCGTCTAACTCGTGTTCCAGTACATCTCTTGAAGTACTTCTTAACATGTGATGTTACCAGGTGAAAATCTTTTGCACAATTTGGAACAAATTTACTCTTATAATATCAGAGTAGGATACCCAATATTGCATTCTCGGCTTAGCTACATCGGAACAACGCTTGGATGTATGCTCAGGATTTGGCTTGTCATCTTGTGTGTTATTCACCGACCTCGATGTGTTATATACCATAGGAAACCATATATAAACACC